AGATCAGTCTCTAAGTGGGAGATTGTTGGAAATATGGAGAATGATCTAATGGGATCTCCGGCGATCACGCGGATCCAACCCCATAGTGAGCTGGCGGTTGGGCCTCAAGGTGGGCAGCACCCTCGGACCAAACCTAGTATTAGGGGGCATGAGTGCCTTCTGTCCCTATGATTTTACCTAATCCCGTGATATAAGAGGGGGGAGGAAGCTGACGCCTAATGGTAGTGTGCTGGGTTCCCCTCCCCTATATCTTGCCTCTCTTCCCAGTCTATTTTGAGTGTGCACATCTGGTCAATTGTGCAAAGATGAAGATATTCGACTGCATCACCGTAGGTCACCGGAACTTCTTACCATTCGAGATTATGTTTAAAATAAAGGTTTATGTGGTGATCAGTCGAAATGTTTGTAATTCAATTCTTCATGATAATGTAAGGAGTAGACGTGAGAGTCATAGAGACACATCCACAAGTGGGGAATTGGTCTAAGTGAGAGTTAATGTGGAGATCCAGTGAAATATTTGTAAGTGAATTCTTCACGTAAATCTAAAGAGTGAGTGTGAGAGTCATAGAGAGGCATTCATGGGTTGAGTTTGTCGACACCCGTGAAACTAATACATGTGTCAATTTCTCATTTTCTAGGGCTGCTTTTGTCTTTGAATAAGGTATTTAAACTTTAATCGCAATGAAGATTGAGAGCAAGAGAAAAAACTGTAGCCATCAACATACTGTTACAGGCCTGTCGTGAAGAGGGTATTGCGATGTATAGAACTTAGAGGTATGAATGATGGGAGCTATTTCTTATTGTTTTTCTCCTACATTGGGTGTACTATATGCATTAGTTATTTGACATTCCTTGCCGTCCCACGATGAGTAGGTTATTAATGGTATCTTGTATGGAAATATAGTTTTGTGTTAAACCCCTGTTATTTTCTAACACTAGTACCAGCTCATAGTAGCCCCACTTGGTCTTTCCTATTGACTTTCCCCTGATCAATCACAACTACACCAGACAATAAGTTTCCTTGGCATCAATATGAGGTGTTATTAGAGACTATTTTCAGTATCTATTTCTTTCCTTGGAACCCTTTACTATGGATGTAAGATGCAGCAGTTTGGTTATGCAACCTCATTTGAGACTCTTGCAAAGATTGAAGGCAGTGTGACGTCAATCTGCATGCCAAGCTGAAAATCACAAGTGAGATAAAGCTCAAAGTTGGACAAAATGTGGAGAGAATAGAAAAGATTAGCAGATTGAAATGTCCAGTAGACATGTTGATGTTAGTAGTGAACATATAACAACTCAAGCATTACATGGCTTTAGTTGATCCATAATTATTTCACTAGAGGCATCCCACAAGGTAAAGAAAAGCTTTGTTTTCTCTTGAAAATCAGCCACAAAGTGTTAGATTTTTGGAGTTGTAAAAAATGAACTAATTAACTCTAATTGGCTCTTTCATACACAAACATTAGGTTAAGGGCAATGTTATCTTTTGTGTCTAATGGACTATAATGCACACTAATGAATTGTAAGATGATTCTCTTTCTCATGAAGGAAGAAAAACCTTGTATCATCATGGACGAAAGGAGATTGTATGGTGTGTTCCTCTTATCCTGCCTCTCTTCCCTTCTATCTATCTTGTGTGTGTATGCATTAGTCATACACACATCTATTGCGTGAGAAGAAGTGGGATGCTTGTTGTGTGCCAGATAACTTAGTCAAAGTTAGACTTGGACAATTTGGATCACAGGGATTTTGATGAGCTCCCATTGACTTGTGCGAGGGCTTAACTTGTTGAATGTGTGAGGAATACCCAAACCTCCATGTCCCGTTGATCGAGTAAGCCATGAAGAGAGCTTGTGTTGACTGAAAGAGAGTGTAAGGGGAGAATAGACTAAGAGCGAAAGAAGTAGGAGTGAGTAGAAGTAAACTATATGAGGAATGAGGATGATACAAACCAAGACTAACAGTCTTGGGGTCACTGATACAAGATGGTGAGTCTTGAGCTCCCGAAGGAGTTTTCTTAAAACGATTTTCTCTCTTCTCTCTTAGGGGTCATTCCTCTCTACTGAAATTTTATCCCTTCTCTTCTAGTGAATAAGTACTTCAAGCCTGTGAGGGCAGTAATGGGTGTTGATGACCTAGCCTGAGGCCGCCATCTAACATAAGTTACCATCCATAGGTAGCTTGGCCATTGTTGGGGCTTGCTCCCATTGCTCTACCTATTTCAATTGAGACACGTGGAAGACTAAGCATACTTGAGATAAGGTAGGGAGGTCCAGCTGGTATGCCATTATGCCCACACGCTGAAAGACTTTGAACAAAACATAGAAGTGAGGGGTGAGCTCTGCACAAGTTTGTCGTGTGATCGAGATCTGCGATAGGGTCATAAATGAAGGTAGACCCAATTGTCTTCTTAGAACTTGAGTTCCTTTCATCTGCAATTTGTAAACTATTTCATCTAGGCTTGGGTGAGCTCTAGGTTTTGTTTCAGCTGCATGAATATCTCATCATGCTCATGCAGCTGGTGCTCCAATTTTGTCGATGTCGTGGGTTCACTAGTGAAACAGACCAATGAAAGCAAAGGCCTTCCATAAATCACCCAGAATGGAGATATTATACAAGAGCAATTAGAGTTCATGTTGTATCAGAACTCTACCCATATAAGCCATTTAAACCATTGACGCATACGCCCGTTGGTGAACCAATGGAGGTACATCTCTAGATTATAGTTGACCACCTCTAATTGGTTGTTGGTATGTGGGTTGTACATGCTGGTCTGTTAGAGCATCATCACTTGTTGACAGAAAAAGACTTGTCAAAATAAACTCATGAAGACATAGTCCATGTCAGTGAGGGTGGACATCAAAAATTGTGTAGCCAAATCACATCTCTAATGACCATATATGTAACTATCTAGGCTATAAATAGATGAAAGAAGTCAAAGAAGTGGATGGATTTATTAAGGAGGTCAATGATGACAAGGATGGCATTCTAGCTATTGGAGATAGGTAACCCTTTGATGAAGTCTATAGTCAAGTCTTCCCAAATGTAGTCTACAATCGAAAGATGTTGAAGGAAGTCAACCAGAGATAATGCTTTAAACTCACTTGTTTAGTAGATCAATTAGGTTACCACATACTGTTTGATTGTTGCCTTCATTCCCCACCAACAAATGTTTCGTTTGAGTCGGAGGTAAATATTCTAAAAGTTAGAATGGCTTCTAGTCACCACGTCATAGAACTCACGTAGAAAGACTAGAAGTAAACACAACGATGTTGAGATCATGACCCTTCTGTGATGGAATAATCGCCTTGTTGTAATCAATTCTATTTTTATTTTGTTGGTTCAAAAGACATGTCATCCATAATTTATTGAAGGTATGAGTCCTCTTGGTTCTCCTAGGAGATCTTTACAAGTTTGAGCAGCTCTGGGCGAGAGAGGGAGTCGTGCTCATGCAGCACTAGAAGTTGGTGGCTTTCTTTAGTTAGACTCTCATGCAAATACAACCTGTATTTTGTGTTTTGCAACTAAAATAGATAGAATAACAAGAGGATAATCCAACATCATGAGAGTTGTCAATAGATGGTGACTTGCAATAGATAGTAGCCTCAAGCTAGGTCTTAGACATCCAATATTACGCTCATGGGCCAAAAGTGCTAATTTAGTGGGTAGGGCTGTCATTCGAGACTGCCACATGAGAATCTGCATGTTTATCCTTTAACAATTTCTTGACTTCTATCTTGAGGACAAGGTGCATAAATGTTGAGGGGGGGGGGGGGGAGAGTATTGTTGAGGTCTTGATGTCCAAAGTGAGCCTGCATAAGAAGCAGTCACATAGAGGTCTATTCAGCCCAACTATAGAGCAATCTAATTCAAGAGTTGAATAGGACAAAGAGTCATTAGAGTCAAAAATCATCTGGGACAATAATACTATTAGATAGTGGTATCAGACTCCCTACCCACTAGGGCCCATTATCTATCTCTCTCTCATCTCTCCTATCTCCTATATAAGAGACATGTATTTTATCTTAACACTACATGGATTCTAAAGTTTTCTCCTCTCGTGTCAACATAGTATTAGAGCCCTAGGTATCTCTCGTCATCCTCCTCTCTAGTGCACTGCTCTTCTCTAGCACGCTGCTCTTCCCTCTTTTGGTGTCACCGTCTCTATTGTCCCTCTCCTTCTCCTTTCAGTGCTGCCCTCCTTGTTGCCATCGCCCCTCACTAGTGTTGTTACTCTCCTCCTCTTCTCCGATGTCTCCACCATCACCAATGTCATCGAGGCCCCTCCTCGCCATCACGCCCTCGCTGTCGTGTCATTATGGGTGTCGTTGTTCTTAGGTGCCGAGGGCATCATTGCCACCGTCAAGGTCCCTCCTCGCCGTCATGCCTTTGCCATCACACCCTCGCTGTCGCTCCCTTGCCATTGTGCCCCCAGCCCTTGTCATTGTGGCGGCGACTAGGGTTTCGCCCATCTCCCGACAAGCCACCGGTGGTTTTCTTTTGAACCGGCCCACTTGGGACTGGCCTAGCTAGACTTGACAACCCGCGTGGATCCGTAGGCCCAGTGTGGCCCAGCTGGCCCCAGCCAACTCTGCCTACCCCTCTAGACCGATTTGTTCGCCCCGACCTGCTCACCCCACCACCTGCCCTTGCAGCTTGGACCCACCAGCCTCATGACGTCATCTCACCCCTCTTCGTTGCCTACCTCCGAGCCCTTTGAGCTTCTTCTAACTAGTGTTCTCTCTTCTCCAATGGTTCCTCTAACTTACCACTCCATCACAATGCAACTTACTCGACTAACATACATCTTCAACGGCCACAATTATGCGTCGTGGGCATTTGGCTTTGAGCTCTTTCTTAGATCTCACAGTTTCCTCCATCACCTCTCAGAGGACCCACCCAACCTTTAGAACCCCTCGTATGCGACATGATCGCAACTCGACTCAGTCGTCATCACATAAATACTTCAGAACATCAAGCCCAGCATTGCCAAGCCACTAGCACGCATCACTTTGGCCTGTCTTTTGTGGTTCACTATGGAGACCATGTACGTCAATCGAACAAATATCTGTCAAGTTGTGGGAATCTTTGAGTCTCTTCTCTCTTGTAAATAAGGCGATCTCACCCATCAAGCCCACTATGGTCACCTCCAAGCCCTCATCTAGGAGGTTGATGTCTATCAACCTTCTACTACCAACCTCTTGACCTTCTAACATTATCGTCAGGAGTTTTATACTAGGGTTTATCTTAGTGGACTTCATCCGTCTATCACATCCTAGATCCAGGGGACTATTATCTTTGGGGACTATGTGCTTAATCTCGCCTCCATCTTCTTGACAGCCCTTTAGGTCACAACTGATACGTCCATCCACACCTCTTCTTTCTCTTCAGATGTCACCTCTACTCCTTCGACTCTTATTGTTGCTGCTCCACAGACTCGAGATGGTACCTCTCCTTCCTACCTTAATAATGGTCATACTCTTCGCAGACGTGGGTGTAACATTTGTCCTCTATGTCCCTATTGTGGGAAGTAGAATCATTTGACTATTAAGTGTTAGAAGTAATTCGACAAGCCTATTTCTACATAGCCAACGATCACTTCTCCGACTTTAGCGTCCCCTGCTCCATCCCATGTTCTAACTCCTACCTTCCACATGACTTTGACACCTACAAAATATGATGCCCTTCACTACGTCAATGGTACTGATGCTTCCACCTCTGCTAGTCTCACGCCAGGTATACACGCCAGGTATACCTCTTCCACGCTAGGTATACACGCTCTCCTTGTTTCTTCTTCTTCAGTGTCATAGATTATTGATTCAAGGGCCTCCACTCACATGATCTGTATCCCCACTATTCTCTGCTCCTATCAACTTATCTCGACCCATCCTCTTGTCACCATTGTCGATGGCCGAACCTATCTAGTCAAAGGTTATGCTGTCACTTCAGCTTCTCCCTCCTTTCACCTCACCCAAGTTTTCTATATTTTTGATTTTCTTACTAATCTTCTTTCCATCAGTGCTATTACCCGTGCCCTTCTTTGTACAGTCACATTCTTTTTCTTTCACTGTACTTTATAGAATCTACATACTAGATTGAAGATTGATTTAGGCCATAAAATGGGCGAGGTGTCTATGAACTCGTTTCTAACAAACCATCATCTAACCTTCAAGCCCTTTTTAACACCTCAATGACTACTTCTTCTTTTTTGTGACATCGTCGTTTAGGCCATCCTTGTTTCTCTAAATTACAAAAAATCTTATTGTGGCTTCCTCTCTTTTAAGTTTATGTGTGAATCTTGTCAACTAGGCAAACATATCCGTACTTCTTATCTTAGTCATGATGACATCCTCTTTTTCACTCCCTTTGACCTTTTTCACTACGATATATGGGGGGGGAGACATTCCTTTCCATTGTTTACTCTTTAATTCTCCTCTTTCTTTTCTTCTCCCTTGGGTTTTTGGATGCACTACTTTCATCTAGGATTCATCTCCTTCTCTTTATAAACTCACCCCTCGTGCTTTTAAAAGGGTCTTTATCGACTACTCTCACATGCAAAAGAGTTATCAGGTCTACTTCCCTAATACCCATCGCTATGTCACTTTCCATGAGGAGTCTCATTCTTTCTCTTCTATTTTAACTCCTCCTCTTTGGGCCACTATGTCTCCTCCACCTGAGTTCTCTCTCTTTGTGGTTCTTGCGAACCCTCCCTCTTCTCTTCTCTCCTATCCACTCTTTTTAGGGTTGTTACCCATGTTCATCTCTCTTTGGCCCATGTCTCCCATGGCTCTTACTCCGGATGTAGTATCCTCCTCTTCCTCTCCTACAATCCCCTCTGCACCTTCGGTCGTTGCTCCACTTAATGACTTTCATCTCTCTATTAACCTCTGCAAAGGTACATACATCTTGACATCATGTATATGATTAGTGTCTTGAGCCAGTTCATGTAGGAGCCTCGACGAGTTCATTCGGAAGGAGCTCTACGAGTCTTCACCTACATCAAGCGATCCCTAGAGAAAGGGCTCATTTATCGGCGACATGGCTATCTTCGCATTGTAGCTTACTTTGATGTCAGGTATCCAAGTGACAAAGGCAACCGAAAGTCTACTACAAGTTATTGCATATATGTTGGTGGCAACTTAGTCACCTAGCGGTGCTAGAAATAAAAGGTAGTGTTTTGCTCCAGTGCGAAATCTGAGTATTGAGCCATGACTGAGATAGTACAAGAAATGGTATGACTTCGATCACTTCTCGATGATCTCAACATTACTTCTTCCTCTTTAATGTCCATACATTGCAACAATTAAGCCACCATTTTCATTACTAGCAATCCTACCTTTTATGAGCATATGAAGTATATTGAGATCAATTGTTACTACATTCGAAATAAAATTATGTCTAAACTTATCTCTACTTTTTATGTGACATCATCTCATCAGTTTACAAATGTCTTCACGAAGAGTCTATTCAACATCTCTTATGACGTCATGTGTACCAAGTTAGACATGTTCGACTTATATGTTCCAACTTGAGGGGAAATATTCGATAGTGATATTAAACTCTCAACCCACTATGACTCATTATCTATCTCTCTCTCATCTCTCCTCTCTCGTATATAGGAGACATGTATTCTATCTTGACGTTGCATAGATTTCAAAGTTTTCTTTTCTCACATCAATAAGTACAATAGATCTTGCAAGACAAGTGGTGTAAGTGACAAATAGATCTAATAGTGACCTAATACAATCATAAAAATCAACATTAACAGATCACATCAAGTACTAGATTTCACTATATCTATCAATTAGATCATAATCTAATGGACAGTCCAATAATGATTGAGAGGTGGTCTTCAACATAGGCAGACTAAAACTATATTATGGGTCGAGTGACCCATGAGACGGAGAGGAGAAAATCATAAAGAACTCCATTTAGAGCTAGAGATTAGTCATCTCGCATCAATGACCTTGAGACCTATGTGGTCTTGATTTCCCCCATTACCTATCTTCTACAATCTTTCCAAGACTCTCCCCGAATGTTGTCCCATTCCCATTTTCCATGTTCTAATTTGTATTTACCCACATATCGCCTATTTCAAAAATTAGTTTCAAGACACAAGGTTCTTTTGAGGAATTAGTGAGTTTATCCATGATTTAATTGGAGGGTCATCATCACTATCCCACAATTAAATCTTTATTATTTGTTGTGAGATAAATGTGATACCAAATATTTATTTATCACAATTGAGAGTTGTCTCCGTTGATAATAATGTAGCTTCCTATAATTGTAAAGAAAAAAAAAATAGACTGAAATTTTATGAGGGCTATCATGTAATTAGTAGTGTGACGTCCTAAAGCCATGAATTCTAAATGAAAGTAGAGTTCATTAATCAATAATTTTAGTTAAATAATCACAAGTAGTGGAACCCAATAACAATTCTATAATTAGAGAGTGGATGTAGGTAGTTGACTGAATATTATGAAAATATAGTGTGTTCTAAGTAAATTAAAAAAATCTACATATCAGATGAAAAAAGTATAAATCTAAATGACCTTATGTAAGAATGAAATAAGAAAATAGTAGACCAATTCAACCCCCTCTCTTCTTGATCTTATTGCAGGCCAAAACCTAAAATATAGGAGTTCTAAAAGCATCTTCTAATGTAGACCAACTTTGAATACACAAAGATGATTCAAAGATCATTCATGAGGTGTGGAATTTCTCTTGAATGTTATATGAGGTAATTCTCTAGTAAGACAACTTTCTTTTTAATTTTTTTGATTTTAACTTTCAAAAAATAATATCCAATTATTATTCCTGAACATTTGTGAGCTAGCCATTAGTTAGTTCATGCTATTGTAGCAATTTTCTCTTTTCTATGATAAGGTTTACTAATCATTACCCTATATATCAATTTAGACAACTCATGAGTTAGAATAACACATACTAAATATATCTTGTCAGCAATCTCTTAAACAACATAATTTTGCAAAGATCAAGTCCTAAACACTTAAGAGATCATATCAAAAGTTATAATAAAGTATTGCCAAAAGATTAGAGGGCATGTAAAGTTGTCATTATACCCTTATGTTGTGTCTTGTTCATTGTATTGAAACTTGTCTTCCTAAGTGTGTTGATTCACTATGTTTAGGTACTATCTTGGTCACTATGGGTGTTAAGACTTCTTCCTTAGTGAGTCAATTCACTTCTTTTGTATCATATCTTGGTCTTTATGAATTAAGACTATGTCTACTTCGTGTGTTAATTCACCTCTTAGAAAATCTGAAATATAGAAGTAATTTTGGCATAGGTTAAAGTATGATGTTCTTAATCAATTAAGGATCATATAATTATATTTTTAATGTAAACGTACCTTTAAAGCTTACATGCTATCTTCATAACTATGTGTATAAAATGTTCCTGCCAAATGAGCTGACTCATGAGAAGATTTTCTTCTCAAAAATAGGTAGAGACACTTCATTATAGTCATAAAATCACATGGTACTTCATTAAGGTTTAGAGAAATAATTTGTTAATAATTTACATAGCATACATTTACAGTGCAAAATTATCATTTTACTATTGTATGTAGTTATTTGTCAACCATCAAATTTATAAAAGCTCCAAAGTCAACAATGGAGAATCAATTTGAAAGTGGAATGTATCTACACTCAAGACATAAAATTTATGTACTTTTAGTTTAGTTTTCAATATATGATTTATATGGGGTCCAAATATTTTTTATAATTTTTCTTCATGAGAAAAATAAAGAATGATTCTAAATCAGGGCTTTCACTAACATCAACAATGGTGGAATTTTAGTTAGCCTTAAATGCACAGTAATATATTTTATCTTATTTTCTTATCTTTAGTTTTAAACCATTTACTTAGCATAGTCTCATACAACAAGAAGGAATTCATGAACTTGTCAAAAAGAAAAAAACAGGTCTATCCTAATGACAAGTTGAATGCTTTATTACGTCATATATGGCATAGAATTATTTTATGAGGGCAAAATTAGAAACACTTTTGTTGGCTTTCATAACAAAAATTCTATAGCTTTTAATGCACATCGATCCAAAGGTATGTATTTATATATTATTCGAGGGGTAAGAGTATTATTTAATTAATGTGATCAGTTGACTTCGATAAACCTTTGTTGGTGTGACGATAGCAGTAAAGAACTTTAAAAAGGCCCAAAATATGAGCTTTTTTTCTAACTCATCGAATCTATAAAAGGGTTTAAATCCAGACTAATATATCCGCAAGAAAGGCGGCGGAGAGGCGGCGCAGAACGACGGAAACAGGTGTGGGATGAGCCGCGAGACCCACCACCTACTCTCGCCGCGAGACCCACCACCTTCTCTCGCCGCCTCGCTGTACCTCCGCGTGGCAACCAGTTTTGGTGAAGATGTGATGAGCGTTTGGGGGCGCGGCCCTCGAAAGAAGGGAATCGCGTTTTCTGAGTGCCATGCTGCAGCTTCTTATCGCCGTCGCCTTCTCGGCGGCTCCGCTGACCCTGTACTTGCCGCCAGTCAGGAGCCTCAACCCATTCGTGGAGGTCCTGGAGGCATTCCTCGGCCAGTTTTCTCTCCAAACGCATAGAATCTACCCGCGCCTCCGCATTGGCTTCTCTCGGATTGTGGCCTTCTGGAACGGCGGCCGAAGTTAAACCTGTAAGAACATTCGTTCTCCGCCGTATACATCGCCGGCGGGGCAATCTCTTTTTTTTCTGGATGTCTTGAATCCGAATGGTGAGAGGAGGGGAGAGGGACTCCCTCTCCCTCCCTCCCTCCGTCCCCCCCATAGCTCCCTGGGCTTTTTCTTTCCCCTTCGTCCCATGTAGAATCCGTAAGGGTTTCTGCAATCTCCTGCGCTCTTTGTATAGCTTCATAAAAAAGTCCTCTTGCAATGAAAAACAGAGAGAAGAAGAGGTCGGAATTGGGAATTGAATTATAGGGTTCTTCCTCTGGTTTGTGGAGGGTTAGATCTCCAGCAGCGGGTTTCATACTGATCAACGTTTTTTATGAGCATCATGGGCTGGTTATTTTTTGACTTCCGTTCCCTGCTTTGATGACTCCATGAATGGTTGACTTTCCATGGATGATTTCTGGCAATCAAGACAGATTCTTTATCTTTGATGAACACTGAATTGAGCATGATCAAACCCAAGTTTATTAAAATCAAACTGGGCATATGCTCTCAGATCCATCGAAGCATTAATCAACATTATTTATTATTATCTAGGAAAAAAAACCTGGATTTGAGGGTTGGATGGGTCGGATTTTATTTTTTTTGTTTCTTCTTGCGGCGCATGGCGAAGTCCAAAGCTTGGTAGAGCTGACTTGTGGCCCGTTTATCCCTCCAGCAGCAGTTATCTGAAGAGAAAAGTGGGTCCTCTGTGCCCCTTCTCACGTTGGTCTTGTGAAACTGATGGGAGTTTTCTCTCTCTAACCATTTCTGTTGCTGTCTTGGAGTTTGGAGCGATGGGTTACTCCAGTTTGGGGAGCTTTCCCTTCAGATCTAACGAAATGGGTCATTCTGGTTCTGTTCTCTCGTTTTGATGGTCTGTTCTCGGTTTTTCATGACGAATTAAGTGGACAGAGGTCTCGATCTTGATCTGACTTGGGTTTTCTGTACTCTCCGATCCGAGTCTGATTTGTGGAAGAACCCCTCAAAAGATTAGAGCTTTTCCTCCACAGTTAGAGAGAGAAAACTCCACATCTGACCATCTGACTTGGGTTTTATGTACTCTCCGATCTGAGTCTGATTTGTGGAAGAACCCCTCAAAAGATTAGAGCTTTGCCTCCACAGATAGAGAGAGAAAACTCCACATCTTACCATCTGACTTGGGTTTTATGTACTCCCCCATCTGATTCTGAATTGTGGACAAACCCTCAAAAGATTAAAGCTTTGCCTCCACAGTTAGAGAGAGAAAACTCCACATCTGACCATCTGACTTGGTTTTATGTACTCTAGCTGATTCTGAATATTGGAAGAATCCTCAAAAGATTAAAGCTTTGTCTCAGTTAGAAAGAGAAAACTCCACATCTGACCATCTGAATTGGGTTCTGTACTCTTCCATCTGATTCTGACATTGTGGAAGAACCCTCAAAAGATTAAAGCTTTGCCTCCATAGTTAGAGAGAGAGAGAGACTGACACAGACACAGCACTGCCACGCACTGCCAAGAGTCATCGGCTTACCGTTGACCACTGTTTATTCAGGTAGAAATTGGTATTTTAAAATTTTTTACTGTATACAGTAGGTTTTCTCGTCAAATAAAACTATTCATGTATTAATTTATAAAAAATAGAAATATTGTATTAATATTTTGAATCGTAGTCAAAACAACGTCTTTCCGAGATCGGCCACCTCCACTGTTCTGAATGCCCGTGGACGTTGACTCCGGGAATCCGTTCATTTTGGATGAAAAAGTCAAAGAAAAGACGGTGGGAACAGTAATCAGTGAGGAGCTTTGGGGTCAAAGATCAGTGAGAAGTGGTTCCTCGACACAAAGACCACATTGTTCTCAACATCCTTCTCCACAATATACCTGCAATCATATGCATTTAAATCTCAGCAATTAAAGTTTTATTAAAGTAATCAGTGAAAGAACATTGACCTGACCAGCTTTGGGGTCAAAGATCAGCTGGCAATCTCAGACATCTGCCTTCTACAAGATCCCCCTCATCAAGTTTTAGAGCCCTTCAATCTGTAGAACATCCCCAGCCACCTGCCAATCCAATGCCTCCAGCTTCCAAAACTCCTGTTGACGGGGATCCCAGGGGCTCCACGTGGCTTATTCTGGCTCACAGCGGCCGCCACATGAGCAGAGGGTCTCTCAGGCGGTGGCAGTGGTGGTTTGGAGCTGGTCTCCTGGTTCATTATCTTCACCGGCGGCCCCAGCTTGGACTTGTCAGCCACCTTGGCAGCCTCCAGGGCCCTGTCGCAAATGGGGAAGCCCTGGTCATCCCAGGATTCCAAGATCACGCCAGAGCCGATGCAGGTGCTGCCATGGTAGAAGGCGGCGAATTGGCCCGCCGCCAGGCCCTGGTCGTCCTGGGAGAGGTGGACGATGGCGACGGCGGTGGCATCTTCTTGGCCCTCTCCACTCGGCTCTATGGCCATGGTGCAGTCGTAGAAGCCAGGGCCATGGCGGACCTGGAAAGCCAGAAAGATTGCTTCAGTCCATCAAAGAGTTCAAGAATCTTGGTTGGATTGGGATCTCTGACGGTTTTCAACCCCCAAAGAGATTGGAATTTTTCAGCATAACTCGGTGGGCCTTGCTGAGACCCCGCCTGCCCCCAGGCATTCTTTCTAGCCCTTGGGTACTGAGGATAAAGGAGAGAGAGAGAGAGAGAGAGAGAGAGAGAGAGAGGGGCCTCTCTCTCTCTCTCTCTCTCCTCGCTATCTATCTATCTATCTATCTCTCACTTGTCCTCTGTACCCAGGGGCCTCACTCTCTCTCTCTCTCTCTATCCATCTATCCATCTATCTATCTCAATCTCTCACTTCTTTGTCCTCTGTACCCAGGGCTCGAAAATATGTTAATTACCTTGCACTGCAGTTGGCTGTTCTTCTCTGGGGGCAAGCCGCTGACCCACTTCAAGGACTCCACACGGAATACTCTCCTCCTTTTATCCAGTGAGAAGTAGTTCCTCGACACAAAGACCACATTGTTCTCAACATCCTTCTCCACAACATACCTGCAATCATATGCATTTAAATCTCAGCAATACCCATTTATTATAGAATATAACTATAAACATTGCAATACCCATTTATAGAAAAGATGTGTATACCAGGGGCCTCCGGGAAGCCGCAAGCCCTGGCGTTGACCAATCGTGTAGAACCAGAAACCGCGGTGATAACCCAGGAAGTCCCCGGTCTCGGCCTCCAAGAGGACACCTTCCATCTCTCCAATGTGCCTTGCAACGAATTCGCTGAATTTGACCTGTAATACGACAAAAAAATGGGCGTATGAGCTATGGAAGTCGTCTGAGAGGGATTCAGGGCTACTATTTTGGGCTATGGCTGCACCAGACTCGACCAATTTTTTGACCAAGTCAGACGAATCGGTCAAACCCGCAGGTCAGACTGCATATAGTAATCCACAGCCCTCCCCTGGGGTCCGCCAATCAGACCAGTCAGATCCTGATTCAGGTCGGATCTGATGTGGCCAATCTACCCACAAAATCCAGTCAAACCAGATGGGTTTTTCACTATCTTTCATTTGAATTATAATGACTTCCGTCATGAAAAAATATTTTTCCTTGAAATCCCTACCGTTTTTCTGCTCTAAGCAACAACAGCAGGTGAGCTAATTTCTTTCACCTTTTCCTATAAATTTACTAAAAAAGAGGAGTTTTACAGGAGATTATGTTCATATTTTATATGTTCACATTGAGAGCCTACAAACCACAACAAATATCATTATTTTTAGTATTTACTGGACGAAAAGATGTCTACCTTTCCAAGAAAACAGATTCCCTGAGAGTCCTTCCTATCTTTGTTTGGGAGATCCATGACTGTAGCAAGCCCCCGCACTTCCTCCTGCAATGTTTGATTACAAGCCAGGTCAACGATAATAAGTCAACTTAAAATCCTTAGCACACTCATAAAATATACCAAGCTCCACATTATTTTCATGAATTTCATAATAAGAGATTGGAGAAATTGATGATGGATGAAATGGTCACTTAATTTCCCAAAGGGGGATAAGGATCCAAAAGGGGTAAGCAGAATCAGTCTGGGTTTGTTATGAAGGGGAAGGCATAAGACAGTAAATTATTGGGAGCAGCTATGAAACAGAACTGGCACTTAGACTGATTGGTGATAGTATTAAAAAAATGTATTAGAGGGAGTAATTATGGGGATGCTGAGTTGACTAGAAGAGCTGTTACATAAATCAGCACTGCTAGTCAACAGAAACCGAATTGGTGATACCTCCTCATCCATTTGGCAAATACGAACAAGACAAAAAAAAAATGTTAATTCCCCAGCAATTAAGTTGTCTACTATATCACAATATCCATAATATAAATATTTAACAATAAGATTTGATTAATAGTGAGAAAAGTTCGCACATTACCTTTGTGAGATGGCCGAGAGGAAAAAGAAGACGTTTGAGCTGACTCTGCGACAAATGTGACAGAAAATAAGTCTGATCCTTGACCTGAAAGATCCACGAATTTATAAAGCAAAGTCAACACGCGGCTGCAACGGAAAGAAAAAATTACCATTGTACGATCTCCATCATTGTGAAAGAAAAAAGGAAAAGGATACTGAATGATACAAAACAGATGATGACATTTAAGATTATTTCTGTTACCATATCATTGGATAATTTCAGAACGGAAGCCTCCTCTTGATTTGATGACGGGTGAACAATATGAGCATAATGTCCAGAAGCAACATAATCAAACTCCATACTTTCAATTGCATCAATGAAAGCCCCTGGAACATAAATAAGATAGATAATCAATGCGTATCAACTAAAGCCATGGAAACTTAACCATTAAAAGCCTGAGACCTACCGAATTTGATTCTTGTATTGCAGAGAACGTCAGGATTAGGAGTACGGCCACAGCGGTACTCAGCGATAATATGAGACACCTGAGACATCAGGTGGGGAAAACTCCATCAAATACATACGTAAAGATCAACAACCAGATAACAAAAGACGTGTGGATACAGGAGAATCTTGACCTTGACGGAAAGGGGGCACATTGAGCATAAGGCGTCCATGCAGTATAGTACAACAATTGAAATCAAGATGTACCAAAAAAAATTGTATAATTTTTCATAACGAATAGAATAAAAACCTGATGAATGAATTGTCAACATTCGGCTTAGATTTACTAGACAATGGATAATGATGCTTCAATGATGTTCCTGAGCAATACAATGAAACACCGCAGCTTCAAATGCATCCAAAAACGACCAAGAAACAGAAAATAAAGGATAAAATTAAAATAAAAAATGCCCCGTGGACAGCATAATCATTAATCAACTCCTCAACGCCTCACATGTTACTCAAATTAAAAACTGTAAGACACCTAGGCACATTTTTGGAAAAGTCTATCGGAGGGACCCAGAAAGTTTGTTAGCTTTACACAGAAGGATAAGATATTGACCATATTTGGGACATGAATTCCCTACCACATTGCTCCAGTATTCATCAGTCAAATGCACAACTTCCAGTGGGACTCCAACCTACATGGCATGGACATAAAACAATTTTTAGTTAAGAAGTTATCTGGTAAAGCTATATGAAGAGGACGAACCTAAATAAGAAGATAACATTTTCGACTCTATCATAAAAGAATACAGAAATATCCCATTAACGTTCAAACTATACCATTCAAGAAAGCTTGATCTCATATCACGAACTATTTCTGCCAAAATTAATGTTGTCTAACACTAGCAATTAGAATAACCTCAATAGGGCTAACTAATGTAGTCCACTGGATCTTCACACAAGGCAAACAGGGAAGTTGAACTAATGCCGCTAAGAAACAGAGATGAATTGCTATTCAAGAAAGCTTGATCTCATATCACGAACTAATTGAGAATGAAATCAATTAGACGGATGATTTTGGATGTAGAAAATATATTCTATTGAAATGAGTGAATTGGACGTCAACTCAAAAAACCATTAACCACAAGCCAGGATGGGAAAAAAACTGTACCTTACCTGATCGCAGACAGCTTTTGCGTACTTCAAATCCTCATCCCATGGGCATTCGGACCAAAAGTTCTCAAAATCTTCCTATAAAATAATAAAGAATTAGAAACAGAAAACATGAAGCAGAAACGAAAATGGAAACTTTGATGGCCAAAAATGGTACATTCTTGATTCGCATTTCTGCAAAGTGGATTCATCACGGTGAAAATGAAGAAGGGAAAATCCTTTTTTTTTCTAGAAATTTGCGCCTGTGTCATTTAGAAGAAACACTAAGTGGGGGTTTTTGCCACAATTAGTGTCTCACCATCGGAGTGACACTTTTAGTAATATAGGAAGTTTGATTCCAAACCATAACCCTTTTAAAACGTTAGGAAATGTTCTAGAGTCCGTAGTCACTGATGAACGCATTGCGTTTCCCTCCATGATACACAGATTAGCTTGCTTTGATCTGAGTCTCACCGTAGTTTTGCACGTTTGTTATCTAACTAAGAAGTGACTTATCTGCTTACCCTTGATGTAATAATTTCCCGAGCACCGAAAAAACGTGAAAAAAAAAGGAATTAAGATCCGTGCGCACAGAAGATAAGAAGTTAAACAAACAACGTAGATACCTGGAACCATATCTTGAGATAGAACGCGGTGCAGGCGTGGCCAGCAGCATGGAGGAGTCGGAGGGCGACGCTGCTGTCGACGCCGCCACTGACAAGGATGGCGACCTTCAGGCCCCGCCCGGGCATCGAGCACGCCAGGAAGGACTCATGAACGACGAGTGAGTGAGCAGAAGATGAGGAGGTAAAGCCAGATGAATTCAGCGAGGTGGGGCTAGAAACAGAAGCAGAAATAGAAGCTCTGCTTCCGTGAGTGCCAACAGTACCAGATAGAAATCCAGAAAGTCTCTCGGCGGAACTAGGAGGACGCTTCGGGGGGGCCCGGAGGAGACTGAGAGCAAGAGGAAGGGGCTTACGGAGGAGGTCAGAGCTCCTCAGAGGTGAGAGGATGGGGCGGGGAGCTATTGCGGGGGAAGCCGCCGCCATGGATCGCCACCGCATGCTCCACCCCGCCGGCGGCGGCGCCGCCGTCGCCTCCGGTAGCTGGCTGATCAGAGATATCCAACGCTGCCTGATCTATAAATTCACGGTATTTATACTTACTCTTTTTAAATTTTGCTACTTTACTCGGGATTATTTGGTTTCCGCCCCTATTCTTCTTTGCATCTTATAATTATTTCCCACAACCTTTTTTATTACCAATAAATTCTTAGTCAAACCATCCCACAACGACGGTTCAATTAGTCCTGTCGGAGGCCCATCAGGATCGCCAGCCTTCAAGGGTAAAAATGCCATTTAAAAATGTAAATGAATTTTGTAGGAATGTATAGAAATTCCTAATATGGGAAGAAAATTCATAAAATTAGTCGAAACGATTTATAAAAAATTTTAAGGGATTCAATTTAAAAAAACTTGTTATTTTTTTTAATTTATTGAATTAGCCTTCTCCTTTGGATTTGGGCCTTAAAAAGAAAAACGAACCCTCTAAGTCCGGTCCAGAAGAATTGGGCCCCACTGATATCCGTCAAGCTTAACTAACATTCATACCCCTGAAGGTGAACACGTAAATATATTATTTTTAAAAGATAATTGTAAATAAGGGTCTCAATATGGTTTTATGTACAAAAAGTCAATTTAACTGGCCTCTCTGGTTCTCTGAATCAGATCGATCTGCAGCAATGGCGGCTTCCTGGCTGCCCCTGCTCGTGGGGGTGACGTCATCGGTGGTGGTGGTGCTGCTTTTCGCCTTCGTCGGGGCGGCGTGGCTGAAGGCGAGGCGGAACCCTAGGAGAGCGGCGGCGGCGTTCTTCCATCCCTACACGAACGATGGCGGAGGAGGGGAGCGTGTGCTCTGGTGCGCAGTCAAGGCCGTACAGGAGGAGCGTCCCGACCTTCCATGCGTCGTCTATACGGGGGATCGCGATGCGACGTCCGAGGGACTCGTGGCCCGCGCCCTGGACCGTTTCGGCGTCAGGCTTCTAGCCCCACCTGAGGTAGAATTCGATCCCCGATTCTTCCTCCTGTTTGTGTATGTTCTTCGTTCATCGTTGGTTTCCGCGCACTGTGCACGATCTTCTGACGTCTTCCAGGGAGTGATCAATTCTGAGCCATGCTGATTTTCCTGGTCTTGTATTAGCACGTATTAATCTAAAGAAATATTCACCTGTTTTTACTGGAACCGCCTCACGGAGAGAAGAGTCCAGTTATATTAACAGCTTGAAATGATTACAGTGTACCTCGAGGCATTGAAATGCCTGTGTTACAATTGTAATCAGACTCCAAGGAGAGAACAGGGAGAATGGGATCAAGAGTTCTGTAGAACGACTCTTAGGAAGAATTCAGTGACACTCAGAACAGAACTCTGGAGGCGACATCATAAACAATACAGAGAAAGAATATGAAGGACCAAAAACAGGGCAGAAAGACAGTCAGGGAAGAAGAACAGAGAAAAAAACTTAGTAAAAAAATGGTCTATGGTCACACAGAGGTTGTTGCTAAGGGAACCAGCTCCATGGCATTATTCCATGCACTCCGAAAACCCATACCTGGTTCATTACCATAATCCACCCTAATAAACTTCATGTAGAGATCTGGTTACTCACATGCCACAGATCTTGGGACGTAACAGGGTGCTAGCTGTGGTGCTTGTTCATACAACTTTCTTGCTATTCAGAAGTGGAACCGTGCCACCTTCACATAGGGAAACTTTGTTTGAGCTTTGTTTTACTGTTCTTCCATGGCTGCTCTTGTTCCCAGACAATATATCTTCTACTGTGTGTTTCATTGATTGCCAATTTTCCTATAAATCCTCCTCAAAATGGAAATTATAAATCCAAGTCTGGTACAATTGCATTGGGTGTTTATGGCAGAACCTCCTCTGCAACTGGACACTGCTCATCTCATTAGTTTCTTTGATTATGCTTGATGAATAGGTAGTAATCTTGTCAAGGAGGAGGTGGATCGAAGAGCGCACCTACCCCCGTTTCACTCTGATCGGCCAAAGCCTTGGCTCAGTCTATCTTTCATGGGAGGCTTTGTGCAAGCTGACGCCACAGTTTTATTTTGACACCAGCGGCTATGCTTTTACTTATCCGGTCGCCAAGCTGTTTGGATGCAAAGTTATCTGCTATACACATTATCCAACAATAAGCTCAGATATGATTTCCCGTGTCTGTCGGCGTACCTCAATGTACAATAATGATTCTGCTATCGCAAAGAGGTGAGCCCTGCTCTTGGATTAATTTTTCTAATTACTGCAACCTTCATGCCCACCATAAGATTGAGTGATCATGAAGTAATCTTAGCCAGTCATCTGTGAGCTCATGGATGGCCCATGGGTTCCTAATGTGCATGGGCTTTGTGCTTGTAATACTCTCCTGATACCATTCATATTGGCTCATATATAGCTTCATTTAATTCGTAGTTTTTCAGCCAAGGAACAGCCTGATCTACTCTCCATCAAGATCATAATGAATCCGTAGATAATTCAAAATATTTCTCAAAAATATAGCATACGCCCAGCAGTGTGGTGCATCTCTTGGACTGATTGTTGCTGTTGCTAGGAGCAAAACTGCGGCCCATAGCAGACGGCGAAGGAGAAAGAGCAACAAAGAAGATGGAAAGAGAGAAAAGAGATAAAGAATGCTGGAACACAGATTTTATGTTTTTCTGAAGGTTTTGTTATTCTCACGTCCACAGTTGCTTGGGCCCACTATGGTGAAGAAATTATGATACTCAAGAGAGTAGATACTGGTCCATGCTTGGGATAAAAAGTCATTAATACCCCAAAAAAATTCCTCCTGGCTTGTGAAAGAATAAGTGGTATTCTTGTCTTTTCATTCTCATGCATGAGTTCAATCATCGAAACATCAGATTCTAAGTAAATCCAAGTGGTTTTCTACGAATGAATCCATGGAAGGTGGGACCAGCTCACTTCAGATTCAGTATCTTGACTGCATCATAAAGAGGGATGAAGCATATGCAATTATTCTAGAGAGGCTAACAATGATCAGTGTTCTCCAACAGGAAACAATACCTTTGCTTATACCTGCACAGTATTAGCATCCCTGCATCATTTGACTAACGATTTGATTCTCAAACATGATATTATTAATCTAATATAACTGCCCCTGGCTTCTGGAATTTTCTCTTTAATTATTTATATTACAAAAAAAAATTAGGGTCATGAGTGCTTTCCATCAATCGCCATGTTTCTTCACCAGCTGATCATCTCATGAAGTTCCCATGACATTATTCCGATTGGATTCATGATCTTCATAATCTGTCCTCTCCCAGTACATGGCTATCTTGGTGCAAGATCATCTACTACACCTTGTTCACTCGGATGTACGGCTTCGTGGGGTCCTTTGCTGATCTCGCCATGGTGAACTCCTCCTGGACAAGATCACACATCGAGAAGCTCTGGAAAATTCCTCAACGAACCAGGAGGGTTTACCCACCCTGTGATACCTCAGCTCTTCAGGTATATCTTCTCTCAGCATTCTGCCTGATTATGCTGTATCATACACACTGAATGATTTTATTTGTGCTTAATTCGGCCCACAGACGCTCCCTCTGGAACGGCGCACAGAACCACCAGTGTTCATATCAATAGCACAGTTTCGCCCAGAAAAGGTAAATAACAGTTCATCAGAAACACAATCTCTCTGGTCTGTAGTCACCCATTAAATAGAAAGAAGCTCCTGTGGTTCTTGCAAATATCTTCAATCAGGCCCACGCTGTCCAACTCGAAGCTCTGTCACTTGCTCTGGGGAGGTTGGATGCGTCGTCACCCAGACCGAAGCTCCTGCTTGTGGGCAGCTGCAGGAACAATGATGATGAAGAGCGGGTCAAGAAGCTCAGGGAAATGTGTGACCGGCTTGGCATCGATCAAGATGTGGAATTCCATGTGGATGTGATCTACAGGTTTGCAGTTCTCCACCATCTTCTGCTAGTCGTAACTTCTTGCTGCTTCATCAGCTCGATCCTCCATGGTGCAGGGAACTGGTCCGGCTCCTCGGAGGCGCCATTGCAGGCCTCCACTCCATGGTAGACGAGCACTTTGGGATAAGCATCGTGGAATACATGGCAGCCGGCGCCATTCCAATCGGTACCCCTCCGCTTCTTCTTCCTCCGTCCTTCCTTCCTTCCTCCCTTCCTCCCTTCCTCCCTTCCTCCCTTCCCAAAGAGAGAAAGCAGAAACCCTAACTGCACTGTGCGATGATCGTCAAGCGTCCTCTCTGACTGCTTCTCCACCTCCCACCAGCTCACAACTCCGCTGGCCCCAAGATGGACATCGTCGCGGACGAGGACGGCTGCCGCACCGGATTCCTCGCCGGCGACGCGGAGCAGTACGCCGGCGCCATTCTCGCCGTTCTGCAGATGCCGGAGACCGATCGGCTGCTGATCGCGGCGGCGGCGAGGCGCCGGGCGGAGAGATTCTCGGAGAAGAGGTTCTACGAGGATTTCCTCACCGCCGTCCGGCCGATCCTCCTCGTCGGGAGATGAACGCCGGCAATCGGAGATGGAAGAGCTTCCTCAGATCCTCCTCCTCCTCGGGAGATGAACGCCGGCAATCGGAGGAGATCGAAGAGCTTCCTCAGCTTTCCTCCTATGCGAAGGCGTCACAGTTTCTTCCGAGGTTTCGACCTCGGTCTGCGTAAATTTTGACCACAACATTCGCAACCTTAGTCAACGTCCCCTTGTCTCGCGACTTGGCTTCGCTCTTTTTGGGCTTACGAGCCGACCCTGTCTATCCCGGGCCACTGGTTTGGTCCGGGCCGGGCCCATTCCTAATCCTAATTATGAGATAATATTGGAGGCATGCCACGTGGAAGAAATTATTTTCGTCCATGTGGCACATTTTTGCATGTGGCGGTTAACCGGCGACTCAACATGGGACGTGGCGATGAACATTGATGTGGCACGTGAATGATCTGCCACGTGGATGCGGCTTCCCCCACGAAGCTGGCGTGCCATTAAATATAGTCCCATTTTGCACGTGTAGACATATACGTATGTACCGCACGTGCGGCATCGGCGCCTTCGATCTGCAAAATGAACGGTCGCGATTGCATAGAGATATCCCCCTTATCCGAACACACTGGGTTTTCCGTTTTCTCCGCTCCGCGATTTCCCTCCATCTCTCTCGACTGAAGAGGAGTCCTCGGCGGAGGAAGCGAAGCGAGGTAGAAGACGAGGCGATGACCGGGATGCACGGTTTGTCGGCGGCCGGTGCGGCCTCTCTGAGGTCTTTCCATGGCGGTGCTCCATCGGCGCTCCTCCCACGCTACGATTGTCACCTTCCCGAGGCCGCCAGGGGAGGGGCCGTCGTCGCGGCCGCAGGTAGCTCACTGTCTCCTACAGATCACCTCTTCAGCTTCTCCTGCTGCATCGTCCTTATTTTTTCTACCTCCCTCGCCCCTTTTGTTGAGTAATCGAGCTCCGTAAGCGTAGAGGGGCCTGTGATTCTTCTTTCCCGGTGGTGTTGGTGGCGTGGGATGGGCGCATTTCTCTTCCGGAAATTAATTTAGTTAGATTTCTTCTTTCTGATGAGGTGGTAGTGGTTAGCATCTCTTCGGCAGTGTTAGCAGCTATGGTCCGTTCGCTGCCGTTACATTTTGAAGAGCATAAATGTCGGAGAGGGAGGAAAACTTGGAGCCTTCTACAATTTTGGTTTAATCGGCAACATTTTATTTAGTGCGTTCCCTCAGCTGCGGGGAGCACTTGGAGAACCACATTATTTATGGCATGATTGTGCAGGACGTGTATGCATGTTTAAGAAAGTGCCTTCGTTGAAGTCAGCTTCTAGCTATGTGCGGCTTCAGGACGGTAAAAATGCGTTTTTAGGCAATAATGCTGTCTCCACTCAAACTGAACAGAAGAGGCAAGTTTAATTTTTAATATTTCATTATTTTTTAAGCAGCTTTTCGACCGTTTAAATTTTCTCTGATGTCGTTGCTATCTTTTCAGAGCAGGGATCGTCAAGTGTGCTACAATTGAGGAAATTGAAGCTGAGAAATCTTTGATTGAGAAGGATGCGGTATGTGATGATTGCCTTTTTCTAGTTAGATAACGAACATCTGGTTACTGAGTTCATTTCGATTCCTCCTACACATGTTTCAGAAACAAAGGATGGAAAAAACAATTGAATCTATGCGGGCTAATTTCAATGCTGTCAGGACAGGAAGATCAAATCCGGCAATGCTTGATAGGATCGAAGTATGTCAGCCAAATTGGTAGCTACTATCAGTTTATCATCATTTATAGTTTCTTATTCGAAGTGATTCCATCTTTTTTATTTATCAGAAATATACTGACAAGGAATGCCTGTCGATCCATAAATGTTTTCTGATTTGAAAACTATATCAATTTAGGTTGTTTTAATAGTATTAAAGTAGAAATGTGCTGGGAAAAATTTATGGCTTTGATAAATATATTTTCATGTAGAAAAGAAGGCTGATATTCTCGTGTAAATTGATTGACCTCGATTGTCGTGTCCTGATCAGATTTGCCATTTCAGGTCGAGTACTATGGGAGTCCAGTTAGCTTGAAGAGCATTGCACAGATCAGTACTCCGGATGCAAGTTCCTTGCTTGTTCAACCTTATGACAAGTCTAGGTAATGTCTCCAGGGTTATCTGATTCAGTTTTTAATGCGTCCCAGCCTTGTCGCTTGTTAATTAAAGAATTTTCCATTTATCAGACGCCTTTTACATATGAGAGATTCGTTCTTCACAAATCCAATGAGATAGAGATAAATTACATTTCATGTCAGCAGCCTTCCTGTCAATCTAGAATACTGTGGATGCTGGGTTATTCCATGATTCCATTACAAACAAAAAGCATCTTGTGCATGTCGGCCTTTGTGGAATGTATTTGCTTTTTTTTCATTGAGTTTGAATGGTTGCTTTAGTATTTTCATTATGACCCTAAGAAATATGTTGCCTTTCGGGAAAATAATACATTGCAGCCCAGATACTAGTGATAATAGAAGTGACATATTCATGTGATAAGCAAGAGTTGTTCAACCCAAGTTTGAAAATGATGCTACCATTATCTAGTGCGTAAAAGAAAATACAGAATTCTAACATATCTTACAAATAAACCTTTTAAGCTACCAATTTGAGTCTATAAAATGAATTTTCTTCAAAACGTGAAGAACTGAATAGCCACTCTCATTATCACTAATACCAGCAGATCCTCACAGAACAAATAGCCGAAGCGTAATTTCTCTACTATATTTTTATGACTGCCAAGCCAGTCCTGTCATGATATCACCGCTGGATGATTATTGCTTTAATTCTCAGTATCATTTCAAATGTTTATCAGTTTTTTAATCTGGTTTCAAAACTGTGTCCAGCTTGAAAATTATTGAGAAAGCTATTGTCAATTCTGATATTGGTTTAACCCCAAACAATGATGGAGAAGTGATACGATTAAGCATCCCTCAGTTGACATCTGAGAGAAGAAAGGTATATGCGTACATCCACATCTAATATTTTATTTTACTCCTTTATTTTGCCTAATATACCGACATTACATTGTCAGTGAACATCACATGCAATTTACTTGACCTTATGGACTATGACACTAGTATTTTTTTGGAATGGTTTGGTTTCAAAGTTTTCTGGTTTTTTTTTCAAAAAAAAAGAATTGGGAAAATATGATTTGGCCGTTGTAACTATCGAATAAATCTGCTTCTTAGTTGTATTTTCTCTGTAAATTATTGTACAAGTTTCAAATTGGTGATGGAAATCAGTGATAGTCACAAATATTACCTGGATAATTGCTCTAGGCTTTCCTCAAGACTAACCATTTACCCGCTGCACCATCTGAATCTGGATAGAAGTCCTCCCTCCAGGAGCCTGGGCCCCATTTTTTTCCATTTAGTTCACGCATTGGTTCTCTCAAATGAATATAGATCAGTCAAATATCCCAGTAATATAGAACAGGCGTCCCCCAATTTATGAAAGATACAGTTTAGAGTTCATGGCAGAGTCCAATATGGTAGTTGTTATTTTAATGCGCCGGAATTTTCTTCTGGAAACCTGTTCAATTTCATATGAATGCCCTCAGCCTTGTCCTATTTCCATATCTATTGCCTGGTGATTGTATATCATGCCTTTAATGACTTCGAATTTTCCTAAGCTGCCCAGAATCTAGAATACAAAAGCATTTATCAGTGAAAGTCATTTCTAAGTGATCTTAGTTGAATTAAAAAAAAATCTCTACTGGGAATCTTGAAAAGCCACTTTTTGACTACAACATTGACGAAGTCAACAATGACGCAATTTCCATTCCCTGGAAAAGAAAAAAAATATAATCTGGATTTCCAGTGCACACAGGGAGGAAAAGGCAGATTCTTATTATTATGATTATGTAGATCGAGTGAAAGGGTTGACCAGAGAGGTATAAGAAATGCTGAATGGCATATGTGGCTGGCTGCCAAAGTTCTTGGCTTCTGAGTGAAATGAAATGACTGAATTATTGACTATTCTGGCAGAGTTTGAAGATATTACCGTAGCAGAAAAACATGATCCTAGGTTATATGAAGGTAGATCATGGCAGATTTCGTCAGAATCTTGAGTTGACTAAGTACACTTTTGGGAAAGTCAAACGTTGTTGTTTGTGCTAAGAGCGTATGGATCCATGAGTTCCATTTTCCTATTTTTCTTCTATAGTTTATGTCGCCTGCTATATCTTCTCTTCTTTCTTTCTGAGAACTGAATTTTTGGTACCATCTGCCTTTGATTATTTTTTTCCTTAGAATAAATGGGTATCATCTCATTTAAAAATGCCTTACTTTATATCATTCATGATTTTGATGTAATATTGTAGACAAGATCAGTTAACTGGGAGGTATTCTCGAACCAGACTGGCTGCAGATTAATTATTTCTTTTTCTTTATCACAAGAAAATATATCCGGGTTCTTCAGACATCATGCATGGGGGTTCAGCCGTTGTTGGCAACGGTTTTTTATTTTTATTTTTTATTCGTGTAAAAAATATATTTTTATTCCATTATCTCTAAGTCGCGTCAATTTCTTGCTAATTCGGTTTTGTTTTCTATCCGTTGACCTCAGGAACTGTCAAAAGTCGTCGCAAAGCAAGCTGAAGAAGGAAAGGTATGGAAAATCGTGTAATTATGAGTTACTGTCATTATATGCGTTGGAAAAATAGATGCACATGATCTATTTTATATATTCATCGGGGAAAATAAATTATTTTACTTATTCAGGATCTCATAATAATTATTTATATTTTTATTATTCCTATTTTTTGGGGATAGCTTCACATTAATTGCTAGGATAATTTGTGTGTATTCCCTCAATTAAACAACAATCGTTTGCAATTTTTATTGGAGAATATTATCCCCCGTTCTTCAAGTGCTGGATATAATGGGAAATATTTTATTAGAAATATTATATTTACTCTCTTTTTTCACCTCAAAAATAAGCCCAAAAGGAAAATAGACCCTTGCCTTATCTATCTGATGTTCAGGCTTTAGCTGATGTCCGCATCTCTCTCTCTCTCTCTCTCTCTCTCTCTCTCGCTAGCTATCTCTCTCTTGCTCGCTCTCTCTCGTTCAGACTTATACATTGATATTAATGATTTTTTTCTTGCATGCCCTTTCTCTACGATTATCCGTTGACTTTTGCGTCTCTTACAGGTTGCCATTAGAAATATAAGAAGGGATGCGATCAAGGCATATGAGAAACTCGAGAAGGTGAGCATCTCCAAAACCCACCCCAAACAACCCAAAATACATCTTTACCTTTTCTTTTTTTTCAAAAAAAATTAGGAGAAGAAACTTTCCGAAGACAATGTCAAGGACTTGTCGAGTGATCTCCAGGTGCCACGACCCCCAGCCTCACTCATGATTTCATCAATTTACTGTTTTCATTTATTTCATTATATTTCATTAATTTTATTTATTATTGATGCAGAAAGTGACAGATGAATACATGAAAAAGATAGACTCCCTTCAGAAACAGAAGGAGAAGGTACGATCCTCCCAGCTCTAATTTATTCTTTTTTGGTAAAAAACAAAAAAGTTTCCTTAGATGCTCTCTCTCTCTCTCTCTCTCTCCCTCTCTCATGGGGTTGGTCTTTCAGGAGCTGTTGTCGGTGTGATCGATCAGAGTTTCTCCCTCATCGTCTCCCCCTCCAACTGCAGCCGGCAACTGTGAATATCAGTCACTACCGCCACACTCTTCCCTCCAAAGAAACCTTCTTTCTTTGACCCTTTGATGGTCTCTGGCCAGGCAATCTGAGTCGGTGCATCCTCTCTCTCTCTCTCTCTCTCTCTCCCAACCAGGGGATGCAGTTCTTGAGACCGTCAGGATCGTGTCCATTTTCCTCATGGTATTTTTGTTCCCAAAAAAGAAAAAAAAAGATTCCTAGTGTTTTTTTCTATAGCGGTGTTAATGGGTCATATGGGCCATGTGGGCCCCGACTTGATCTGGGCCCACGATACTCCACCTCTTGGTCAGGGTCGTAATGCGGGGGGACCCAGACTTCGTCTCGTCGGTACCGCCGTGACGTTGCCGTTAAATTACCTATGGGATTTGAGAAACATATTCGTCACGTGATTAATTCCGAATAATCCGTTGCGCTTGTCGGGAAGGAAGTCTGAGAAATGACGTCATTCCATAGATCGGGGTATGACGAAGCTGTAAGCGCTGTGGGGCCCAGGACATCTCCATCGCCGAGATCCGCGGGGTATCTTGGTGACTCAGCTTGGAGTGGGGGGGGTTGGGGGTCTTGTGGGCCCCACCTGGGAAGAGAAAAAATATCCCGCGCCGCCCGTGCCGCCTGGCTGATATTCCGAGCCGGGAACGATTCCCATCACCCGGCCTCGGCAGGCGAGACGAGCTGTGTGACTCGGTGGGTCCCAAAGTTTCTTGAAAAACACGCCTCATGCCCTAATATGCCCCGAAAAGTAAAAATGGGTTTTTTGCGTCTCAAGTGCCTACTAGAAAGAGAGTGCGCCACGAGGTTGACTATAATAATAGTAACGTGTACAAAAGATGGCGTTTGGACTTCCAGAGAGACAAAGAGACAGACAGGGGCGATGGGCGTTGAAGGCAATGTAAGCCATAAGTAGAGAGAGAAAGAGAGATGAAGGCCTCCACCGTCTCGATCTGCATGCGCTCGCATTATATTATTATTATTGTTATTATTATAGTGTGGGGGTCCCGACAATGGCGGATCAATGAAATAATCCACTTACCAAATAGTTCTGCATTGAATAATTATTAAACTAATAAAAATATGTCAAGCCCATTTAATAATAGGATGATGGAGAATAAAATATGCGCCTAAGTAGAGAGACTGCGGGCCCCACAAAAATATCTCCCCCCCCCTCCCCCCATGTCCCGTCTTTATGAGAGAGAGAGAGAGAGAAACGGGTAGACGGGTGGCAAGAGAGATGTGTGAGAGAGACAGACAGACAGACAGATAGATGGAGAGAGAGAGAGAGAGAGAGATGTGAAGCTGTTCCAGTCGCGGCCCAATAAGGGACTTCGTTAATGGGCGCCGCCACATCTCTCTCGGGCCCACCGCGTTGGGTGGGCAATTAGCGGCCAAGGTGGCGCCACGTAAGGAACACGTGGCAAGGCGCTCTACCCACTGTAACAGGCTGGGCCGGCGGATACCCAGCATAGCCATTATTTATGATTTTGCGAATCAACTACGATATTATTTTAATGGATAGAATTGATGCAATCAATCGGGGCCGTTGGATGCTCTGGTCCGCAGGGCAAGGCAGCCGGTCACGGCTCAAAAGGCCTCCGAAACCGGCTGTTGCCGGTCGCGATAGACGACAAAATGGCAACGTCTTTATTGGCGGTGATCCGTACGGTCGATCTGAACCCTAATTAGCGAAATCTGAGGGGGGCGGTTCTACGAGACGACATACCCATCGGACGGCGCGCATGTTTACCACGCTGGCAGCAGCGGATTTGGACGGCAGAGATGTGGAAGATTTTGACGGCCGAGATCTGCGTGGGGGAGCTGATCAGTAGATCTCAGCCGTTGGTTAGCTCGCACGGTGGGGGATAGGGGCACTGTAAAAGCAAGAGCAGGTCAGATATGGCAGCAGAGAAGCGGATAGAGAAGGCGGAAAGAGGGAGAGGGAGTAGGAGCAGCGGCGGCGGCGAGCAGGAGAAGCAGAGGCGGTGGCGGCGGTAGTGGCGGCGGCGATCTGCGGGGCAAGAGGGAGTCGGTGGGGGAGGGGAGGTGGAGAAATCTCCTCATTCGTCTTGTCGGAGGGTTTTTTCGGTTGATTAAATTCGGCGTTGCCGGAGGTTGCCGGAGGTGGGGGATAGGAGAGGGTATGAGATACAGCGCCGCCGATGATCTGCCCTGGATTGATGCGTGAGAGGGAAAGGAGGAGATGGAGAGGAGCAGGGACGGGAAGAGAGGGAGCGTGACGGCGGGGAACGGGTTGTCGCGGCGGAGGGCGAGGAGCAGTGGCTTGAGGGTCTCCCCAGGTTCGACTAGGATTTCTTGCTGGATCTGTGTGGTTGTGACCTTCTGTTGTCATTTCCGATGTTCTTTTCTGATGGCTGCTGTGTTTACTTCTTTCAGAAGATGGAGGGGTGGAGTTGCAGGAGACCATTCGGCTGCGCAGTCGGGGGGGTAAGAAGGATCGAGATCGAGATCGGGATCGGGACAGATCTGGCCGGAGCAAGCGGAGAAGAGGGGACCGGATGATGGCTGGGAGCAACCGCGATGAAGGAGAGGATAGCAGCGATGAAAGCGTAGACGAGGAGGAAGAGGACGAAGATGACGAGGAGAGGACAGCTGTACTGCTGCCGCCTCTGCCTTCCAATCTCTCTCCCCCCTCGTCGTCGCTGCAGCATAACCATCCTCCCCGGAGGGGTGTACCGCCGAGGACTGCAAAGTCTCCGCCGGTGTGGAGAGCAGCTGATGAGATGATCGCTGTCTCAGTGCCGAGGAAAGCTCGCTCAGGTAGAGGACCGCCGTAGTGGGGATTTGTGGACCCTAGGATTCTGTTTGCTGGTTTTCTGAGTTGCAAGTTCTTGAACGGTTCTTTTTCCTTTTCTTTGCTTTGGTTTTGCAGCATATGCGAAAAGGTCACATGAACATTGGGTTTCAGGTAGCAGCGGCAACGGAGGAGCCGGAGAGCAGCTACGTCGCCAAGCTTCCACTTCTCCTTCAAGGCAAATCCACGCCGCTGCTGCTCCTGCTCCGACCTCACCGTCTTCCTCCAATGCCTCAGTTAGGAAAAGGATGGTAAGATTTGCAGCTCGCCGTGTGATTTTTTCCTCCGATTCATCCCTTTTTTTTTCCTCCCAAATCTAAGACCCATCTGGTCAACGGCTTGCTTTGCAGAAGCCTGTTGGTGGACCAAAGCCCCGGCCAACGAAGGTCGCCAAATCCCCGTCGTCCATTCAAGAGATAGAGATCGAGGTTGCCGAGGTGCTGTATGGACTGACGAGGCAGTTCCAGGACCCTGCAAATAAGCATGATTCGAAGGACACCAACGGATGCGTTAAGGATTCGAAATGCAGGGTTTTGTCGCCGTCTTCAGCATCGGCTGCTCCAGGCATACCCAAGTCCTCTCTCCTGCCTCCACAGAATTCTAGTATTTCTACAGCCCCGTTGCCTGCAGTGGGTATGCTCCCATTTCAAAGTTAGATTTTTTATTTCCTACACTTTCCAATGTCTGCTGAATTTGATGAACTCCTTCCCGACATCTCCAGCACCAAAACGGAAGAGACCGCGGCCGGTTAAGTTTGAAGAAGAGCACCCTACAAGTCCTTCCGTTCAATCTACGATTCCAGGTCCCCTGATATCTTCAATACGTAAGGCATCTGACGGGGACAAGCCCAAAATGGAACATCCATCGCCGAAATCTGAGAAAAACTCAGCGTTGTCACTGGCTGGAAATGGAGAGACTTCGCTTGATTTGAGCTCTCATTCAGTGGGCGAGAAGACTGCTGATGTTGAAGGAGAGCTAGTGATGCTAGATAGTGCTCATGTTTCTGATGTGAAGTCTCCAATGCCTGAACGGGGCTGCCACGATGCTGCTGAAACGAAAGAAGAAACTCCATCTGGGGATAGCCCGAGGGAGAAATTAAAGATAGATTTAATGGCGAGTATTTTAAAGAGATGGTTACTTTTCTTTTCTTTTCCTTTGGTTAATCAAAATGTCAATGATTGCACTGTTCCATGCAGGTCCCTCCTGGCAACTCTTCATCAGCGGGAGAAACAAATCCCCCAGTACATGAGGTGTGTTGCATCTCTAGCCATCTTCAGCTCGGTCGTTTGGCTGGACACTTGGTTTCTCACTGTCATTATGTGCTGCCTTTTTTCACAGGCGCGAAAATTAAGACCCGTCAAGGGTTCAAATCTGGAGATGGGTGAGATCAGAGGAGAAGAGAAGACTGACGAGAGTTTGATGGAGTTAGGTTCCAGAAAACCTCCAGTGAAGGAGAGGCGGCCACTTGATCCACCTCTGGACATCGTTAAACAGGAAGGAGAAACTATTGATGCCCAGAAGCAGGGACTGAGACAGCAATCCGAGGCTCCAGGAGCAGGATCCAAACCGGAGAAAACCAGTAAGAGTACTGTAGATAAATTCTTATACTGCTGCCCTATTTTATTAAATTCTTTATCTTCTTTTTTTCAGTTCCACATCCATCATTGGCTCTGCCTATGCCTGTAGCTGGATTGCCCGGTACTCTTCCATTCGGGTGGGAATCGCTTGTCACTCAGTGTTATTTCATGTTCTTATGGCATTTATTGGACCTTCTTTACACTTTTTCCCATTATTCAGGTGTATGAGTCAAATTCCATCTCTCCAAGCTTTAATGCCCATGGATGGTAGAAGTTCACCCTACAAGGCTATACAGGTATTCCCCTTCCTCCTCCCTTGATCCCTCTTTTTTTATTTTTCTTTTTGGCATAAGTAATTAATTGGTCCTTTGTGATGCAGCCGCCCCATCTCCTCCCACAACAACTCCGACCCAAGCATTGCTCTACACATTGCTATATAGCCAAGAACATACAGTACCACCAGCACATTGCCCGGTTAGGCCCCTTCTGGCCAGCTGCTGCCGCTGCTGGTGTGGCATCATTATATGGAGCAAAGCCCAGCAATCCAAGTGCCGCACCTTCTCCAGGTCCTGCCCCTAGGAGCACAGGATCTGTGCAGGATAAAGCTTCCCCTCATTCATCAAAAGAAAAGTGCTCATCTTCATCTAGCCTTTTCGCTGATGCCTCACAGAGGAAGCAGCTTCATCAGCAGCCTTCCCCTGTGGGAACATCAAACAGCATGCTGGTATGAGCTCTGATGTAGTTGCTTTCATTTTCTTTAAGAAAGATTCCGTGATTAAGAACTCATCTGTTTTCAAATTTTTGAATTTCTTTCCAGCATGCCCCAGCATTCATATTTCCTCTCAATCAGCCACATCCAGCGGCAGTAGTAGCAGCCACTGCATCCCGAACAGCACCTGTGAAGCCTGCCAACCCAAATGTGGGCTCTTCTCCGGTCTCCAGCTCTGCTGCTACCTGTTCTTCATCATCAGATGTGAACCCATCTGCAGTTAGCTTCAATTACTCCAATTTGCCCCATGGCGAAGCTCAATATGTCGTTCTGCAGAATGGTGGATATCCCTTTCCTATTCCAGCACACATTGGAGCTACATACAGGGGGGGAAGCCACGCCCAACCATTACCCTTCTTCAATGGCTCCTTCTATGCCTCCCAGGTTCTTCATCCTTCTCAGTTGCAGCCTCAGCTACCGCCAGCAACAACTGGCCAACAAGCCCACCAGCCACACACAGGCACATCTAGCGGATCATCATCACAGAAGCACCCTCAGCAGCACCAGAAGAACCCTGCTGGGTATTTGAGCTCTTCTGGGGGGTCAACTCATGGTTTTCCTCCATCAAATCAACGGCAACACCAGTCCTCCCATCAATCAGTCGTTGAAGAAGGGCCATCCCCTTCAGAGAGCAGAGTTTCACAATCCCAGAAGGGTATCTATAGCAGCAACTTCTCGATGCCCGTTCATTCCCAGGGCTTTGCATTCATGTCCGGCCCAACAGCAGTGGTTGGCACTGCTGCCACTGCAAACCACAGTGACAAGCAACACCATGAACCGCCGCCGCCACAGTCTCACCAGCACCAGCACCAGCTCCAGCTCCAGCAGCAGAGCATGAAAGCGGCGGAGCTCAACTCTGCCCAGGCATTTGCTATGTCCTTTGCGGCCATGAATGGACCTAATGGTTCAAGACATACTGGACTGGATCTACCATCCAAGGGGCAACATCAGACCATCTTCCAGAGCCTCCCTCCAGAAGCTGCCAGCCAGAAGAAGGCACAGTACCAGCAGTCGGGGGATGGGAAATCCATGGGAGATCCAATCACCAGCGGAGCTCTCTCTGCTGGAGAGGACAGAAAGACAGCGCAGGCCGGAGGGAAGACTTCAAGCAGCGTTTCTCACCAGTCTGTTGCCTTCTCCAGGACTGAAGTTGATCCTTCCAGTGCTACCCTGTGCATCAACCCAGTCGATGGCTCAGCTCGGACATTGAATCTGATTTCTTCCTCTGCTATGAATGGTTCTCGAGCATCTCCCAACCAATCTGCTTCTTCCGGTCAGAATTCTCAACAGCAGCAGCAGCAGCATTTAGCTCATCTCCAGTCGCAGCAGCATCAACAGAGACAACTCCAATTCCAGCAGCAGCAGCAGCAGCAGCAGCAACATCTCCAAATGCAGCAGCAACAACGGCATTTCCAGTTGCAGCAGCAGCAGCAGCAACAACAGCAGCAACTCCAATTGCAACAGCACCTTGCTGCAGCACGAGGGAAGCCGACTGGAGCCAGTGATGCTGCTGTCTACTCCGAACGCTTGCCGGCGGGGACAGTGTTGCGGAAGTACTCTAGCTCCGCCGGTGGTGGCAGTGGCGGCAGCAGTGGCGGCGGCTATCCCCAACCCATGGTCCAAGCCGGCATCCCAACCCAGTCTCTGCAATGGAAGAGCTCCCCTAGGGGCGGGCCTCCAATAGCATCTTCTCCGAGCTCTGCTCCTGCCAAAAATCAGCAGCTTGGTAGGGCTCCGCCGCAGCTGTCCTTCGGGATGAACTCCATGAAACCTGCTCACTCCGGCCCACAGCAGCAGCAACCTGCAGCGGGCAGTCTTCCTTCATCGGCTTCCTCTGGCGGCGCGTCCCTCGGATCTCCGTCGACCGCGATCTCCAAGGGCGCCGGTGGGAGCAGCCCGAGGGCTTCTACCGGCGGCAAGGCGGCGCCGTCCACCCAGCAGCCTCTACAATCAAAGGGCGCGGCGGCGCCGTCAATGCTCGGCCAGCGCCATGCAGCTCCTCCGCCAAGCTCCGCCGCCAAATCCCACCAAGAACAGCAGCAGCAGTCGCAGCTACAGAAGCAGCAGTCTCTACCCCCAAGTCAGCTCTTCTTCTCCAATCCGTACTACCAGAGATCGTCGTCTGAACAGCAGCAGCCGGTGGCGCCGCCAAGTACGCAGTCGGGTGTGCTCTCTCTCTGCCCTCCTTCCGACGCTGCAAAGGCCGCCGCCGCCGCCGCCGCCGCCGGCATAAAAGGTCTGCCTCCTCCGAGCCTCCTTCAAGCTGCCCAATTCGCCGCCACTTCGGGCGCTCACACGCTCATGTCGGCAGCGGGCTTCCCCTACCTCCACGCCATGCCTTCTGTACCTGTCAAGCCTGCGGAGCACAAACCCGCCGCTGGTAGTCCACCCTAATCCTCCTCCCTAGAAGAGATATATATTTGAAGTATTGTTTAATTCTCATATGTTGAAGGCCGGCTTTCTTCATCAGGAAAATGACACCTTGCGCGTCTGCTGGCAGCCTGAGAAGAGGAAGAGGAGATGGGGATTTGGCGGTTCCGGCGCCGGCGAGTGACGTCGGAGCAGCCGTCTCCGGCGGGTTCGGCGGCGTGAATGGTCCCCCGCTCCGGCGGGCGAGGAGGACAGTGCATCTCGCTGCCGCCGCCGCCGCCGCCGTCTCCTTCGGGCCCGGTAAGAAGGGACGGGATGAGATAGGAGAGCGGTGTCAAGAAGATTCTGATAGTCTTCCTCATCAACCAACCCCCTAATATCCATCCAGTTAATAGAACTCTCTGAATCATCGGAAGATTCGTGAGGATCCTCTCTGTTTGTAGATCCTGAGGCCGTCCGCTCACTGGCCAGTTGGAGTGGGTGAAGAAGAAGCGCCGCCCGAGCCACCTCGGCGGCCCATTCGAACGCCCACCGCCGGCAGCCGTCGACAGTCTCCCCCCTCCCAGGTTCTTCTAATATTACTATTCTTTCCCTTACTGCTCCCTCCCTCTCTCTCTCTCTCGCTCTCTCTATCCAGCTCTTGCCGTCTCTCTGTCTCTTTCTTTTTATCCCCGTCCCTCTCGTCCATCTGGGCCATGACGACTCTCTCTCTCTCTCTCTCGCTATCTCTATCTCTCACTTTCTTTCTCCCTATGTGAAGGACGGGGCCCGTCTCGTACTGTGCTGAGCTCTCCCTCGTGGTCTGCGCCCCCAATCTGACGGGTGACGGGATCCGCACTCACATCTGTCCAGGGGGGGAGGCCAGGGTGGGGCACGTCGCCCCCTTTTAGGCCTCGGCTGCAGAGCATCACTTTTCTTTCAACGGGCAGCTAGGGGGTATGGTGGAGGGCCCCACTGACGGCCAGCTGGCAATCCACTTGGGTTGCCGTTGACCTTGCGGTTGGGGGATGATCTCTGACCGCCGCTGGCCGTCTGGAACGGCGGCGTATCTTCCCCTCCGCCGCCGTGGCACATTGCCGACGCCGCCCGTCAGTACCCGCATCCCTCAGCTTTTCAGGCCCCAACTCGTCGAGAGATGCGGATCAGCCAGCTGCCATAAGGCTAACGCATGTGTAATATCTTAGTTTAGTCTTTTTTCTATCGATTCCCCAAGAGAAATCGGCAGTTGACTTTCGTGCTCTGAGAGGGTGGGGAACTGGCTCTACATGATTCTTTCCTGTTTTAGTGGGATATTTCAATAAAGATGACTTTCTTATGGAAAGTGTTTATAGCCAAAACTTATCATACTGTGGGTGTGAGGCCTAGCGTCTCCTAGATCTTGGGAATCGGTCTATGGGGATCTTGGGTTACTATAGATAAATATGAACCCTGCGATCAAGATGACTTTGTATGCTAATATAGCAAAAATTGAATATAGTTTCATGTCGTAAAATCCTTAAATCAGTAGTTCCTTGGGGCAACCAACTCAGGCCCAATCCTTGGATCTGAACGTGGTTCTAAATCTCCATGCAGTCCATTGTTCTACTTGCTTGAGTACCAGGGTACTCAAGCAAGTGGAACAATTGGGTCTGGTGTAGTCTAGTACTTGGGGTTGGATCTAACCTTCAAGTCGGCCTAAAGCCCATATCCCTATTTCATTTACACTGTACCTATCTAATTATTGAGCCCACCTCCCTACTAAGATCTGATGATCAACATAAAACATAAATATGCTTGATTGACCAATGTCCACCATGAAGGCCCCTCTGATTTATGCCCTCCTCAAATCAAATCTTTATACAAGGGAAAGTCTCATCAAGTCCTTAGATTTAGATAAGGGACCAACCCACATGCCACTTGACAAGTGAAGAGACTTGAATGTTTTATGGATTCTTTTGGTGGTTGGTTGGGCTTGGGCTAGTGAGACTTTGATCTGTTTCTCTATATCTTGTTAATTGTTGTTGTCCCAACCCATTTCCTACTTATGTCAATTAAAGTAAATAGTGTCAAAAGCCATCATTGTTTATGAAAGAGATTTTTTTTATCGTAAATGAATTTGCATTACTTGGATTCATCTGTTTATAAACCCATTAGATCCCCAAACATATTAGTTCCACCGTATAATTTTTTAGCTTGATGAATACTATTGACATGTTATATTTATGTTGCAAAATTTTGATCTTTTTTTTAGAGGTGATGGTGTTCCCTTATTGCTAAAGGAAAACATAGCCATTTAACATAAATTTTAAATAATAATATTTATTACTAGTCATGCCAACAATATATATATATCATAAAAATATATTGTATTGAAGGCAATTAATCAAGGTTTAGATCAATTGTAACTTGTGGATTATATGAAATGTACTCTCACACAATGCTCAAAGGTTGTAGTATAGTTAATAAAAACACACTCAATAATTAATGCACTTAGCCCACTAACTAGAAAATAAGAATAATTTCATCTAATTATGAAATTACACAACAATTTTGATTGATTGAAGTATACAATTTTGTTGAGGTGGTTAGAGATAAACTGAAAACACACAACCTTGATTAATACATCCTTAGGCATGTAAAAATAATGAAGATCAGAAACTACTCAAACCTAACAAGATTAATATGTTTTTCTTCTTTATTTAGAGTACATTAACACTCAATAACTATCTAGAGTCTTAATTTAGAGATGATTAGTTGGTTTAAATCTCAGTTTACCCTCTAGAATCATAAATCTTAAAAAGAGGAATGAGTATCCTTTATTTGAGTCCCAAAAATTGTAAATTTAAAAGAGATCATTATTAATTAATTCAACTATATAGAGTTGTGAATCTAGAAGAAAATTTATAAGTGAAATCTTGAGTTAGTTGGAGTTGTTAAAGTTAGTAGAAAGACACATAAAGCCTAAAGTTTATTGTGTACATACACAAAGAATCTATTAGAATCCAAAGAAGTAGCAACCTATGTTGTATTTGAAAAATGAAGTATAATCATTAAACCATAGAACTACCTAGAAGTAGAATCACTATTTACTTAATGTGGGAATTGTGAAAAGAGAGAAACACAATGTGGATAGGAAGGGGACAATATTTTGTTGCTCTCATTATAGACATGTAAAACATGGGCATGTAGAATTACCTCCTTAATGAATGGCAAACTTTCTTTTACATAGAAAATGCAAATGACCCTATTGAGTTGAGAAATCTATCTATCACAAGAAGAATCCATACCATAGAACTAGTTTCTTGGACCCCCCCCTCCCTATGGTATTATCAAGCTTAATGTTGATAGGGCTTCATTAAGAAATCCTAATAAAGTAGGGGGGGAAATAATTCAAGATCATGAAGGAAAATTGATGTGTATTTCAGAAATGTATGGCCATGCATCTAACATGAAGGTGAAATGTTGTGCCATGGCTGATAGTGTAAATTTTTTTTCAATTGTCAATTTATAAATGTTGAAGTGCAAATTGATTTTTTAGTATTGACAATCATGCTACATTTAAAATCTTATAAAATGTGGAAATTATCTAAATAGTGGCAATAAAATTTTAGAGCGCTTACATATTATATGTAGGATATATCATCAAGTTAGGGAAAATGCAATCAAAAAGAGGAGTTGCCCAGTTCACTCCCCCCCCCCCCCCAAATCTCAAACCTCAAAAGAAAAAAAAGAAAAATATACAATGGAAAAATAAGATGCAAAGAAGGAGTAGAAGGGGTAAATCTGTGAGGAAAAGGCTACCCAATTCAATTAGGCCCTCACCCACTAAAATATAAAAAGTAGTACAGTTGGGGGATTAGCATTGGACACTAGAGTGTATGGTCAAATGTAGAAAGATGAGTGGGGGGGATCATTGCTGGATTGGTCATAGAGGAAAGGCAACTAGCATAATTTTTGGGGCCCATTCCTCAAGAACAAGGAGGACATGGTGATGTGGAGAGGTGGAACCCCATATTAACCTATCTTGATGTATATAGGTGGATTTAATGGTTGTTGGATGATAGCTCAAAGCCATGCAAACCAATCAGGCTACAATAGGCAGCATGGAGAGGCCTTACAAATTACAGATAATCTAGTTTTAAATATATGAGGGAGAGCACACCCCCCACCCCACCCCACCCCACCTCATAAAAAAAAATTATGGCCACGTAACACTTTGAACAAAGCATACAGAAGAAAAAGAAGAATAATAGTTTACACCATTGATTAGAAGGCATATAGTGAATTGGCCATTTTCAAATGTCCTCAAATATTCTAATTTATCATAAATGCAAGTAACAAAGGAACAGTGTTTAAACCACTTGACCTACTCCACTTAAGAGCCATGAGATGGCCTTAAAAAGGATGTAGAATTGTACAATGAGAGAGTTCATTATTTCAACATCATAGACGTATTGTTGCTTAACCACCAACTTTATTAGCTCTGATACATCATACATCAATCATTGTACTGTCAAAGCCTCTACTAAGTTTATTGTCTCCAACCCAGCAAACAGCAGTCATAGTATTGTCAACCCTCCACTAGCTTTAATCCCGCCAAACAATAGTCATAGTAACGTCAACCCTCACCCAGCTTTAGTTAGTGGCTTTGGCTCACCGAATTATTGACCTCATGTGCAAATGCTTTAATAAGTTTATGCCCACACCATCACCAACTAATACAGTAAGTAAGCTACAAGGATAATAATAAATTGAAATTAGGTTTCTACTAACATGCATATCATTCGTGTTAATTAAGGTACTATCCTCATCTATTTCTGATTGTTCTCCCTGCGAACTGTTATTTTTAGTAAACAGCATTAGGTTGCAATATCCGATAGAAAGCAGCGGAGAAGCTATTCATGGGCAGTCTCTTGGTCAGCGCCCTGCCATAAACTACCACAAGCAGCCACGCGGATTGTTAATTGTTGCAGTATCCGACATCACTCATGGTTGGAGACAGTGTGATGGAGAGAGAGAGAGAGATAAAGCTTAGTCTTGATTTGTAAAATCAAAGAAAACCCAGTTTGAACCTGCCCATTGATGCATCATCGTCTTCTGATTCGTATCTTTCACCGGTGCAACACCAACCAAGGGAAGGGAGAGAGAGAGAGAGAGAGAGAGAGAGAGAGAGAGAGAGAGAGAGCGCAAACATGACGAACAGCATAATGGTTTTTATGGAGAAAGAAAGTTTTAAAGAATCCACGACGATGCTCATAAGAAGCTACAACTGAAGCTGCAAAAATGTGTAGTTCAGATACGAAAACACCCGAGTGTGTTTCTTGAATCCCCACACACTAAAAGTGGCTATGACGAAGATTAGGACGAGGCGCCGCTGCGCAGGGCAGAGCTCTTCTTCGGCTTCCTAGTCGCCAACTGAGTCTCGGGCTGCAAATATTATTAGACCCAAAACTTAGGAAACACAGTAAATAAATCGCTTCACGATCAGGACACAACGAATATCTGAGAAAAGTTTAGGGCAGGGGATCAATATGAGAGAGAATATCGTCACCTCCTTCTGGACAGCCTCCTCCTTCTCAGAGAGGACCAACTCAATATGGCAAGGAGAGGACATGTAGGCTGCGAAAGATTTAATAAATTTATAAATATAATGACGAAGATAAGCTATTGGTTCTCATTAGAACATTTCCAAAATTGTTGTTTACTCACGGTTGATCCGCCCATGAGCGCGGTAGGTCCTGCGTCTCTGTTTCTGGGCCTGGTTCACCTGGATGTGCGATATGTAGAGGGTGTCCACATCCAACCCTTTCACCTAAAACACAGAAGAATGAGATAAAATGGAAGTAAGACTCCGATTCTAGGATTATCGTGGAAGAAACCTAGAATGGCCTGAATGGGTGTACCTCTGCATTGCTTTCGGCGTTCTTTAGCAGGTCGAGGATAAACTTGGCGGACTTTGCAGGCCAGCGGCCCTGGCCATTCGGGTGGCGATTCTTAGCTTGAGCAGTGCGCCCAACGCCACCACAAAACCTTGTAAAGGGAATCGCTTGCTTATGGGCTATAACGTCCTCGAGGTATCTCTTGGCCTTGCCCAGGGGCAGCTTCCTGATGGCGTGCGCGGTTTCTCTGGTGTTCTGTGGACAAAAAGAGGCATGGGGTGGTCAGGATGCCACCAAGCACACAATGCAACACCTTATGTCGCATAGATGGATTAAAAAAGAAATTATTATATTATGAGAATTGACCTCCAGAAACCAGGGGCAGAGAATAGTAAAACCCATTGACCCAGACCTAAACCCTTAGAAAGCTATGGAAAAGTGCAACTACTTGCTATTTCTCATAGTATAGAACTAAACTTGACTGGAAAGAAACTTGTTAGTGGAAGATATCATTATAGTTATCATAAGAAACCCATATGGAAGTGTCCCAACGAGAAACAATATATAAGGATGTAAAGCGATTAATAAAGAATGGTACGTGGCACCGTTTAATAAAGAATAGTTGAATGAGAAAACACTAACGTGGACCAGATGCTATTAAAACTTTGAAAATGAATGGCTGGTGAGATAGAAACGTGTTGTATTACTGATTGAACAGCAAGGTAAACGGATAAATACATCTCGATTGAACAGAAATTTTCTCAACATAAATATCATCTCGATTCCTCCGAGATCTAAAAAGAGTATGCTGTAAGAGAAATACATCCCAACTTCCTACCCAGGAGATATAGTTCGTGTCCATTAGCCAAAAATTTACATCATTTTACGGGGAATGTCAATGGAAAAAATAATTGGTGGGCTAAACCAATCAGGTTCAAAAGAAAAAATAACAGGTACAGACAAACAAAAAAACGAGATATTTGAAAAAAATTATGAACTTCAAACTATTAATTAAGATCATACATTACACCGTGGACGGTCCTAACACGAATAGCAAGAAGAGAAATATAAACATCATACATAAAACACATAAGAAATCTCAATTTACCATGGTTTTCCACCATGGAAGAGCACATTTCTGGTGAATAAGGATAAATTAAGGGAAGTCTACCGGATATCAAATTCAGAACTATGTTTTAGCAAAATACTTGGATATTTAAATTTAGAACACGTTGCTGTACTAAAATATGAAGTAAACCCATCTAAAACACAGAACGGTTTAGAAAATAAACCTTGAAATGAACTCTCAGGTCCTGTCCCATGGCCTTGGCCGCTGTAAAATAACAAGAGACAAGTACAATAAAAAGTCTGAGCGTAGAAGAACAATGATATACATTCCATTCAATCCCAAAAACAGGAGAATGAATGAAGGCATAATGTCTAAACGGACGAAATATTTTCTGGTTCAAATAAAATAAAAAACGATCACGCGAAGAGACATGTAGCAGTGGAACGAAGATTCCAATTTTCGTAGTGCATAAATGACATAACCAGCCCGAAAGATCCAAACTAACCGCCTGCCTAAAACTCGTCTGACATGCTAATGTCCTAAAACTACACTACAGCAAGATGGAATCCAAATGAAGAGATTAGATGTACGTCAGCTGAAACCACGAACAGATCGACCTAAGAGACGGATAGAAGATGGAGAAACGCTAGGGAGAAAACAGATAGGCTTACATTTGGTAGGGTTGCCCGGTTCCCTCGAATACTTCACCTGCCAAAGGAAGAACAGAAAGATCCGTTGAGGTCACCATGAAAAGCGATCGACATCAATGAAAACATTGCGCAGATCGACATCTACACAACGACAGAGGAAGCCACACAAACAGAGCCCAATTACCATAGCGGCGGCGGGTAGAGAGATGCGCCTCCGCTGTCACCTCCCTGCTCCCGTGAAAACCGAGAAGTGAGCGGCTGCGGCGAAGAGGCGGTTCGTTGCTATTTATACATGGAAGGAAAACCCTAGAGACCGCTGCATTTCGGTAATAAATTGGGCTGGACGACGTTGAGCCCATTAGTATGTGGTCAATAAGGAGACGAGATAACGGGCCGTGGATATGGGCCAACCCTTAGTACATCGTTCCACGTGAGCCCAATACGATATGGAACCGTGCGTTTGGCCCAAAGGGTTTTACTCATATTATTTGTCAGGTTCAAAACTTTCGACTTATCCCTATAATGTATTATTATTTCATAAAAACGTTTAAAAGTTTACTTTATTAAGTGTTAGCTCCATCACTACAAAAAAGTTAAATCTTGGGGGCATATTTGCAACCCAGATAGTAAATTGGATTGACCAATGTGCCACAAGGTGTTCAATCTAAGCTTACCAGACTTTTCCATTCATGCCAACCCTAGTTGACCTCTATAACACCAAGTAACCTTATCATTGTGAAATTATTCTTTTTACTATGCTTCAATCCCTTTTTATTGATGAGAAAAGTCTCCCATAGCCATTCCTCATTGCATATAATATTTGGCATATTATTTAAATGATTTATTGTATGAGGATCTGTGGTATAAATTAGTGATTCATATGAAGCTCATTGTGAATTATTTAACAAGCCTAACATGTTACCCATCTCATACCGACACTATTAAGCTCTTTAAGTGCAACACATGCTCACATAGTGTCACATCATGTCATTCTATGTTGATGTTGTGCTAGCATTATTGAAGGTATGTGAAGAACGATTAAGATGGTTGAGTTTAAAATTAGAAAATAGATCCAACAATATGTAAGGTTCACATGAATCTCCCTAAACCTCAATATGTATTAATTTACTTAGACTACTTGTCATATCAACATACACTATTTTTGTATGCATGTGCATGCAGAATCTATGGAGTTTTAGTGCTCATATCCAAACCTATTACACTCTACATGTGTCACTCCTATGTAGTGGGTGGGTTTCACATCATATCTTAAATGGTGGCTGACCATTATACAAGATGAGAGTATGAAGTCAACAACCCATCTTGAGTTCATTCACTCTTGCTCTCATGTGTCTTGTCTATTGTTTAGAGGATTTAAACTATGTGATCATAAAACTCACATACTCATAAAGGTAAGTGATCCCCCAGTCAATAAAAGTATTAAATTTAATTATCTATTTTGATTGAGGAGGTTTATTTCTAGATTTTTCCAAAGCTTAATCTAGTTGACTTTTTGACATATTACTGAATCACAAGCTCCTTTCTCAAGTCTGAATCAACTTCACTAGGCTCTAATATTCTTTACCCATTTAATTATTTTTTATAGTAATTTATCATTTTTATCTAGATTCTATTAACTTTTATTTACTTAGGGATCGTAGCGGGCCAAGAACTTTGCTAGAGGTATTGATTCTTCACAATTGCTTGCATCTTAGAGAAGTGAGGGTCAAACCCCCCAACTTTTCTCATATCAATAAATTCTTGAATTTTCCTTTAGAATATATATTAAGTAAATTATCAAATTTTCCTCAGAAAATAGACAAATACATATTATTTCAAAATTGTGCTCTAAGAGGTTTATGATGAAGATATAGGTAGAGGTCACATGTTTATTGGCTGTTATCTTGATTGGGGACTCCAAGTTGCTTAGAACTCTTGTGGGATCTTTATTTTGGCTTCACCAAAAAAAAATTGTGTTTGACTTTTGTTAGAAGTTGCAATCCCCTAAAGTCTTCATTGACCTATCATTTGGGTGTTGTCAACATGATATTTCCAACAAGTAGGGGCTTGTTGCCAAGGACAATTAGTACTAGTGACTTTTATTAAAACATAAATTTAATAACAAGAAACAACATTACATTGCTTAGCATGTAACTTAGAGGATTCTAGCTGCAACAAGTTTGCAACTTTGACATTTCAAAGATCAAGTTTATAACATGTGAGCCATAAGTTTCTAAGATAATAGGGGGGAGATTTCATATAGTGAAATACATAGTTTTGGACATTGATAATATTAATAATGATAGATCACTTTTTAATAAGAGGGGTGAAAGCAACATTATGCTAGCAGAAGGGTATATGAAGGCTCTCCATAGATATTAATAGCAAGAAAAAATGTACAATTAAATTGTCAATGTCTTAATAAGATTCTATTTCCCATAAAAAATGACATGTGCATACCTTTCAAGTATTATTTCATTTTTTATATGATAAGTTGGTTAAACCTTTGGCTGCTCCCTCAATCACCTAGTTAACGTATAATAGGACACTTCCTCCTCATGGGTTATACTTAATTTTGGGGTCTTGATTACTAGTACTTTCATTAACTCTTCTCTTGCTAAGGATTAAAATAGGTAGTTTCCTCCTCACATGTTATGTCTCTCTCTCTCTCTTGTTGGGTTCCCAACTATTGGCACCTACCTTACTCCCTTTTTCTAGTTGTCTTGGGGTTACAAGCTTAATTGGTAGGAATTTATCCATATTTTAAGTGATCTAGTACCAAGATATGTTAGTAGGACTACTATGGGGAATGACATATTTTAGAGAGTTCAACAATTATTTCTTCAAACTCTGTCTTTAGGTTGTTGTTTACTCAATTACTCTTCACACTCTTTTTTTTTTCAAATGTTGATTCACTCCCCTTCTTTTGCATTACAATAATTACATCCAAAGAGCTAAGGTTTCATTTTACTTGAGAATAATTCAAAAGAAAGAAGTGTGTGAAAATGCTACACAATGTAATGAAAGTTACTTAGTTGAAGGTACATTGATCTTACATACCTATTTTGTGCAGATTTACTTGTTTAGAGGAGCCCTTAATTGGCCACCATTGAGTGTTTCCTATGCCTTGTCTTCCTCCTTTGCATGTTAGCATCATGGGATAGTAGCTTTGAAAAAAAATCAAATTCAAACCTGTAGCTCAAAGAGTTGTTATTCCCCTTGGTGTTGAATATATCTGATTTAGACCTCTTAAGTCCTAGTGGACTTAGTTGACTGACTTATCAATCTAGCCAATCCCCTTGTTTGTCTATAAATCAATTATGTATCATCTCTTATGTGTTCTTCTTCAATTTGATTATCATGATGGATTTTTTACGAATTTCTTGACGTCACTTCCTTACTATCATCTTCTCGGCTTATTTCCTTGGTTGAACCCTCCTTAGACATCCTAGGTACCCCAATTGTCACCTTATGTTTAAATTTAATATTTACCAAGGGTGTATTCTCCTCTAACAAGAGAGATGTCTACATGTTTAATGTAATTTTCTTAGGGTCTGATTGACATGAGTATTCTAGCTTATCATGTTATTCCATCAAGATCTTTTCCACATTGGGTGCAGGAGATTTGGGAGATTCTTCTTCATGAGAGACAATTACAAGAAGGCATTGAATTTGGGTGGGGTACACCTCCTACTCCTTATGCTTAGAAGAGCTAATATATTCCATTATAATTTCATTTCCTACTTAGTTACTAAACTTGCTAGAACATTTATTTGATGTATTCTCCCTAAGGGGTGAAGCATAAAAGAAAACTATTGTTGATGTGTTAATTTGGCTAGGAGACCTACATTTAATTTGGAAAGCCTTCTTTTTTCTAACATGAGTAAGTTGGTTAATTTTCAATATGTTCTGTGTTTTTTTCTAATTCAAAAGGACCATCTCCTCTATCTCATTTCCTTCCACTACTGGTTTATCTCTCTAGGGGAAAGTTTTAAGAACCAAATGTCCAGTAAATTCTCTAACTTAAGAGTAAGTTTAATGGTAATTTTTTTTCGAAACTAATTTGAGTTCATGCTCCTCTTCCCTTCCTCTTTTTGTCTCAACACATTTTCTTCTACTTATGATTGACAATCACTTTTGACTTCATTGTCAAAATTGAGGAGACTTGGATTCATAGTTCTTCTAATTTCTTTCTCTTTTTGTGTGCTCTTTTTGTTATTTTGATTTGAGTGCCCTACCTTCCAATAATGCTACATAAATGTGGTTTGTATTATACCACCAATGAATGTTTAGTTGCTCTCACTCTCCATTTTAAATTACTATATAGTATGAAATTTATTTAAATAGGTCTAGTTTAACACATGCATGAGCATAGTCTGGTATAGTAAACATTTTAATATCCCTATCAATACAAATAAATTTACCTACTATGGATGCTATACTCTTACATACAAGGGGGTTAACAAAATTGGGCACTCATACCCAAAAAACCTATATATATTGGGACTATTGATAGTTCCATCCCTGGTGTGAAAAAGAGTGACCATTGAAATGCTCTCATATGTGTTGGTAGTTCCACAAGTGGTGTGATATTTCTTCTTTAACATACCTTTATTTCTTTATTTTATCCCTAATGTTTAGTAAATTGAGCTAGGTTGGCCAAAATATCACTATAAGGGCATTGATTAATGGGGTGGTGGAGTATCAATCTCCTCATTGAAAATTTGATGATTTTGTAACCATTTTTTATGAAGAAGTTTTTCATGATGTTATTAGTGAATTTTGATATGATGTGGAGATCTCTAGTGGTAACTACTAACTCATTCTTTTTAATGGTTGTTTCAATCCACTAGCCCCTTTTGGTGGTTCACTTTTAGAAAATAATGCACTTCTTGCCAGATTTTTTCTTGTTAGTGAATTTTGTGAGGGAGTGATAGGGACCTCTTGATCAACCCACAAGATTGCCAAAGGGAAGGGGGTAGGAGCATGAGGAGAGAGAAAATTGGGAGCGAATGGGTTCTTTTTTTGGTACCAATATTGTGATGACACAAGGTATAGATTTTTGTTGACCCCATCTTTTGACCAAGATATGACTATTTTCCTCACTCAAAGAATAATTTTTCTACTTGTTATGCTCATCGACAATCTTGTGTTGGCCTAGTTCAATGAAGAGAGGTTGGGTATGATCTTCCTTGTTGACTTCTCTTTGGATGAAAGGTGATCCCTGCCCCTTGAAAAGGAAAGTCAATGACCTCACCACTGTTTGACTGGTTGTTTAGTGGTTGTTTTCTTTCTTTTTTCTAGGTACAAGGATGTCAACTAAATGGCCAATAACAAAGACTTCAGTGCTGCCTTTGACATGTTCATCATAGCAAGTAGTTTTAGTAGCAATAATGTTGGGACTGGGAATGAGGGGAGTCAAATGTCAACTTTTCAGGCTTTGGGACTAGTTCCTCTTGTCATGGGTCAGCTAACATTAGATGAGGGCCTCATGTATTCTTCACAATCATTTCTTCATATAGATAGAGAGAGAGGAGTTGAGATTTATAGTACACACACTTAAAGAGAATTGTGTTACAAGTTGGATGATGGGTTTGGGGAGGCAAGGGAGAAGCCATTGACTTTGAGATGGACATTTTAGGAAATTCACAAGGATTAGATGAGTTGGATTATGAAGTATGTACTCTAATTGGACAGGGGGGAGATTTTAGAGTATAAATACAAATAAGTGATCTTCTTTGTAGACAAATACTTAAGGATATGAGTCTTTATCTTTAGAGAGGGAGAGAGGGAGAAGGAATTGACTTTGAGAAAGATTTTTTTGGGAATTCACACGATAAGAGGAGTGAGATTCTTAAGTGTTGACTTGAATCGAAGAGAGATAGAGACAAAGATAATATAAATGCGAAAAGGATTCTATTTGTATGCAAATACCACTCAAATGAGGGTATAAACGCCAATAAAAGAGAGAAAAACATAGACGTCAATAAGAGGGTGAGAGTGTATGAAGTTAAGGGTACAACGTTAATAACAAAAGTATGGGTATATCATATAATAACATTTGTTCATGGGTATATAAATTAGCCGCCTCTATATAGAGTCCATGATCCGTTTCATAACAGGGGAGTCGAGCGAGAAGGAAGCGGAGGGGTCGAAGATGGGGAGAGGTGACCGGAAGATTGCGTCGGTGATGGAGGCGGCGCCGCGGCATAGGGCTTCGTCCTCTCGCTCTCCCGTCCTCTTGGACGCTGATGAGGACTCCCATGGCCGCGAGAGGGTGAGGATCCGCTCCGCCGCCGCCGCCGGCGGCTACAACCGGAACCCTAGGCGCACAGGGAGCCCCGCCGATGAGAAGCCCTCCTCAAGGTATCACGCCGATGGCCGCCGGGATTTCAACCGGCGCCGATCCAGGAGCCCCGCTGAGGGGCCACCTTCTTCGAGGTACGACTCCAATCGCCGCCACGATGTTGAGCGGCGCCGATCCAGGAGCCCCGCGGAGGAGCGCCATTCTTCGAGGTATAACTACAATAGCCGCTACGATGTTGAGCGGCACCGATCCAGGAGCCCCACGGAGGAGCACCCTTCTTCGAGGTATAACTCCAATGGCCGTCAGGCTGAGGAGCCCCCTTCTTCAAGGTATAGGTCCAATGGTCTCCACGATTTCGAGCGGGGCCGCTCCCGGAGCCCCGCCTGGGAGTCCTCAATCCCCACCTCCTTCCGCGGGCGTGGTGGTGGCGAGCGCGGTGGGCGAAAAGGTGGTCGCCGCTCTGGTTCTGATGACTCTGATGACGAGGAGCTGAAGGGGTTGAACTACCAGGATTATCGGCGGATGAAACGCCAGAAGCTGCGGAGGAAGTTGAAGAGCTGCATCTGGCGCATCACCCCGAGTCCTCCACCAGGTGAGTGGGAGCCTTCGAAGTCGCCGTCCGATGCGGAGGGACAGCCAGAGGGGAAGGAGGAGGAGAAGAAGAAAGACAGCGGCGGTAGACGCAGAATGGAAGATTCAGAGGGGAGTGCCTCTGAGGAATCGAGTTCTTCTGGGTCGTACTCTGATTCTGAATCTGACGGGGCTAGCTCTCCAAGGAGAAGCAAAAACCGGAGGAAAAGGGGGAAAAGGGTGAGCAGTAGAGGGAGCAAGTCTTCGCGCCGTAACCAGCGCGAGAGTGCTAGCGAGAGATCGAATGAGGACTCCAGCGAAGCATCTGAGACCGATGAGGAAGACAGGAAAAAGCGGAAGAGGAGGTCAGTTAAACGACGAGACAGAAAGTCGAAGAAGAGCTCTAGAAAGCCTGGGAACCACAGCGCGAGAAGCAGGAGGAGAAGCAGCAGCTCTAGTACCAACGAGAGCCAAGAGTCTGATTTTGCCTATTCTTCAGATGACTCTGCTGAGCCAATGGCCCGGAAACATTCGAAGCAGATCAAGACGAAGAAGAAGCAATCCGAGTCTGAAGCCTCTGACTCAGAGAAAAACGTGCGACAGGAAGATCTGAAGAACATAGAGATCGACCCTGAAGCGCTCATGTTCAAGGAAATGCTCGAGTCTCAGAAGAAGCTCTCCGCGCTGGACAGTGAGCCCGTCGTCGGGCCCATGCCCCTCCCCAGGGCAGAAGGCCACATTCGCTACGGTGGGGCTCTCAGGCCTGGTGAGGGAGACGCCATTGCCCAGTATGTGCAGCAGGGGAAGCGTATCCCTCGCAGAGGAGAGGTCGGCTTGTCCGCAGAAGAGATTTCAAAGTTTGAAGACCTGGGTTACGTGATGAGTGGCAGCAGGCACCAGAGGATGAACGCCATCCGTATCAGGAAAGAAAACCAGGTTTACAGCGCCGAGGACAAGCGGGCTCTGGCCATGTTTAACTACGAGGAGAAGGCAAAGCGCGAGCAGAAGGTCATGTCGGACCTTCAACGCCTGGTCCAGCGACATATTGGGCAGGATGTTAGCCCAACCCATGATCCCTTCGCATCGAAGCCATCGGACCCCGGCGATGGCTGACCCTGAATTCCCTGGAGATTGCCTAATATCCATTACAAGGAGAAGGGAGTATTCTTCTTTTTCGCTACTTTGTCCCCATTGTCCTCTATACTGCAAGGAACAGCTGCTTGTGGTTTCGTCGTGTTAGACGCATCCCATGGAATGGATAGTGTGCTTTCTGTTCGAAAACTCCCTGTTTTTCATAGCCTCTTTATTCAACAAGATCAGTTCTATCTGGAGAATCAGTACGGGTTCTTTTTTTTTGTCTTTTTTTTTTTAATTCTATATGACCCCAACTTTCTCATCTCACTCTTTCGATCATCCCGATCCTTTGATCCGTCTTTCTCTGAGGACATTGCAGGCGCATGATCCTATGATTTCATCGAGTTTCTGCAGATACCATGTGATATATATTCATCAGGTACCCAGTAATCTTTACTTCTTTCAGAAAAAAAAAGGCATCTTTGGTGGGATTAGTTAACATCTAAATGAATCCGAATTAAGTTGGCATGGGATTCCAAGAACTGCATGATGGAATCTGGCTGCGAAGAATTTGATGCATTCCTTGCCACGTGGTTGTCTCATGGTGAGCCGCATGGCAGATTTTCCGCCCATTTTCCGGGCTTCTGAAGGCCCAGCCCGCGGCCCGGTGGGAGAAGAATTGTCAGATGGACCGGGCCTACCTTCTATCCTGATCAGTATTTTATTGAATGCCCCCCCCTCTAAACCATATAAAATAATGCACGAACTAATACGTCTCATTTGGGCAGGATTTTTTTCACTTTAAACCCTTAAAATAACACATCATCTCCAAAAAGTCGTATATTCCCAGATTTCCATGAGATGTGATCGATCATCTTGATCTCATATGTTTGCTGGTAATGGGGCCTAATAATTAATGGGCCCAAATTTGGTAGTATTGTCTCCTGATTTGATTAGGGAGGTATAAGAATAATTACTTCTTATTTTATTTCCCAAGCCTTCTTGGTGTTCTAGTTGACTCTCATTAAATAAAATTTAGGAAAAAAATCGAACTTAGAGAGCCCATTTTCAATATAAAAGGAATATTAAATCGCAATTTTCTTCCTCGGAAATTCAGATCGAAATTCGTGGAAAAACTGCGGCGGCCATCTCTAATCCGCGATTATTATTTTTTTTAATCAGTGAGGCGGCGGATTGATCCTCTGGGTCTTCTTATTTTGTGCAAATCAGAGCTTAGGCAGGATTTTGCGACGGCGGCGGCGGCGTCGGCGGCGTCGGCGGCGGGTCCTCGCCATTTCTGTCTGCAGCTTGGTTGCAGAGACGACGGTGGGGGATGTTTCGATCCTCTCCGGCATTTAATGCCGGCCAGCGAGACCGGGAGGTCCCCGGCATCAATATGAGAGAGAATGAGAGACACAGAGGAGAGAGAGAGAGAGCGGGGACTTTCTCTCTGTGTGCAAGTAGTCCATGGTGGGACGCAAGGGTGGATGGAGCATGCGTGGTCCTGGTCTTCCAGCTCCACCACCACGTGCGGCTTTCCCGCCGGTTAAAAGGAGAAAGTTTGGGGGGGGAGAGAGAGAGAAGAGAAGAGAGAGATGCGTTCTACCCTTTCCATCTGTGGCCAGCTACTTTTAGGGGGGGGAGAGCAAAGGCGGCCTCCGGTTGGTCTTCGTCTTCTTGCCCGCAGGGATTAGGGCTATAAGACTTCTTTGCCTGATTCCTCTCCTTCTTTCTCAGCTGGATTCTGAGATCTGAGAAGTGGGTCAGTTAATCGGCGGATTCCTCCCCCTGTGAAGTGGGTACCTCCATTGGCTTCCTGTCAGACGACCCACCTCCTCCATCGTCTTCCTCCGGTCTCCCCTCTCCCCCTTCCCGTCAATGGCGGATTCTTCTCGCCACTGAAAACCCTATTCGGCCGGAGGATGAGGGAATTCCCGTCTTGCTTCGGGGAGAGCGGAGTGCAGGTGGCCGACTCCTCCGGCGGCGGCGCCACCGGCAAGCACGGCCAGAACCTGGTCACCTGCGTCTACCGGACGCCCCCCGCGGGCCGCCGGCGGCGGCCCTGTTCCATCACCGTCGCCTGGAGCAAGACGATGACGGGGAGGAGCTTCAGCCTGCAGATCGAGGATACCGCCGCCGGCGACTGTCTCTGGAAGATCGACATCAAACCCTGGCTCTTCTCCGGGAAGAAGGGCTCCAAGAGTACGGCGGCGGAGGACGGTAAGATCGAGCTCTTCTGGGACCTCTCCGCCGCCAAGTTCGCCGGCGGCGGGCCGGAGCCGCTGTCGGGGTTCTACCTCGCCGTCGTGTTCGACGCGGAGATGGCGCTGCTGCTCGGCGACCGGAACAAGGAGGCCTACCGGAGGACCGGCGGCGCCACCCCCACCAGCGGTGCCGCCGCCTGCGTCTGGAAGAAGGAGCACCTCTTCGGGAAGAGGGTCTTCTCCACCGCCGCCCGCTTCTCGGCGGCGGGGCAGCCCCACGAGATCGCCATCGAGTGCGACGCAGCGGCGGCGCAGCCGCCTGTGGGGGGGCCGTCGCTGGAGATCAGAATCGACCGCCGGAGGGCGGTGGAGGTGAAGAGGCTGGCCTGGAAGTTCAGAGGGAACCAGACAATCCTCGTCGATGGCGTCCCCGTGGAGGTCTTCTGGGATGTCCACCGGTGGCTCTTCGGAGGGGGCGCTCCGGCCAACGCCGTCTTCATGTTCCAATCCTCCACCGCCGGTGCCGCAGAGAAGCCCTCGCCGTTGCCGGAGAAGAAGCCCCGCGCCGCCGCTTTTTCTCTGGTCCTCCATGCTTGGAGGACCGAGTAGCTGTTTGTGGAAATGCTTGAAAGAAGTAAAAAAAGGAAAAGAAAAGAGTAGTTCCGTGTTGGCTGCATCTCCGGCGAGGTGCCGAGAAGATGTTTGTGGGAATGGGTAAAAGAAAGATTTCACCTTTTTTTTCTTCTTCTTCTGCACATCCAATGGGGTGCATAGTTTCTGTGCTTGTGCTCTTCTTCTTCCCTTTGTGCGTTCTCCTGTACAATTACATGGAAACTCTCAAGGAGGAGGTCTGCTTTCTATAGAAGTCAAATCTTGCAGAGGTCAACCGCTGCTCATTGTAGAAGTCCACGGCGATTTCCATTGCGTGGCTGCTGCCTGTCTTGGGAAAAATTTGCTCTTTTTTTGGGGGGAGGGGCAAGTCTTCTTCTTGAACCCAAAAGCCTTCTCTCTCTTCTTGCATTAATGAACACCCCATCGAATCCTTTGCCTCTTTTGGATGTGTTTTAAAAGTCAATGGTTCCCTTTTTTAGGCATGTTGCTCAAGTTGAGGCACCAGAAATATATCCTATTTAAGGTTTTTTTTGTTACTCTTCCGGTAATCCAGATATTACTAGAGAACTCAGGAGGAGCTGGCTCTAGGGTTCAAGTTTGAAATATTTACTCCCTTGAATGACGTATACTTTTTAATGGGTTGTATAGGATCTGAGCAACTGGGTCGTTCCAAATCGCCGGAATCTGATCTGGGCTCGCGCCCAACTTCCTGAATCGTACGTTGACTTGAGCCTGGCAAGTTATGTAATTGCCCATTTATGCACCAAAGTTGTTGCTTGTGGCTCGTGGGAATCCGTAGTAGTCAATCGGTGAGCTGGCCGAACAAGGCTGACCCAAAAACCCTCATTTTGACGAGCCGGGCACGCCATCGGGATGGTCAACTCTCTCTCTCTCTGATGAGTATTGGCTCTAGAAGACGGTGGAGAAAGAAAACCCAGAGTGGGAAGAAACCTTCCAGGAACTGGCGTGGGAGTCCTCGAGAGGAAGAAGACGAGAAAGGGTAGGACCGTGAGCAAGAAGCACCGCCGGCGGCGGCGGCGAGTTGAGGAGGGTGAGGATGGTATTCAACAGCGCGTGGGTAGCCACTGTGGCCACCCTCTCGGCGGAGCTTTGCCAGTACATCGCCTGCAACCCCCAGCGTCTACCCGCCGGCGAGGTCCTCCGCCTCCTCTGCTACGCGCCGCTGCACCTCGCCGGCCGCCTCGCCGCCGGCGTGTTCTCCTTCTTCTGCTTCCCCATCGCCGCCCCTCCCTCCCCCTTCCTCCACCGGTGGCCCTCATCTTCTTCCCCCTCCTCCTCCTCCTCTTCCTCCTCCTACTCCGGCGACGAGGACTTTCACTCTGATTGATTGTGTCGTATCCCCTCCCCCTCTCTCGTTCTTACCTCGATGGGAAATCCCGACCCAGTTTCCATAGATGGTTCTCCCCCTGTATGATCTCTACGCCCTGATTTCTTCTTGATCTGTTCTTAATCTCGAGCTCATCGCATCGATCCTCTCGGCAGTGATCTTCATGGTTCTTCCTCTCTTCCTGTTTCTTCCCCAATTTGATTTTTCAGATCCGCAGATCGCAATCAAAGATCGCAACGACGACAGATTCGTGTTCATCCGGAACCATGGGAAACCCCTGATGCATCTGTCAGAAAGTTTCTGAAATGGGGCATAACCCTAGAACAGTTCTTGCGAACTCGATCAAACACAGATTTTTTGGAAGAAAAAAAGAAAAATTGAAAATCGCGTATTCACGAAGAACTCCAAAGTGGCCTTCGGATCCCGAAACAGGAATGTCTAGATAAATTTCTTATGCGAAATCCTGCCAGAAAATTTTCCCGGATAAATCTTTTAATGGGCCCCTTAGAAAAACATTATAATTATTTAGATCGAATGAAATGGATCGTCGGACCCTGTTCATGTGGATTCCGAAGTCTGTCTGAACATAGGTCGTGTCTAATTTCCATGAATGTCCGGGAGAAAAGAAAAAACGGATTTTTATGTGCTCTTGGCGAACGTGTATTTCGAAAAAGGTCCTCACAATTTCTTTCATTTGGCCCTTGGGGTGTACTTAGCTTAGGCATTAAAATTTAAATAATATTGGGTCCAATGGGCCCAATGAGTTGGGCCATCTTATTTTTGGCTCTCTTCGGGCTCTAAACACTAGCCATTTTGTTGCAATCTCTCTCTCTCTCTCTCTCTCTCTCTCTCTCTCTCTCTCTCTGTATATATACATATATATACATATAAATCATGTTGACAAAACAAAAAAAGTCTTTTGGGGGCCCAACTTGCGCGATCCATTCCGAAGTTTGACTGATTTCCAAATCTTTTGGGCGTAATTTTTGATGGGAAGATCCTAGGACGAGGGTCAAATTTGTAACTTTACTTGGTTTCTACACGTTTTTATTAAATTAAAATAAATTATTTTTCTTCCAGCATGAAGGTTCAGGGTGTGGATTATTACCACAAAATTGGTAAGATGGGCCCACCCGAATGTGACCAGAATTTGATAAGATGCTGTCTCAACCATGGGTTTCATGGAAGAAAGCGAAGTTTCAACCATATGAATATTTTAAATATGATTTTTATTTTTATTTTCTATATGATCCCCAGCGAAGTTCTCTAATCGTACCATCTCCCTCTTTTTTGTCTTTAATTTTTTTAATTATTAGTATCTTTCTTATTATTGTTATTAGTATTATTATTATTATTCTATTAATGGGAGATATTTTGGTGTAATTCGATCGGATACGGTGGGGATGAGAGGGAGGGGCAGAGATTATCGGCGGCGGCAGAATCCTCCGCGTTTGTTTCTCTCTAGGAGACGAGTCGATTTCCGCCGTCGTCGTCTTCGTCTCCTCCGGCGGCGTTCGGCGACCGTTGAGCGGCACGGCGGCGACCGCTGCATGTGGTGAGCTAATAATGGCGGCGCCCCTCCTCGATGGCCAGCCTGGCGTTGAAGGGATGCCCCCGGCCAGCTTGGCCCCCTACCCTTCCAGCTCACAGCCGCTCTCTCTCTCTAACTCTGTCTGCAAACCCACCCGGCTTCAATGATGGTTCATGGCTACTCTCTCTAACTCTGTCTGCAAACCCACCCGTTTTCAATGGTGGGTCATGCCTACTCTCTCTCTATCTATCTATCTGTCTGTCTCTCTCTCTTTCTCTCTCTATCGTTAGAGAGGATGGTGGTGGGGGAGACGGTCTGTGGGACATCTGAAACGGAGCCGGCGGGAGGCGCCGCCGGCCGCATGCTTGTCGGAACAGGTGGAGGAGGGGCCGCCCTACCGGAGCCCGGTGGGCGTTGCCCACGTGGAGCTCACCAGATCGTAGGCGGCGGGGAGGAGTAGACGGCGACAATCCAACGGACGATTCTCCGCCGCCGTCGCCGTCCCCCTGCCTGAACCACCGCAAGCTCTCCTCTCAGAAGGAAAGAGAGAGAGAGAGAGAGAGAGAGAGAGAGAGAGATTGATCAGAAAGATCAGATAGATAGATAGAGAGATAGAGAGAGAGAGAGAGAGAGAGAGAGAGAGAGAGAGAGAGAGAGATTAATCAGAAAGATCAGATAGATAGATAGAGAGATAGAGAGAGAGAGAGAGTGGAGGAGAGTTCTCGACTGGAAGAGAGAGAGAATCGAGGAGGGTTCTCCGCTGGCCGGCGGCGAGAGGCGCCATCGAGTCCGCCAGCTGTTGCCGGCCCCGGGGGGCTGTCTACCTACAAAAATCGGACTAAACTAATTAAAAATAGCAACTTTCGTGCGGCGAAGCAAGCTGGCGGAGATGGCGGAGGGAGGAAGGAGGGGCCGAAGCCAGGGCATTCCAGCCCGGCTGCCCGGGCTTCCCGGGCAGCCGGGCAAGCTGCCCGTTACAACCCTGAGCTCCCTCTTCCCCTCTATAAAGCCCCTTCCTCCTTACCCTCTCTCCCCTCCCCTACAACGCTCTCTCCCTCTCTCTCTCTTTTAGTTTGCACATCCGTCGCCGGCGAGGGGTAGAGAGAGAGAGAGAGAGAGAAGGGGAAGCGCCGCATTTTGCAATGGAGTCGGGATTGAAGTCGAGGGTCCTCGCCGTCGTCGCCATGGCCGCCGTCGTGGGCTGCTCCCTCGTGGGGAGCGTCGCCGGCGCCGACGCGCCGGCGCCGAGCCCGGTTTCCGGCGCCGTCTCCGTCGCCGCCCCCGCCGCTGTGGCCTCCTTGTCGGTGCTCGCCTTCGGGTTCCTCTTCTGCTGAGGCCCACGGCACACCTCTCCCTTCTTCCTCTTTCTTCTTCCATTTTTTCATTGCTTGGTGTTTAAGATTCCGTCTGGTCTCTTCTGGCTCTGTGTGATAGAGAGAGAGAGATGGTGGTTTGTATGTACGTTTATGTAATATAATTCTGTTTGGTGTCATTCTTTTCTCGATTTCTCTTCTTCAGCCATGCTCTGACCGTTCATATGCGGCGATGAACTGCTTCGTGATGCTCTTTCTCTCTTCCTTTCTTTTTTTCCATCTTTGGTAAGATCCTAACTTTGACAAAGGGGAAGAAAAGGCCCACTCCGGAAGAAAAGAGAACGAAAAAAAGAAAATCAAATCGTGGTAAAATTCGGTTTTTGTTTAATCGGGTGTTCTTGCCGTACATAACCCATAATATGTTGCCGAAAATTCCGAGCTGGGCTGGAGTTTTTCATATTCTTCCACCCGGGGTATAGACGCCCACTCTAAAAACAAACAAACAAACAAAATTAAAAAAAAAACGTGGTAAAAATTGGTTTTTGTTTAGTCGGGCATGCTTGGATTAAAAAAATCCAGAATATGTTTCTGAAAATTTCGAGCTGGGCTGTGGAGTTTTTCGAATTCTTCCAGCGGGGGTTGACATGCCCATGGCTTGAATGGGCTCATAAAATTGCTCAAGCCCTCTTCATAGTCGAGCTATGGATCATATACTAATGGGAGAAATAATAACAAACAATCCAATGATCTACTATCTTGGTATTGAATGAGCTTAAATTTATGCAATAATCGATTATGATTTGCCCAGCAAACAAAGTCAACTCGATGTTTATGTGATGATATAGGCTACTCAAGGAATATGCCACAAAGTCAGATAGAAGATTTCCAATTTTAGTATGTTGGCTTAAGAGAAAGTCGACCGTGATCACCCAGTCCCTTTCAAAACCTATAGAACCCATTAAATCATGATAATTTACCACGCAGGATTAAAAAAAAAAAGGAGGAAAAGAAAGCCGCTCATGAGTTTGGATTCTAGATAGGTGGGACAAGCCGGCCTTGAACCAGTACCACTAAGTCTTGCCAAACTTGGACATCTATAAAAAGGGTACAATCATACCCAGGAAAAGGACAGACAAGATGAGTTGTAGGCCAAGCATCTCTTCTCTCTCTCTCTCTCTCTCTCTCTCTCTCTCTCTCTCTCTCTCTCTGTTTGATTTCTTAGGTACAACACAAAGTCAAATGAAGGCATTCCAAGTGATTAAGTAAGAGACTAATGCTCTTTACGCTCGACACCAAAATTTGGAAGGGTATTAGTCTGGGGTACACAAATTGCAAACAATGCGCTTGGATAACTAATCGAGAGTTACAACAATCATATTTTACAAGAATTATTTACGACATTATGAAGAGAGAGAGAAAGAGAGAGAGCGAGAGAGAGAGAGAGAGAGAGAGAGAGAGAGAGAGAGAGGGCGGGGGTAGATGAAGTTAGCATGTTTCCGAGGACTAGGGAATGGACGGTGGAGAGAGACGGTCCCCACCAGGAGTCGCCGTCAGAGTGGATGTTAGCGGATCACGGAGGCGCAGTTCAGCATGTAGCGCTCGCTGCACAGCCCGTGGAACAGTCGCTTCTCCGACCAGTATCAGCTGCTATTTTAAAAAAAAATAGTGTTTTGAAAACATGAGAGAAATACACATGGAGACGGATTGACATCTCAAAAAAACGAAAAATCTAGTTTTGGTAATTATTTTCCCAAAAATTGTCGATTATGAAGATTTTTTAAAATTCCAGTACAAATAATTATTTCTTGGTGAAATTTTATCTTCTCTCTCCCTCCCTCACTCCTCCCTCTCTCTCTCTCTCTCTCTCTCTCTCTCTCTCTCTCTATGTACACGTATATATATGTATATATGGTCATCTGATTAAGAGGACTTTAAAAATATATATGGTCATCTCTCTCTCATCTAGTCTTCCATGGGATATCTTGATCTAATTAAAAAAAGTTATTAAGGCCATTTTATAATGGGAATAATCTCAATTTCTTTTTATGTTGTTGTAATTATATCATCACTTAGAGTTTTAAGAGGTCAACTGTTGAGGCCCTTACATCAGGAGCTGGGTCGAGGAAAGCGTAGCCTCAAAGAAGTAAGCCCAATCTAGTGCTACAGTGGGACATGCAGAATCAAGTGCAAGACGATGGTACATGGGAGCCCGACATCAGAGAGGCCAATGAGGCGGTGGATCCTGTAAGACAAATGTTGAGGGCGACGGATAGATCCTGTAAAATAAATGGTAGGATCTAACATCAATGGATCATGTCTTGTGCCGAGTTTTATCGACGAAGAAGGACATCAAGGCACAGGATAGCCATAAGTAACTAAGAACAACCTCCAAGAAAAGGAGGAAGTTGTAAAGAGAAACTCCCTCAGGAGTTGGAGACTCACCATCTTGTTTTGGCGACCTCAAGATCGTGGGTCTTGGTTGTATCGTTCCTTCTATCATAACTCTCTTTCTTCTTCTCTTTTCCCCCTTCATACCACCGACCTCCATTGCTCCCTTTCCAAGTTTGTCAAATCCTCCCTTCACGACCACCTCCTGTCTGTTGGCTTGAAGGTCTGATCATCTTTCACACAGTCAATGAGTTGGGTCATCACTTGCGTCAACAGGAGCCCATCATCAACCCAAAGTCAAGTACCTTTTTAGCCATAGTTGGGCTGAGAGAAAAGGCCCCAGAAAAAAGATTGTGTCAATTTTTTGTTAATTTTTTTATTTTCTTCCCATGAATAATAAGAACATGCATCAATTGATATGGGAGAAAAATAATTCCTTTTTAGGACATCATAAATAGGGGAAGGGCAGAGAGAAAGTGGGCTAAACCCTAAATACCATAGACCATTTACTTAGATTTTGACTTAGGTTTTTACTATCAATGAGCACCCCCCAAAAACCTTAGGACCAAAGTGTGACTTGTGTAGAGTTCAATGTTTTAATATTTTTCAAATTAAACTATAAAACGGGTGGCACATACAAAATAACCATGTAAAAATATGAGAAATAGGTGGGTTGTGATCTTATAAAATATGTCCTTTTTGAGAATGTCAGTCAATTTAATCTTAATTTTCAAAGTACATATCTTACTTGTTGAAAGTACATCTCGATTTAATCCTCAAGTACAACATCTTAATAACCAAAGTACATCTCTTGTTGAGGATTTGTAATTCGGGTTGCGAAATACTTTTTTGATTATATACTTAAACTCTCAAATCCCTCGATCTTCATTCTACTATGGGTTGTCAACATAAATATACTTTTTATGGATATTAGATTTTTTTATTATCTCTCTCTCTCTCTCTCTCTCTCTCTCTCTCTCTCTCTCTCTCTCTCTTGTTTTCTCTTCAATTGACATAGAGAGATTGAGAAAATCATCATCTAATGTTCAGTAGAAGACAATGAAATGAGAAATAAAAAATGTGGAATGGAATGTAGAGTATGAGATTACACATAATAAATTAAAAAAAGATATAAATGAGATTATAAGAAGTTTTTTTTTCAACTAACAAATCCTCTGACCATGAGTAGAGAGATTAAGGAAAATAAAATGGTCCACGACAAACTTCTATCGTCAAGTCGTCCGCCCCGGATGCATCCTGATGCTTGGTACTTCGAGCCAAAAACTGTTGCACCCATTCCTTTTGAGGAAGAAGTTCTAACCTGAGCTTTGGCTATGTAACTATAGCCCATTTTCATCCACATTCCTTGGGGATTATCGTATGATATGACACCCCATTCTTACAATTAGAATCCGGTTAGAAGAATGGGTAGGTTACTTGAAACTAAGAAGAGTTGAAAATAGAGTGCTATGTTATGAGGGACAAGACTTCTCTTTTTCAGTTATACAAAGAAAGTGAAATTCTTGAATTTAGTTCAAGTCCTCAATCTAAGAAAAATAAGAAAAGAAAGAATATAGAAAAAGTGTAATTCGACTTTGTAATCTTCTCCTCCTTTTCTTTGAGATTATGTTACTTATGTATTTCTTGTGTCACTTCCAAAAACTTCTTCCACTCTTTTAAAATGACTTTCAACCACTATAAAATGTAAAGCAAAAAATTATATGTAAAAAAAAGAGATAAAAATAGTGAATGAGTTACAATCGATGAGGATGTTCCAAATAAGTAGCTCAAGTACCATTGAATTTTAGAGAAAAAGAGAGCACAAGTCAAAGAGAGGATGATTTTTTTATTGTCGTCTAAATAAATTCTATAAATGCAAAGGTCACTTCATTGGTATGAAATCAAAGTCAAAAAGATCAAGCCATTGTTCATTGTCATCTTTGTGAAATGGAGATGATAAATCAACTCATTTGCTAGGTTTGCCAAAATTGGATCAAAGGATGCCAAAGGAGGAGTCCAATACAAAGAATTAACTCTCTGACCTTGAGAATGTTGGTGAATCTAGTCTTAATTGTAAGAACTAAGTTGTAGAAAATCTTAATATTCTTAGGTATCATCATACTCAACAAGATCACAATCACAATAATCATATGTTACCAGAGAAAGTATCTTATCATCAAAGTGATGTAAGTACCTTAATTAATATCTGCAATCTTCTTTATAGCTTGTCTCCTATTGTAGATGTATATAATTTGGGTTGTGAAACACTTTTCTGACTCTTCAAATTTTGAATTGTTAATTCTCTAGATTTTCATTCTACTATGGTTTGTAGACATAAATATATTTATATCGATAATATATTTTTATTATCTCTTTTTCACTCTTTCTTACTTTCTCCTCAATTGACAAAGAGAGATTTGATCAAATCATCATATAATGCTCAATAGATGATAAAATGAGAAATAAAAAATGTGAAACATAATATAGAGTATCATATGACCTTAACTTTTCAACCAGCAAGCCCTCCAACCATGGAGGGGAGAGATTGGGGAAAATAAAAAGGTGTTCCTCAAGGATTATCATATGGTATGACCTCTCACTCTTACAAATAGAATATGGTCAAAAGAATGGGTAACTACTTGAGATTAAGAAGAGTTGAAATATAGTGCCCATTTTTTGGGAACAAGAACTTCCTTTTCTACTTGTACAAAGGTTGAATTATCAGATTTAGTTTGAGTTAGATCTAATAAAAAGAAGAAAATAAATAATACAAAAAAATAGTAATTTAACTTCGCAATCTACTCCTCTTCCTTTATGTGATTTTGTTACTTATATATTTCTTATGTCACTTTTTAAAAGTTTATTCTGCTCATTTGAAATGACTGATAACCCCTCCGAAATGTAGAGTAGAAGATTTTGTGTAAAAATGAGGTATAAAGAATGAGAACATTTCAAATAAGTGTCTCAGATACAATTAAGAGCTAAAGAGAGAGAGAGGAGATGATTTCTCCCTTATTGCCTAAAGAAACTAAACAAACTCAAATGATCACTTTGTGGATGAGTGATCAAAGTCAAGAAGATCAAATCATCGTTCTCTTATCATTTATAATGGATAGAGAGGATAAAGCAGCTCCTCTACTAGGTTCACTAGAACTAGACCAAAGGATGATGGAGAAGTCAAGCCTGAAGTATCAATCTACCATGACCTTAGGAATGTTGCTCGATTTAGTCTTAGTTCTCAAAAACAATTCATACACAATTTTACTCTTCTTTAGCATCGTGATTTTATTGACCACATGTTGTCGAAGGAAGTCTTCTGTCATCAAGGAGATGAAGTACCTTAATTTAATCTATGTAATATTTCTTATCACTTGTCTCCTATTACAGATTTATAATTCTAGTTGTGGAGCACTTATTTTATTCTTGAATAATTAATTCTTGATTCTCCTAATCTTTGTTCTATACTAGTATGTTGACAAAAATATACTTTTTTGAAATAATATACCCTTGATTATCTCTCTCTCTCTCTCTCTATTCGAGTCCACTGATCACTGACCCCTTCACATCCCTCTATCATCCTAGTAGACCCAATATTCTTGAGCCACTATGAGCTTTTACATGGTATTATCTATTTGTAGACATGGAGTATACTTCTTAGGACGAAAAGCAGAGAAGATATACTAGAGTAGAACTACGCTAGGATATAGGTTGACCATTATCCATGAACTATTGACTAAACCTCTGACCATTGACCACATGTCAGTCAACTAGGGTGTTGACCGTCGTCCTAGTGACAGTTGACTATAGTGTCGACCGTTGACCAAATTACCCAGAGTGGACCAGGCCGATTAGTGGAGTGGTCGGTCCAGGTGAGCCAAGCCAGTCTGGACCAGGCAGTCCAGAGTGGCTCGGACCAGTTGGATTCTCAGTGCGGACCTGATGGTCTAAAGTCGGACCGGCGAGACGGTCAGTGCGGACCAAGGCTTACGGGTGGTTCAGACCCAATGAGAGGGACCGGTGTGGACTAGACGGTTTGGCACGTCTTGAACCGGCAGGACGAAACGGTGCGGACCGGTTGGTTCGGACCGGCGAACCGAGCGGTTCCGGCAACCGAGAAAGCTGGGCCCTGCAGAAACGGGCCAATCGGACCGAGGGGTTAAGCCCTAACGGGAGAAAGAGAAAGGACAGAGTAGTCAAGCGACGGCGGAAAATAACGGGGGCGGGGGTGGCGAAGGCGGAACAGGCGATGGGCGGAGGCAGGTCTGGAGCGGCGGCAGCGGCAGATGGCGACAAAATCAACGGTGGAGGTGACAATGGGGGCAGGCGACGGCAGGGGGAATTGGGAAGGTGGCGGTGGCAGACGGCGATGGTGGTCGAAGGCGGTGGCAGCGGGCGACAAAGACGGCGAGGGGCGGGCGAGGTAAGCAACTACCCTTCAACTTCGATATCGAATGTTCCAAATCAGAGTCCAGTGTCAACGCCACGTCCAAATCAGAGAGAGATAGAGAGAGAGAATTAATACATGGTTTAAGTGAACGAACAACAACGGCAGTCAGAGTGACGGAAGGAGAATCGCCCAACAGATACATTCTGGTAATCTCTTCCAAGAATGGGGAATTCCTCCGCCGTGGGGAGCCCTTTCCTTATCTACCAACCTGCTTTCCCCATGTAAGAACTCCCTCAAGAATGCATCAGGAGAAACAGAAATCAAACTGGGTTCCCAGAACAAAGCAACCAAAAGCAGCCCCGCCCCCACTTATCTTCCTCATGCTCGGGTAGAAGAAGCCACATTTTGATCTCTTTATACGCGCAGAAGAGGCTCAGGTAAAAATATACACGAAGAGAGAGAGAGAGAGAGAGAGAGAGAGAGAGAATTGCCATGTACATGGCGCCTGCGATATACATGAATGGCGGTGGTTGCCCTCTGCGGAGAAGAAACAAGAGAGAAAAGACCAGACAGCTTTAGTTTTAACGACAATTCATAAGAGAAGACCTTACTCACCTCTGGAAAGAAGGCTGGTGATTCTCCATGATCTCACACCAAATCGACGACCGATTCTCTCCTCACCTAAAAATTGCAGCTTGCTCCCACAGATGACCCCCACATCATGAACTCGACGAGATCGGTCTTGACGAGGCCGATTCACCGAGAGAGACGGAGGTCAGAGACGAAGCCCATGCTCTGGCATTGCTCGCTCCTTTCTGAAAATTCCTCTTCTTGCTGATTGTGAGCTTGCTCCACAGCCTCTTCACGTCGACCGCATGAAGAGCCCGCTTGAGAAGGTGGCTCCACCCCCTGAAGATCGCCGCCCAGTTGGCCTGCCAGACGTAGGAGAGCCACAGAGCCTTCACCTGGGACCAGATCTGCGGAGAAACATATACGAATGCTTTGAAGAAGAGGAAGAGCAACGACAGCGCGAGGTAGGGCTCCCTCCTCAGCATCTCCCTCGCTGTTCTCTTCTGTGCCCGGATGTCAAAAGGATGGTCTCCGGGGAAATACGTAACTGGTTCAAGACCTGCAACAGGAGATTGAGCTTCATTACAAACAGCGAAATACCAATCCAAGAGTATTATTACTATACAGACCCCTTCTTTTCTTTTCTTTTTCTAACTTAAAGTGGTTCATGGATCAAGGAGGAAGAGGACGATTAGAAAGTCATCCATGTCAAGGAAATACCTGTGGTTTTCATGTAGAAAAGTAAAAGGGAGATGAGATCCTTTGACCCGCGATATCTCACCCTCGTCGTACCGTTCATAATCAATATAGACGGAAAGCTGTGGACTCCGTATCTTGAAAACACACTGAAGTGTCGGCAAAGAAATGGTCAGCCACAGATGATTGATAATTACAGAGGTAAGCTGTTCCGAGGATTACCTTGGCAGGGCAGAAGATTCTTCGACGGCAAAATGCTGTATCCCAGGAAACAAGACGTTGAGAGCATCGAAGAGTTGGCGGGTCGTCTGGGAGAACGGACACCAGGAAGCATAGAAAAGTACAGAGTAATAAGCATTCCTCCGGCCATGACCCAGCTCTTTGTCCAGGGTTTCACCAGACACCTACCAAAGTTAAACAGAAATAGCGATAGGGTGATGGGGTTTTTATTTCGATAATACTGACCAACAAATTAACGAAGCAGGCAGAATAAAGGCCACGAAATCTTTTCTTTCAGTCTCAAACCAAACGAAACGAAACCAGAGAGGTCATCATGTAAAACTTGTTCGAATAAGCAACAGAAATGGCGAGGCCAATTTATTGATGCGGTCAGGCCATTTGATTCATTGGGATCTTAGTTCACTCTATCAAGGACCCAATAATCTGGAATTGGCGGAGTTAAGATTCCGAATCTAAGGGCATAAATGTTCAGATATAAACATCACGGGCAAAGATCTAGGCGACCGGTCAAAAATAAGTTTTAAGGTTCATCCATAATGAAAAAAAAAAAAAACTTGATTCTTACTGATTGAGGATATAAAAGCGAATTAATGAAATTTACCTCGCACAAACACTTTTCAGATGTGCTAATATCACATGTCTTACATCAATGAAAATGTAAAACACATGATCCCAGATGGAGAAGCTATGCAGTATATGAGTACTCTTCTTTGGGTATGTCTTTTCCTTCAACGGTGAAAACTTTAATGAGGAAAATTCAGCATTAGAGAGCTACCCAGATTCGATTGGTAGTGTGATTCGACTATCCCCAGCAGCATATTGACAGATCAAGTAGGCATACAATGGTAAAATGCTGGGGTATAAAGCAGTCATAGAGACGTGCCTTCAAGAGTTGATAATTTTGGCTCGTTATGAATGAACAGTTCAGTAAAAAAGTTGGAAAGATTTAAATTATTGTTCTAAATGCTATTGCAAGGGTTATTTTGAATCAATAGAACCCAGAAAGCTATGATTATCATAGGTGTTCTGTAGAGAGGGATGCCGTTTCTATTCAATTCAGTGTGGGGTGGAAATTGAATCCTTGCTCCTTGATATTGAGGGAGAAAATATTGAACAGAGGATCTCCTTTAGTAACCCATTGATGATTAACTAGAATATGATCTATTTCTATGTTTAAAACATATGTGGCACTATCCACTTTCACAAGAAAAAATTAAAAACCCATGCGACCAGAACCTCTAATGGTTTGGTTTCGATTCATACAATATACACAGTCATTAGCTAGTTCAGATCTAAGGTCTGGATTCCTATGCCTTGTCACTATCAAGCCCAAGAGACAGAACCAAAGGTTAGCACAAGAGAGCAGAGCAGCCCGGTTCTATTTGATATTATTCACATATACAATATAACCATACATAAACATTTAGGAAGGAAGCGGGCGTTTTGCAATGTTCATATTTTTCGAATTGTTTCATGTTATACGCCCAAAAGCACAAAACATTCTATTAATATGATGAAGGCACCTATGTGACAGTCTTCCAGATGGTTGTAAGACCATGAAACACCACGAATAAATTATGGAAATTGATAGAAAAATATGAGATATCAACAAATGATATATTTGGAGGAGAATTCTTACAAAGAAAATGGCAAAACAAGTTGTCAATATTTTCCAGAATAGGGTTAGGCCATACATCTAGTTCATGGACCAAGCCAAATAGGGCACAAGGTCAGATCTCATGACAACAAAGCCACCACAATTTGATAACAGTTCACATTCGTTCCCAACTGTGTCAACAATTAATATGTGATTTATTATGATTTTAGAAAGGAAATGAAGATGCTTATCCTCCAGAAGACTTTAGGACGAGAGTATACCCTTTATGCAGAGTATAAAGGGTATACTTTGTGTGGACTAAAGTTCAGAAACAGTATAAAATTACTTCTTCTATCAAAGAAACTATCATTACCAGACCCAGATTCGACTACTGGATCTACCCACTTTATGCAGAGTATCTGCATGAAGAATTGTCGCTTAATGAAGTATACCCTTCAATCAATATCCCTCACAAATCGAATGTCAAACGCCTATTAAGAAACATAGAGAAAGGAGCCTTTCCAAATAGTCATTAGGATCTTTTTCTAACCATAAGATTGATGAGAAAATTCTTCCTCTGATAGAGTGACAAAACTTGAAGAGGCCTATTAGCATAAGATCGTCGAAAAAATCATAGGAATATTTCAATAATTTCAAAATATCTTTGATTGAAAAGAAATGTAAATATATTCTACCTTGAAAGTTGGGGATTCTATAAAATATGACGGTTTTTATAAACCTTCCCTACGCCTAAAACCATTTTCAGGGGGGGGAAAGCACGAGAGTCACAGGCAGCTGGCACCAACGGATGTTTGGGTAAAAAGCTTTTTTCCAGTTTTTTTTCCAACTTTTCTGTTGTTTTCAACAGTTGCCACCAGTTCCCCTCATCCCTCTGCTTACTGGCGGCTCTTCCTTCAACCAAAGGAGGAACCCAAGGGTCCTTACGAAGGCCTCAGCCGACTCATCATCTTCTATTCTGTTCTTCGGCCTTCGAGTTCAAGAAGGGGATCCTGATCCACAATCATTTCAACACTGGTGAAGCCCCAGATTCCCAAGCAGTCCAGCAGGAAAGGTCCACAACTAAGCTGAGAGATGCAGCAGTTCAAAGGGAGTTTTAAGCTTCCAGAATACTAGTCTCTCAGCCGGCCAACTGCGGAGACTGGTCGGACTTCAACCAGCTGAAACCAGGCAGATTGGTCCAAGTCTTCCTTGGAATAGTAACAGCCACCGACACGCAGCTGGTCAGGACTGGGGGCTGGCCGGGTGACGAGAATCCGACCAACACACGAGAATGCAAGAAGCCAGAGAAAGATGATAGCGAAAGCTCACTATCCTTGACTTTCCCAAAATTTGAGAGAAAAGTAAAGACAGAACAATACGATTGATTGACTTCTCGAGGATTAGAAGCATGCAATCAAACTCCAAAGAGGGAATTCTTCGCTTTATTAGTCAGAAGGTTCTATTTTATCGGGGTAGAGTCGTCATAAACGCCTTGTCGACATGCCTGTAGCAGCACTACCAGAGATACCAAAATAATATAAAAGGCAGCAGCGATAAGGAATAATCAAAGGAAGTCACAAGAAGGGAATGCACAGAGGAAGGTGAAATCGGAATCATGGAAAGCTGGCGCCACGAATAGCAGCGGAACGGATCAAGCACCAAGATGCAGGGAACACCAAAACACAGAAGAGATGGCCGATTTTCCGCAGAACCCTCGAAAGCCAAAGCATACAGGCAGTGAAATCAACGGAGATGGCAAATAGTCCGTACCTCGAGGACAGGAGAACGCTTGATCCAGGAAGGGCATTGCGATCGGACGGTGGACTCGAGCAAGGCGAGTTCATCAACCCTTGGACAGAGGGAAGATGCGTAGCAGAACCGCCCGAGAGAAGAGACGGAAAAGATCGAGAGGAACAACAGCAGGAGACGGGGTAGTGATACCGCCATAGATGTCCAGGAGGAGGGACAAAATAGAAAAAAAGAGGATAATATAGAGGACGGTAAAGGGCAGGTGGGGTGTTTTTTCGCGTGTTACTCCGAGTTCTCCTCCCTGATCGCTATCACCCTCCCTCCCCCACTTATCCGCTGGATCAGGGCCGGCTCTTCCTGTTACTCGTCTTCAATCTCTCCTCTTCGATTGTTCTCTGGTTCGCGCCGCTCGCAAAGTCCTCCAACCTGGGCTTCTCTCTTCCCTGGATATCTTCGACCAGCAGCAATTACCCAATAATCTCCACCCACCGTAGAAACACAAGGAGATCAGGGCACCAGAGGAAGTGGGCACGCGAGAAGAGAGAGGTGTGGGATGGTTGGCGTCTAGCGGAGGTGGGTGGCCGAGGGAGGAAGAAGGTCGGGGTGGGCGACTTCCCAATTTACAGGAGGCAGGAGACCACGCTGCGAGAAAGGGACGACGACCTGAATGACCTAAATGCCCGTATTAAATGTTTACATAAACCCTTAATATATAATAACTTTATATAAAACTCTCGTATTTTCGATACCAGGGAAGACGCAGATTTGTCAAAAGGCAACATTATTTAATTGTGTATATACCCTTAAACCTGTTGCTCGACCTATTCTATCCGCCACAAAAATTGGAATATAGCGTATTTTACAGGATTATTGCTGATATGGAGTTATTTTTTAAAATAATTTATGAATATTAGATAAATATCTAATGAGATATGGATCATCAATCAACACCTCCAGCTCAAAAAAAAAGGAAATTATAATTCAATTTATAATCCCATGTTAATTTTTATATTTTCCAAAATGGGATTATTATGCCAAGGCCAACATTGCTGAATAATTCTTAAAACGGATAAAAAAAAATATGGTCATTAATTAAGATAAATTCCATATGGAAATGTATGAGGGTCATGGGTGAATTATATGCATGATTACCCCTTTCCATAGGGTCAAATTGCACATAGGTATTTTGGGTATTCTACTATGTGGATATTTGCTATAATTATGGTTATTTATTGAGGAATTATAAATTATATGTAAAGAAAGGGGGCAATAAACATGAATCTCCAATTTTTATAAATTCTATGTAATCATAATTTTGAGAAAATTAGTGCAATTTGGAAAATGAACTATGAAGAAGATTAAAATAGGGAGATAAAACAATAAAAATTAACAAAACTTGGTTACCCATAACAAAAGGTTTGAAGGTGTAGATGGTAAGAAGAAATCTATGAGCAAAGCATAAAAAGAAAAATATATTGTAATTTTGAGAAAAATTATAAATAATCATAACTTTGAGAAAAAATATATATAATTATATATATAATAGTTACTTAAATAAAATTTATAATATATATATGATAACAATTTTGAGTAAATTTGTGTAATTTGGAAAATAAACTATAAAGAAGAGTAAAATGGCAGAAAAAAAAATCAAAAACTAACAAAACTTGGTTACCCATAATTAAAGGTTGGAAGTTGTGGATGGTAAGAAGAAATCTACAAGCAAAGCATGAAAATATTGTGCCTTTTAGATCAAACAATTTGGCATGCTTTCACATACATGTGTCTAGCTCCTAGAGAAAGGCATTATTTATTAAAAAATCATAAATAAAAATTATTGGGGACATAATAGTTCTGACATTATAATAGGAAAAAAGAGATCACCCATCAAATAGAAAACATAAGGTATTGATGGGAAAAAACCCTGAAACAATTACCTCAGTAACTCAATCAAGGGCTCTTTTTTGAGACCAAATAATAGATGGATTTTTTTTATAGCTATTTTTTTGCAAATAACTACAACTTCTTCATGGTTCCTCAATGTTTCTCATTTTTATATGGCCTGGTCAACTGCAACTTCAATGTGGATTAATAAGATAGAATTTTAAAAACTAGTTGAATTGGCAAGGCACATGGGTTGCCACATAAAGTAATTGAATTTTTATTTATTAGGATCATAATTTCTTTTTGAGTGCCTTAATCTAAAAAAATCAGTGCAAGTGTGAACATGGCCTTTGACTTTGCAAAGAACTCTTTTGAATCTAGGTCAAGGCAGGGTGGTTGCTCTTTGAGGGGGTCTAGGTTGACCAAAAAGGTACTATATGCTATTTTTGGAACTCAAAATGGAGCCCTAAAAAGGGAAATTGCGTAGCTTAATGGCCATATATGGGCTTGGTCAGGACTTCATAAAATCTCAGCCAAAATCTTGTTGGTTGGGCATTTTTTTTTTTCATTCCTTCCCCGAGCCTGATTCCGGATCTTGAACAAGGTAACATGTTATTTCCATTGTTTATTCATCCGTTTCTTAAAAATATTAATATTTTATATTTATATTGGTTAATATTATTTTCTCATTTTTTTCCAAAATAAGGCAAAGAATGAGGCATCGGCCCGCTAGGTCCTTACCTTGGGCCCGATTCTAAAACACTCGGCCGAATTGAGCTGGGACCAGTTGTCCTTGACACCCGAATCGTAAAATGGGCCCATTCGTGTCACCCCGGGAAGAGTTGATCGTGGAAAATGAACGATCCAGATCTTCTGGGGACCTGCTTATGGCAAAGTGGCGGGGAGCGAGTGAGTTGATCCTAGGGTTTTTTGAGATACGCCGCCTGGAGTCGCGGAGTTTGGCTCTCCTCTCTGGTGAGCTCTCTCTCTCTCGCTAAGCAGAATATAATGTCATTGATGAATTTTCGCGCATGCTTTTTGTTAGGATTTCATGTTGCATATTTTTTAAAATTCTGTCGACGGATCTGTCCGGCAGCTTCTGGATTGTGTTCGTTCCGTTTGAAAATTTTCCTGCATTTGCTGATACTTAGATTTTTCTGTGTTGAAGGTAACGAGAGGTAACGGGAGGCCGCTGAAGGGCTGCAGCCATGAGGTAGGAGTCGTTGATGTGCTGTTTTATGCATTTGCTATACGGCCCGGAATACACAAGAACACTGTTGTTGCATTTTCTTCCTCTTCTTCTTATTTTCTTCTGTCGTTCTTTTTATGACAATTTTATCCTGTTCATATCGCGTGCTCATAATCTCTCTATAATTATGGAGTCGAGGGGGCAGTTAGTTTCAACTTCATTTTGTCTTGATTCATTGTGAAGAATGTTGTGGAAATGACTCTTGAACAACTGTTGATTTTATTGCAAGCGAATTGATTCTGTGCATGATGACAACTCGTAAGACTAATTTACTGTTCGTTAACTTGTGCATTACTGTTTTATTACAATGCATCATACAAGAACTAACCTTAGGTTTTGGCGTATTGGTCTTCACTTGCGAGGCTTGATGAACTTTGAAGTGATATACTGACTTTTCCTGTTCAATGGATGGCTATCTATTTTTTTTCCCTCAAATAATATGATTATATGGATTTTTCTTCTCCCATTTTGCATATATCAAGACTGAGGTGTGCATGGTATGCCAAACTGAGCCCTGGTTTGTAACTGTTAGAGGAGAGGGTATATTTAAGGTTGAAAATGATAGAAAGGGTACGCTCTTCTTGATTGATCTTGGTCAATCAACATACGTTTGCATGATCAGTCTAAATTCTGATGACGGATGTTGGGTGGAGTAAAACCTAGCCGTGCAGATTGTACGAAAGGAGAGAAAATTGAGTACTCGAGCCAGCACCAAACCCTGCTTGAAAAGCTGTTGAAACTGACGCCGAAGTTTTCTAATTAATTTTTTAAAAAGAGAGGTTTTTTTGTTTGTGTCCATTCAATATTTCATGGCGCCATACTTATTCTCATTTTCCATCAATTTGTCTATTATCTCACATTTCTCCATTCGTACGCAGCCGTTTTGTACATGACATATTCATAGATACTGCCTTTTACAAGTCGGTATGTTTGAAATTAGGTTGAGTTTGGCGATGTGGGCATGCTAACCGGTAGTCCTTTATATAGTATAGTAGGTGATTGGCACTGAGAATATCTCTCAGGGTAGTATGTTGCGCCTACATGGCTTGCAAATAGGCTCATATTGCTCAAGGCCGGCTGAATAAATATGATAAACAGCTTGGTGTTTTTGAAATTCTGCGCCATATTCATAAGTTTAGCATGGCGTCATTTCATGTATTGATTTTGCAATCCCATTTTTGGTTCTCAGCCTAACCATGCTATTTGATCTTCATTTTACTACGAGAGGAATCGGATCTGGTTGCCAAACTGATATTCTACTCTATTCACGAATGTCTCATATGAAGCTGGTAGTTTTCTACGCTAGTTAGTTTACTAGGGATGATGATGCCGGCAATAAATATTTTCTGGTTGCGTTGACTCGCAATTTATGTGTAATACGTTTTGGGATTCTTGATCCCGGCCTGTCTTACGTTTGTGGGACAGGGATAAGATAATATCTTGTGTTCTTGATGTTCTTTGATCGCCTTTGACTCGGGACATCTCATTGAACAATTTACAACGTTCATGCCACCTTAACATCACGAATACTATTAATGTATGTTTGGAATCATCCGATGCGCAGCAAGCTGCAGAGTGATGTGCTGAGGGAAGCAATCACCCAAGTCACCACGGACTCCAGAGAGAAGAAGAGGAAGTTCCTCGAAACCATCGAGCTGCAGATCGGCCTGAAGAACTACGACCCCCAGAAGGACAAGCGCTTTAGTGGCTCGGTGAAGCTCCCCCATATCCCTCGCCCCAAGATGAAGGTCTGCATGCTGGGAGACGCCCAGCATGTTGGAGAGGTTTGTGGTCTATAATTTTCCGAGAACCCTAGAAACCGAGCCCTTTTTTCAGATTGAGGGGATCATCGTTCGGCTCTGTCGGAGGTTCCGTCGACTCCAGAAGAATTAGGTTTGTTCTTGTGCAGGCGGAGAAGATCGGGCTGGAGTACATGGACGTCGAGGGGTTGAAGAAGATGAACAAGAACAAGAAGCTGGTGAAGAAGCTCGCGAAGAAGTACCATGCCTTCCTCGCCTCTGAGGCCATCATCAAGCAGATCCCCAGGCTTCTGGGCCCTGGGCTCAACAAGGCAGGCGAGTGAAAACCCCCACACTCTCCTCCACCCGCCCTAGATGGGTAAGCCTGACATTTCTCTTTTTTGGGGCGAGGGATGGCACAGGGAAGTTTCCGACGTTGGTGACTCACCAGGAATCTCTGGAGTCGAAGGTCAACGAGACCAAGGCGATGGTTAAGTTCCAGCTGAAGAAGGTCCTCTGCATGGGCGTCGCCGTGGGCAACTGCGGGATGGAGGAGAAGCAGATCTTCCAGAACGTGCAGCTCTCCGTCAACTTCCTCGTCTCCCTCCTAAAGAAGAACTGGCAGAACGTAAGCCCCTGTTCCTCTCACTGATTCTTTCTCTTTCTCTCTCTAACCTCTGCCTGTATGGAGCAGGTCCGGTGCCTGTACCTGAAGAGCACCATGGGGAAGCCGGTTCGGGTGTTCTGATAAGCTATTCTAGGGTTTTCTTAGGAGCTGAATCTCTTGATAGTCGAGGTCAACGGGAGAGTTTGCTCTGTTTTTTGGTTTTTCTGTAAACACTCAAATGACGATGATGATGGTGGCGACGACGACTGACGATGATTCCGTAACGGGCCGGAGTTTCCCATCAGGTCCATTAATAGCCCGGATCCAGTCAGAGAGCTCTTTTTGCAAATAAGCCCCCAGGATGAGCTTGAATTGTCAGAGTGCGTACGGGGTTTTTCTGGGGGGAAGGGGGGGGGGGTGCTTATCTAAATCTACTGGGGAGGAGGGGCGTTTTGTGGTTCAAAATGAATTCAAGGGGGTAGACAAAAATCTGGAAAGGTATACTTTCTCACGCTGGGGGCGGGGCGAAATCTAAGGTTGGACTTCGGCTTATTGATTGATGATGAAGCTTTCGAGGGTTTATAAATAATTACCGTACGTAGGTGTAGATATGTAAAAGAGATTTTTGATCTCGGCACGTGGCCCACCTGTGGGCGCCAACGGATTCCAAAACCCATTTTCACTCGTAGCAGCAAGAGAGAGAGAGAGAAGGAGAGAGGGAATGGGGGGAGGAGGACTTCTCCAAATACAATTTATACATCTTCGATAGGGCCGGTGAGATTCTTACGGAGGGTTCGTCTTCTTCTCATCTCGGGAATGATCGGCCAACCTCGGCTGGCCAAAAGCTCTCTCTCTCTCTCTCTCTCTCTCTCTCTCTCTCTGCCTGTCATTCTATCTGTCTATCTACCTCTATCTCGTTGCTCAAAAGGGCAGCCATTTTCCTTTCTCCAGCTTGCCGTTGAGGAAGGCCGCAGGAGAGACGAGGAACTCCGCGGGGAGGGAAGAGGGAGAGATCTGCCCCTCGATCCGATCCTTCCTCCAATCTGCACGCGCCTTCTGTGTGATGGAAGCTTCATTCTCAAAGGGTAGCTGCAGGAGTCTTCGGAGCCGATCCACGTAAATATGGTCGAATAGTTGGGGGAGGGAGAGAGAGAGATCTCAGATGAGAGCTAGTTATGTTAGGGAGAGGGAGAGTGAGGGAGAGGGGGAGAATTTCAAAAGAGGGCTAGTTGTTGTGTTCGAGTGGGAGAGAGACTTTCAGATGCTGGGTAGGTACTTGAGGGAGAGAGAGAGAGAGAGAGAGAGTCTCAAATGTGGGCTAGTTTTGTTCGAGAGGGAGAGGATTTCAAACGCTGGCTAGGTATACGCTAGAGAAAGAAAGAGAGAAGGAGATCAATTTTTTCAGATGTGGGCTTTTTGTGATAGAGAGATTGGGAGTAAAACCTCTATGGGAGATTGTATTGGCTCCCAAGATATCAATCTTCATCAGAGGAGGGAGAGCTCAGCTCCCTGCACCTCCCGCCGCCAAGAAGATCCTGAGTTTCAAACTTGCCAGATCGAGTTTTCCGGAGCACCCATCTCATCCTGTGAATGGAAAAGCTGTTCAAATCCCTCACCGGCGAGCTTCGAGCTTTCTCTCAGATGGGCACAGGAAGAAGACGATGGCTTCACGGGCTTGGCGGGAGTTCTAGAGAGAGAGAGCTCTCCAGCACGGCGACCACCTCGGCGATGGAGGGCCTGAGCTTGGGGCTCTCCTGCATGCACCACAGAGCCAGCCTCATCGCCCTCTCCACCGCTTCTCTCCCCTCTCCGCCATCGCCGCCATTGCCGCAGACCTTCAACCGGCCGTCTATGAACCCTTCCAGTTCCCCCTCTCGGCAAGCCCTAGAGGCCGAACTGTACAGCTCTCCGGCCGCCGCCCCTCCCCTGCCGGAGACGAGCTGAAGGAAGATCACCCCGAGCATGAATACGTCCCTCTCCGGCAAGGTTTCCGGCGAGGAATCCGCCGCCGGCTGCCGGAGCTTCTGCAGACCGTAGTCGGCTACCTTCGTCGCCGGATCGCCATCGGCGATGAGGACGTTCGCCGCCTTAAGGTTCCCGTGGGCGATGGAGGTCTTGCACCCCAGATGCAGGTGGCGGAGGGCCCTCGCCACCCCCACCGCAACGTTCATCCTCTGCCGCCAGCCGCCGCCGCAACGGTCGACCCGCCGCCGGGCCAGCCACCGGTCGAGGGAGCACCCCCTCACGTACTCGTACAGCAGGATCTTCTTCTCCGAGCCGAAGCTGAATCCCTTCATGGCGACGAGGTTCTGGTGGCCGCCGGCTCTGCTCAGGGCGACCACCTGGATCAAGAACTCTCTCTCACTTACCACTGCACCTGTGAGCAACTTAGCCGTTACGGTGGCCCGATGAGAGAGAAAACCCTTGAACACCGTCGGGCCGAGCTTCGCTCTGAAGCCTCCGGTGAGAATCTCCACCTCTTCGATCGACAGCCTCACCAGATCGCCGTGGAGCATCTTCACCTGCAGCTCCTCCGCCACTGAAACCGGCCGTCGTATGTCTCCGACGTCGAGCCTCCGCCGTCTCCGGCGAACCACGAACCAGAAGAGGAGCAGCTCCGCCGTGAGGAACACCCCCGCGGTGATCAGCAGGACCAGTGCGATCGCCGCCGTAGAATCCTGGCGGCGCCGCCGGGAGTCAACGGCACCGCCGTGGAATCCCTGCGCCGCCGCCGCCGCCATGCCGGAGACCGCCTGAGGGACCAGACAGGTCTTCAAGAACGAGGTCGCCGCGACGGCGGAGTAGCTGTAGCCGGCAATGAAGCTGCTCCGCTTGATGGTGCAGAGGCCGGAGCCGTCGTTCTTGACGGTGACGGCGATGCAGGAGCTATCGTCGAGGCAGTATCTCCGGCAGGCCTCGGAGCTCATCAGGGCCTCCGCGTCGCGAGGAGGGTACAGGCTATGGAGGACGGTGTTCTCCAGGGCTCTCATGGCGACGGCAGCGCCGCCGCAGCTCCCCAGGTCGGCGATCCTCCCGCACCCGCCGGAGCTTGGCGCCGCTGCCACTGCCAAGCACTTGCAGGCGGGGCCGGAGGAGTTGAACCCGCAGAGGCTGTACAGGCCGCAGAAGCCGAAGACGTCGCACTGGTTCTGCACCGCCTGCCAGCTGATTTTCCACGAGGATTCCGCCGCCACCCAGGAGTAGATCCGCAGGTTCCCGTCGAGGTCGATTCTCAGGTGGCGGAGCGCCACCGTCGGGTCCTTGAAGTCCTCGCTCAGTCTGAACCAGGCGGTGGCGCCGCCGGCGTCGAAGAGGCCGAATACGCCGTCGGCCTGCAACCTCGCTTCAACCATGGCGGCGGACGCGTTCATGGCGCCGCTGCTCCAGTAGGTCACGTTGTCCTCCCACACGAGAGAGATCTCCCCCAAGCGGGTGACAGTCAAGCTGTAGGAGCTGGCGGCGCCGCCGCCGGAGGGGAGAGCTCGGAGGGACTGAGGGAAGCGGAGGGGCTGGCCCGGAAGGAGAGTGTTCGTGGGGCTACCGAAGCTCTCCCAGACTGCGGCGGCGGACCGCTCGCCGCCGGCGGAGAGGACGAGGTTCCCGTTGCCGAGGAGGGAGGCCGACTTGACGCCCAGATTCGCCGTGTTGCTACTCCAGACAGCGAAGCCATCCCGCCGGCCGTCGAAGACCAGGAGACTGCCATCAGCGGAGAGACGGATGGTTGCGCCACGGGAGACTCGGATCCCGCCGCCGGCGGCCCAGACGGGGACCTTCTCAGCGCCGCCGCCGACGTTGTACCAGACCGCCACCAGGAGGCCATCGCCGCCGCCGCCATCGCTGTCGAGCTCACCGAGGAACCCGAAGGCGAAGACGCCGTTCTGGGAGAGGCCAACTCTGCGGTGGCGCGCAGAGAGCTCGAATCCGAGGGGGAGGGAGGCCATGGAGAAGAACTCCTCCGGCGAGGCTCCGACCAGGAGGCCCCCGACGGCGAGAATCGTGGCTGCGACGAGGAGGGGCCGCAGCCTCGCGGCGGCGCCGCCTCTCCATCTGGCAGTGCGACCTCTCCCGTGGAGCTTAGCCCCCGCAGCAGATCCCCACATTCTGCCTACTCCCGCTGCTGAGCCTCGAGGAGGGTGGATGGAAAAGGGGGGATGAAGAAGCTGCTGCTGCTGCTGCTGCTGCTGCTTCTGCTGCCAAGAGAGAGAGACGGAAGAGAGAGAGAGAGAGAGAGAGAGGGGGGGGGGGAGATGGCCCTCGAAGAAGACGATCCTCGAGGACTGGAACTTTGTTCTGTAGTGTGGCCAAAAACCGAGTTCGCGCGGTCAGAAATTGCCCGGTTTTGCTACACTTTGCCCAACTACTAAGTTGGCTCTGAAAGGAGCATCTTTTCGAAAAAAGCAAGATCTGCATCAGCCTTCACCATTCATGTTACACGTGCCATTCGAATGACTCTCCCTCTCTCTCTCTCGATACTTATCGCTGTAATCATCGGTTAAGATGGAAGATGCGTCGGTTTAATTCGGTCAATGAGTTGTGCTTTCTAGAAAGCGGAATTCCTCCCACCAGTAAATAGAAGGATGCCTATGGGCCCTAGGAAAGCCCGGGAAACTGGCCTGGGTGGGGGGTAAAAAGGGTATTTGGTAACCTTTGGTAGGAGTCACTAAAAGTGGGCTTTGGTCTCCGGACCGGGCTTCGGGCTTTTGCTTCCCATTAGCACATTTCATAGATTGCTCTACCTCAGTAAACATTTTTGACGGTGACCCGCTATTATCTCAATTAATTTTCATGGTTAGAGTTTGCTGGATTAACACCACAGAAAAATATTTGGGAGAGTAGGTCAAATGTACCTCTTACTAGCTTAGTTTTCACATGAATTCGTAAGGTTTCCATCAGATGACTGCAATCCCTCACCTAAGTGAAAGAGATATGAGACAAAGATGTTGACTATTTGATGGGCATTGACAACATCATATTTAGTTAGAATATTGGTCTCTAGACCTAGATATCTTCCCATGCAAGACATAGGCCCAGGATAAGCTCTAACTGGGGTTGTGACGTGTTCCACCTTGACCCACTTGGCCAAATGGCACACATCGGCCCAGTTGACCATACATAATCCACCTTCTTCTCTCCCTAAAATGTACCTGAAGAGTTGACCATCTCAACTTCAATATCTATTGATTTTTCTCAGCATGTGCTATGAGCATATTGTCTTTGTTACTCTCAAGAGGGTATTTAGCAGATGCCTGAGATCTCACTTTCTTAGAGAGAATTGGTGTAGATCAACTTAGTCAACACTTGTCGTAATGTAAAGAGTCAACCTTAGATTTTATAGTAATTCAGCTATCTTCCTTTAATTTATAATATATTTTAAAATTACACGGAATACTCAACATCCTTTGACTTTCTACTCTAGAAAGCCTCTACTGAACCCATTCTTGCATAAAATAATGAAAATATAAAACATTAATTCCCCTCTCCATTGGGATTGCAATTTTTGTCAATAATTTTTTTTAAAAGAAAAAAATATATATTTTAAGAGGTGGCATAGAGTGATCAAGGCAAGGCATTTTTTTTCTAATAAGGGCATTAAAAAATATTATGGGAGCATCCATCTCCACACTCATCTATTCTAATCTCTCCTTATGAATAAATGCCCAACGATTGGTTTAAGGGCTCTGCTGGGTCTGGAAAAGGGTACTTGGGCTGAAGTTAGGCTTAGACATTTATGGCCCAAATTGGCCCATTAAGACTCATGACTAGTTGTCATAAGCTATTAACCCCCTAGGACCTTAAAATATAAAATATTAGCCTTGGGTGTAAGTAAAAGGACAAACAGCGATCTTCAGGGGTCTAATAGGTTATATATGAAAGATGCTTGGGGTTTATCGTGAAATTAGCAGCACAGATTTTTCCGAAAAGGTGGGCCATTCATTGGGCTCCTCTTGGTGACAACACGTGGCATGATTGGTCACGTCTTCCAACTGTATGACGGCTCCCCTCCCACCGACGGCTCCGCTATTAACTCAGGGGTCAAGCTCCGCCGGCCTTATCGTCGCCGGCTGGTCGTCTCCGGCTTCCCCTCCTTATCCAGTTCATAATTCCTTTATCCTTCCGCCGCCGATATTTTCAGAGGCGCCACCGCCCGCCTCCATAAATTCTCCGAGAATCTAAGCCTGGTGCATACGAGAGCAGTGCTCGGCGGCGACACAGTTCTTTCAGCGATGGTTTTCGGGGAAGGGACGACGGAATTGATCCCAGGCTTGCCGGAGGAGATCGCCGTGGAGTGTCTCCTCCGCATCCCCTACGGAAGTCTCAGCGTCGCCAGGGCCGTCTGCCGGCGGTGGAGGTTGCTGGTGGAGGACGCGGGGTTCTTCTACCAGAGGAAACGCAGCGGGCACACCCGGGCTCTGATCTGTCTGGTGCAAGCCCTCCCTATTACTGACGCCGGCAGCGGCGGGGAGGCAGCGCCTGCGCCGTCGCAGGAGGAGGAGCGGCGGAAAAGTGGGAATAACGGCGGCGCTCCAGCGTACGGCATCACCCTCTTCGACCCCGAGACGGCCTACTGGGGCCGCCTGCCGGAGATCCCCGAGTACCCCTCCGGGCTGCCATTGTTCTGCCATATGGCCGGCGCGGGGGAGAGGCTGGTGGCGATGGGGGGTTGGGATCCGGTCACCTGGGAGTCGCTGCGCGCGGTGTGGGTCTTCGACTTCTGCACCGGCCGCTGGCGACGCGGCGCGGACATGCCGGCAGCGCTCTCCTTCTTCGCCTGCGCGGGGACCTCCCGCGGATTGGTATTCATCGCGGGCGGCCACGACGGGAACAAGAACGCGCAGCGGTCGGCGTGGGCGTACCGCGCGAGGGAGGACGCGTGGGAGGAGCTGCCGCCGATGGCGGACGAGCGGGACGAGTGCGAAGGCCTGGCGGTCGCCGCCGCCGGCGACCGCGGCGGAGCGGAGGGGGAGGAGAAGGAGGAGGACTTTTGGGTCGTCAGCGGGTACGCTACCGATGGGCAGGGAAGGTTCAGCGGAAGCGCAGAGGCCTACTGCGCGAGGACGAGGAGGTGGCGGAGGGTGGAGGGGGCGTGGCCGGAGGGGCGGTGCCCGAGGGGCTGTGCGGCGGGGCTGGTCTGCTGGGCGGAGGATGCCACCGTGAGAACGGGAACCTGCGCGGTGGTCGCCGGGAGGAGGGTGCTTGTGTCGGGCTCGGCGGCGCCGGAGACGGCGGCGGCGGGGTTCTACTGGGCGGAAGTGGGAGAGCGGAGGCGGGGGAGGCTGGAGGCGGTCCGGGGGTTGCCGGAGGAGTTCTCGACCTTCGTCCAGTCAGGCTGCTGCATCGAAATATGATGATGGTTGGACACACAAGTGGTGGCGGGTTTGCCGGAGGCGCCTTGCGTTCGTTCTATGGAGCCCATCGACTCTTGTTTTGTTCTTACCGCGAATTACTAATGATAGCAGCAATCCAACGTCTGAACTCTTCTATCATCCGTTTTGTCTCTTCTTTTTGGCCACGCTCTCAGCCGGATTTGGGTTAGGCCCATCGGGGCAAAGTTTAACAACTTCAAAATACGAGTCAACCCTTATATTCAACAAAAAATCTGTAGACAAACACAATAGCTTAGGCTGTTTTGTTTTCCATATTTTAACCTATGAATTTGAGATTTCAACTCTCCTTATTGTCGTAAAATTTAGGCTGTTTATTCATGATAGAAAAAATTCTAGTCTTTTACTAGAAACCCATGCGCAAGATAACCATAAATCACTTTAACAATTGAGATTATGAAACAGTTAATCTCCACTGTGCAAGGTCAACAGCCCAAATACCTATAGCTGTGGACTTGAGTGCCGAGTCACAATTTTAGTCACTCTCACTTGCCTCATAATGGAAGACAAGTCACAAATTCAAGACACAAGTGTTGACTCATAAAGGATTAGGGAGTTGACCCAGATCATAGCTTGGAAGCATCAATGGTTGACCTTTGTATGTGCTAACACAGTAAAAAATGATCCTTATAATTAACTCATAAGAGCTTGGGCTGGCCCAAGCAAAGCCTAGGCTTAGCCCAACACAACCCACCCTATGACATTAACTCATAACATAATTAATTGTGTTGGCCTTATAATTAATTTACTTTGGAGTATGTAGAAATTACAATTTATTTGGGAAAATACTGAAAATAATTTTTAATGTTATATATTCAAAAATAAAAATAGTAGGAATTATTTTTAGTGCTTTATATATATTGACTTTGATACTTTAGATATTCATAATGAACTGGTGCTTGATGTAATCTTTTGAATTTAGGCATTTAATAAAATTATTTAAATATTTATTTGTATTTTAAAAATAATTTAATGAGAAATAGAACAATTTACAATGCCATTCTAGAATAATAGTACCATTACTGGTCAAATATTCCTAATAGTGGAATGATAAAGATATATACTTTAAAGATTCAGCTAATAACTTCATTCATTAATTAATACATTATACATATTTAATTGTGTTATGTTATATTTCAAGGGAATAGCCTCAACTAGTTGAACTTGAGATTTCTTTATTTGATGAACATATATTATTTTGGTTGAATTACTTTGGACTAAGACATTATAGTCAATCACAAAAAAGCAATTCTAACTCAAACCATGATTTATAGTTGTTTGGTTTTCTTAACCTACTTCACTCTCTGAGGATAGCATCCATGGATTCCACACTAAGACCTAAGTGGTTTAAATACTGAAATTTCAGATGTGAGTAACTTAAAGTACTTAACATCTCCAATCAATTCAAGCCTTCAGTCAAAATCTTTTTTTCGATTCACAGCTATGTGCAGTCCAATTAGAGCAGAATCCACTCATCTATTTTAAATTCTGGACTTTAGGGGGGGGGGGGGGGGCTAATTTATTCACAACATAAATAAACAAAATGTAACAATTTATTCGTATGTTCTCAAACTTCATGAAGCTTCTTCCTTCATGTAGATAATGTGAAGGCTTTTGAGTGGAAGACAATGTGATACACATGAGCTGAAGACATTTCCTGTTTCTTACAGGTTTAGGCTGATGCATTTATGCATGTTAGCTCTTCAACTCCCCCCCTCTCTCTTTTCCTCTGCATTTAGTTTTCAAAAAAATATTTTAATCCCTAGTTTTTTGTCTCACTAGGGTTCCTTTGATTTTTTAACATATATGTACCCACTGTACTTACGAGACAGGGAATGGACTAGTTCTAATGGGTGGACAATGGTTCATTTCTCATCTTATCATGGAGGCGGTGCAGCATAGTGGATAAATCATTTTACATGATTACCTGCTCGTTTCTATGGATTTGACGAATCTAGATCTGCATGGCATAATAGATAAATCCATTTATCCAATTGCATCCACCTCCATAACACTTCGATGACTCTAGATCCATGAGAACATATCCATTCCAACTTGATTAGTATATAGTTTGTCTGCCAGTAGTCTGACAATGTGATTGAATGTGGTTGATAGGTAGATCTATTGATCCATCTAGTTACATTCATCAGACAGCTCTAATTACGAGATCCAAAATATTGTGGTAGCTGTCCAACAGTCTAGCCCAACACACTTAATGATAGATCCATTAAACCATTTGGTGATATTTAATGGACAGCTCCAGTATCAAGATTTACAACCTTTAACCTACATCCAACAGCCTGATCCAACACAATTGATAGGTAGATCCATTAACATATTTGACCTAATAGGTGGCCGAATAATAGGATATGTGACACATTAGATATAGGCCTAATAACCTATGTTTTTTTTCCACAAGATTTGACTGGAAATAATTCAGATTAAAATAAAGAAATATTTCACAATGATGTTTGATAAATCAATTGTCCAATCTAGGCATGCTAGTTGTTGCATCCTTTTAAATAAGCGTAAGAAAGTAAATTATTTCACTCTTGGTTTTGATGCATAAGCTTGATAACAAGTGAAAGTGGATCATCTACGAGACTATTAAGATATGAAACTCTCTATTTATGGATTTGACTAAACTATGCTTCATATGTTGTGATCATTACTGAAACGCCTAAGATTTCCAAAGCCACCAACCCAGAATATGCTTCAATTATCTTGAACGTCTGATCTCAGGCTATGGCAGTGAATCATGTGGTGGCTCATATCTCTCCCCCTAGTCTCCCTCCCTCTCTCTCTTTTCTATATACGAATGTTAAGGAATGGGCTAGGTTTTGCTTGCGTACATCTTAATGCCCTCTTTTAGATCATGCTCTACAATATGCTTGATCTAGAAATTTGTAAAAGATATTTAGCTTTGAGTTGGAATTATTAGAGTGCGTGAGTTACTTGGCTTAGGTAGATGACAGTGTTCTAATGATGAACCTCTAGCATAACTTCGTAAGATCTGCTATGAAAATTATCTGGATGTTATTTTATTTTCTTTTAAATGCCATGTTGCGATTTATTTCTTACAAGTTCATCATTAGCAGCAATTGGAAAACTAGTTCAAATTAACAATATTTACCAACCAACTCTACTTTTTAATGCCCTTTGAAAATTGAGCACTTGAGATAGATTTGCTAGAACTTTGGTTTGTTTAAGATTTTGTTTGCCCAAAATTAAGAACACAGACGATTGGATCTTATCCTATATGTTTACTATATGAAAAGTTAGGAAAATTCCGTTGAAATTATTTATTTCGTTGAGAGAAATTAAAGCTCTCATACGCACATGTCTGATTGTGTCGGTTGAGAGAGAGAGAGAGAGAGAGAGAGAGAGAGAGAGAGAGAGAGAGAGAGAGAATCATCCAGGATCATTCTCTTGAATATATATAGGCACGCTGTGACATGTTCCACATTGTGCTGCCGTACGAACCGGCGGGCCTGCCACCGCGGATCTAGTGACAGCCGCCGCCCTCTTCATCGTGATATGGAATAGCTCGACCCACGGCCTACCCCCCCGACCCCATCCCCCAACTACCACCTTGCCTCCCTTCAAAGTCCCCCCGTCCCTAACGACTCCACTCCCCTTTCCCCATACCAGGGACACCGTCTCTTTCCCCCTGGACCAGAGCCCGGAGACCAGAGAACAGAGCCAGACGGATAGGAAAGGAGAGAGCGTTGCTGGCGCCTTCATGGTCGGTCAACTCGCTCCGGTGTCGGAAGAGCCCGTCGGCGAGGAGGGCTCCGAGAAGCTAGGCAAGAAGAAGGCCAGTCCCTTCCGTGAGCTCATCCTCCATAGGCTTCCCCAGTTCTTCCAGAAGAGGCCTCGCGACGGCGACCTGAGAGTCCTCCTCAGCGTCCTCGGTTGCCCCCTCTCTCCCGTCGATCTCCCGCCGCTCCCCCGGGCACCACCATCCCCGGAGGTATATTAAGCTCAAACTTAGGTTGATTCATTCCAGAGATTCGATATGATACGATACTGTTCGTCGCAATATTCTACATCCAACAGTGCTTGCACTCTCTCCCCTTCTATCATTCATTCAGGTGTCGTCGAGGGCGCAGTACATCCTACGGCAGTTCCGGGCGACGACGGGGAGCGCCGGGGTGGCCGGCAAGGTGAAGAGCGTCTACGCCTCCGGCAAGTTGAAGATGGCCACCGTCTCCGACGAGCACCGACCGGCGGCGGGCGGCGCCTGTTACGAGGGCTGCTTCGTTCTCTGGCAGATGGTTCCCGGCATGTGGCTGGCGGAATTCGTGGTCGCCGGCCGGAAAGTCACCGCCGGCAGCGACGGCGTGGTCGCGTGGCGGCGCACCCCGTGGCTCCGCACCCACGCAGCCCCCGGCGGTGCGCGGCCCCTGCGGCGCTTCCTACAGGCAAGAGCACCCATCCCTCTCCTTCCTCCCCACAGAGTTTAGGCTCATCCTTGACCCTTAGAAGAAAAGCCCGGCCCGCCATATGAGAGTATCAGTTGCCCTCATACGGTAGGAAGAACGGGTCGGTACTTTTCGGGCTTTTCAGAACAGTTGGGGCCAAATTTGGCCCGCTACAGTCTCCTTTTAGAACCACGAGTCTTCCTTTGCAGAAAATCGGGCCGCACTGAGGTTTCGGGCCGAATCCATGCTCCTTATCTAACGCCAACATCACATGATTCAGGCCAGTGCATTGGCTGTTCACGTGCCCCCCATCCCACACTACAGCTAAGTTAATAAATGCCATCATTTAAGTAGTTGTTACACAACCATGTTATCATTATAATAATCTTTGGGCTTCAAACTCTTCGGCATTAATGGCTGCATGTGAAGTTGTCAACGGGCCAGCCCGGGCTTTGCAAAGTCCACTGAGAGGCTGAGAATCTTTAAGAGCTCAGGCCTGGAGCAAGAGAGAGTCTCAGTGCCAGGTGTAAACTCAACCCTTTCTAAACTGCAGGGTTGAGGGGGGGTGGTGGCAGGTAGCGTGACACTAATAGGTTGGGAATTTGACCAATAGTTCAAGGAAGATCATCAGGGATGCAGTAGCGATAAGAGGTCAATGGTAAATGATTCAAGCCATCATATTGGATCAGATACAATTGGTCTGAGATATAACGGGGTTGGGTGTAATAAGTTAAGGATCCGAGGAATTGGGTAAGGGCAGGTAGCATGTCACTAATAATTAGGGAATTTGACCAATGGTTCGAGGAAGATCATAAGGGATGCAGTAGCGGTAAGGAGTCGATGATAAATAAATCAATCGCTCGGTTTCCTTCTTACTGTCGATCTTATTGGATCAGATATAATTGATCTGAGATGTAACGGGGTTGGGTTTAATAAATTAAGGATCCGAGGAATTGGCTAAGGGCAATGCTGATGATGTTGCCAATCCAAATCGGTGGTTCTGATTTGGATTGGCCAATATCGAGCAAAAGTGTTACCAATCGATCGGGTTCTATGAGCTTTTACACATGTTGGAAGGACCAGACTGATCAATTAGTATACTCGTTCACACTATAGGAAATCTATCAGATTTTTTAAAGCATGAGGGTAGTAATCTGTGGATAATATTTTTATATGCTTAATCAGACTTGGGACATTGATCTCAATCAGTAACTCAAGTGTTCTATCCGCCTAAGATGAAGACTGATTCTTTTGGCAGGGGTTGGACCCAGCGCTGGTGGCGGCGTCCTTCTCCGCCGGAGAGTTCATCGGAGAGGAGCAGGTGGAGGGCGAGGAGTGCTTCGTGCTGAAGCTGGCCGCCGACGACCGGACACTCTCGCAGAGAAGCAACGGTGCGACGGAAATCATCAAGCACTACATGCTGGGTTACTTCAGCCAGAGGAGCGGCCTCCTCGTGTGCCTGGAGGACTCCCAGATAACCCGCCTCCAGCAGTTGGGCCTACCCCCGGTGTACTGGGAGACGGCCACTCGGTCATACCTCGGCGACTACCGCCCAGTCGACGGGGTCATGGTCGCCCACGCCGGTCGGTCGGCGGTGACCATGGCCAGGGTGGGCGCCGGCGGCATTGCGAGAGTCGGGATAACGGAGATGGAGGAAACGTGGGTGATAGATGACGTCGCCTTTGACGTACGGGGCCTCTCCGCCGAGAGCTTCATCCTCCCGGAGGAGATCCGGGGGTCTTGACTTTGCCGCTCCTCTCTCTCTCCCTCTCTCCATTCCTCTCTCTTTCCCTCTAGCCCTCTCTTTCTCTCCCTCTCTCCCCCTCTCTTTCTCTCACTCTCCCTGTCCCTCTTTCACTCTCCCTGTCCCTCTTTCTTCCTCCCTCCCTCTCTCTCTCTTTCCCTCTCTCTCTCTCCCTCTCTCTCTCTCTCTCCCTCTCTCTCCCTCTCCCCCTGTCTTTCTCTCACTCTCCCTGTCCCTCTTTCTCCCTCCTTCCCTCCCTCCCTCTCTCTCTCTCTCTCTCTCTTCCCTTCTCCCCCTCTCTTTCTCTCACTCTCCCTGTCGCTCTTTCTCCCTCTGTCTCACCTTCTTCCTCTCTCTCTCTCTCTCTCCCGCTCCCCCTCTCCCCCTCTCCCTGTCCCTCTCTCTCACCTTCTTCCTCTCTTTCTCTCTCTCTCCCTCTCTCGCTCGCGCACTCATGTATTAATATACTGAATCATACAGCAATATTCAGATCCAATATAACGTACAATTCAGTCCAACTAGATCGACTTCCAAAAGTTGATTCCCTTCAAACCCCATATGATGCCGAATTCAGAGAGTTGATTACTCTTAGATGATAGAAGGGTCCGACAGGACTTTTAAAGATCCAACACCACTCACTCAATACCAACATCTCGATTTTTGTTAGCAATGCATTGTGGTCCTATAAATATATCTTCTGCCACTAGTTGTGAGTTGAGGTGAATGAATGCCCACTAATTGGCCATAAAAAATCTCTGTCAAAGAGATTCTTTTGATATTCAAATTCCTTTTTTGAAGGAATCATATGCAAGTAGACTATCAAAATTAATTTATTTAGACTATTTCTATGGGCTCCTGTTGAATACTGACATCATACAATCTATGAACATGTTTAAAGGTTAACTCTATCAAAAAAAGGTAACAGCTACTGTGGGTATTGTTATTATAGGTAATCATAAATACTTATCAAACTCAAGTTGGTCTCTTCAGAAACTTAGTCCTTCTCAAGCTAAAATTGGCTATCAGCACCTTGTGCTTTCACCCAAAACAATCAACTCTCATCACCCAATTACCTTAAGACTTGATGGAGAGCTAAAGTAGAAAGATGGAGTTGATTATCTTGTCGAAATCAACTAGAGAAGATGGTACGACATTATAATGTGATAGTGATACTTGTGGCATAAACAACTTGGGATGATGACTTGAATCTTTGCATACTCAACTAGTTTTTGATCCTTGAGCTTTCTTTGATAATTAAGTCTTCGTCCTCTAATACTTTTCTGATTTTGCAAGATCTACGTTCTATATCTTTGTTCTAATACTTGTTATTTTTGAAATTTGTGCTAACGACCTTTGAACATTCCATATTTTGAATCTCCTTATTCCTTCATCTTTTCTCATTCAAATTTGAAATGGAGTTTAATGAAGAATAGTTGGATGTTTAAGTCATATGTAAATCATTATGTTTACTTTGACTTTTTGGTGTGGGAATAAGTTCTTTCTATATAAGCTACTATTGATTATTAAATAACATGATTGGGATCAATTAACTAACTAAAGGAGGTAATCTACAAAACAAAATAGATACTTTTTCATATTATATTTATTTGATATAAAAACATTCTTTAAAAAAAGATAATATATTTAACATTTTTTCAATGCAGAATATTGTATTGTCTGAATCTTCAAATTGAGTAGGTTATTAGTGACCCAAGTCTACCAATCTTAAAGGTTACTAGTGAACCAAGTCCCACAATTGAACATTGAGTAGGTGACATACAATTATTAGCGAATCTTTTACATTGGTTGAACACTTTTGGGTAAATGCTTTATCATTACATGCATGAGTCTCATTTTTTTATTGCTATGAAAAATTATTTAGTTCTTGCATATTGGACCCTAAAGTCACATTGAAATAATTAATGTAGATATCTTGTGCTTTTGTTTATCCCTATAACTAATTATGACATCTGACTTATTAGGATTTCTATTTAGCTTGTGTTGCTACTAATTAATTTTTCTAAAAAATGTTATTCTAAATAAACAAGTAATAAGATATTGAAAGTAGAGGATGCTAAAATGTTTGAATCATAATGATCTCATAAATAATAAGTAATTTTATGTCTATATATTATATATGTTACTATTTATGGGTTAAATTGTTTAAGTGAATACTAAAGGTACACACTTTGGATTGTAAAATGTACTCAAATCTTTCTACAAGTTAGGGAGTAGGAAACTAGCTATTAGTCATTGGAAATATGATCTTTGGGGAGTGCAAAAGTTACCATCGGCTAGGTGGTTATCTTAAACCAAAAGAGAAGTACCACAAATTGACCTAAAAAATGTTACCTTGAATTTATAGGGGGAAAATCTATATCTTCTTAATGTTGAAACTATCAATTGTCATGCCTTTTCAACCCTCAAATTATTATGATGATATAACCCATGATCCTATAATATTAAAATATGTAAGTTTTTTTTAGTGCCCTTAAAGCTAGTGAGAAGGGCATATAGTCTTTAGAAGCTAGAATGAAAGGCTCCCATAGCACATGTTAATGGGTACATGAGATGGAACAATGTTGAAACAAAAGAGACTATCATCTATCTTGACAACCATGTGACTTAATAAAGCCAACTATTAATGTTTCATCCCACCATTTATCTTAAAATTTAGGAATTATTTTTTTCTTTTTTTCATGTTGAATCCAAGGTTTAATTTCATTTATTACCTCTTATTTCTTTCACTTTATTATAATTCCACTAGTTATGTGAGGGAATTATCTAAAGACATGATATTCCTTCATTAAGAGAATACTGAATAATGAAAAAAAAGAATGAAATTCAAGTTGTGAGTTAAGATTGAATATGAGAGACAGTCCTTGATTAATGCTTGGCAAGATGCGTTATATTCTACTCTCTATCACACATAGCCTTCCTCCTCCTAATGTTCTTACTAATTACCATTTCCTTCATTACTCTATTAGTTGTTCTCTTTTCCTATCTCTTTCTTCCCCTCATTTTTGTACCTCTGGCCCTTGATTTGTGCTGTTTGTGTACACATTCCTATGTGTATGCCTACAAAACTACCTTCACATCCATCATAGTGTGGCTAGAGATGGACCCATTAGCTTACATCATCTTGACCCCTTGCCATTGAAGATCATCCCATCCAATTTCATCCATTAGCATGATTTTTTTCCACACTATCTATATCTATATCCTCTCCTAACAAAATTGACTCACTCTTTCACATTTGCTTCCACTCATCATTTTATATAACTAAAATATTTTTGTTGAGTTTTCAAACAAGTCTTGAAGTGAAAAGAGCTCATTATGACTATAAGTCATTTCACAATATTTTCATCCTTGTAACATTTAATAGGTCACTACATCTAGTAGATATTAGAAAATTGAAATTTACTAAAATAATATGTTGAATATTGTGTAATCTGACATAGAAAATGTATAACCATTGAAAATCATAAGATAATAATTATATAAAACAAAAATAAGTATTACATGAATAATCTAGAAACTAAAGCCTCATATTTGTTGTGTAAAATATTCTAGAATGGTACAATATTTGAAGTCCCATCTTTTAGTCTACAAATTGTTACATCTTAGGACACTAAAGTACATCCTACATTAGATTTTAGTCCAAATAGCACATTGTGGAATAGTGTAATATGTAACGCTCTAAATTTCAATATAAGATGAATTATGTTGTAAGATAGTAGAGAAATCAATCATTATGTTTAAGATGTGGAAATATGTTATAGAATAATAAAATATAATGCTTCAAATGTAAATATAAGAGAAATTATATTGTGTACTAATGATGTATATTAAGCTATTATTTTACTCTTTAGAATTCATGGTGAGAGATAAAAGTATTGAACTCAAGAGTGATATATACATAAATAGATATTTAAATATATGAGAATTATGTGGTAGATAACATATTAATATATACAAACAAATCTAAGTTCATGGAATCTAAGCTCAAGAGTGGCACATGAATAATACAATATTTCAAGGTTAATATATTTAAGTACATAAATTTTAGGCTATGTATGTTTGTGTGAGAAGAATAGTCTTTCAATACATAAAATTTATGATGTAATATAACTTAATATTTAAATTTGCATATCTTTGTATACAAAATTTTTACTATGATATAAGTTAGTGCATAAATTTGCAAATCTCACTATATGAAGTTTAGTTTGCAGAACACAGCATATTATTATTATTAGGATGATATTATATATATTTACTTTTAAACTCGTCTTAGAGTATGAGATCATCAATATATTATATTAGTAGAAGAATTATGTTCCAATTCAACACTCAGAAAAGAAAAATATATTGTAGCAAATGAATGAAAATTATCAATTCAATGAGCATGAGTTGTTTTTAGAATGACATGATTTATTGTGTTGCTTGACTATTGTTAGAAAATTTGAAATCAAGCCTTGAAGCTATTAAAATTGTGAATCTAGTGGAGGTGGGCTAGGTTTGATGTTTTGTTGTTTCTAATATCATAATATATTGTTATAAGCCCCTAGTGGGCCTAAGTACCCTAGATGGTGAAAGGGGCCCAAAGGACCCAAAACCTCCCTCTCATGTAGACTTATTGGGGGCACTGTTAATTTTTTTCTCAATTAAGAGAAAATGATATTAAAGTTGTGATTGAGAGAGTGGTGGAGGTCTAGCCATTTTGGGGGAAAACTAAAGAGAGGGAGTCATGGCTATCTCAAAAGATCACTCCAAGTTCTACAATCTTTATAAATCAAGTTTTTTGTTTATTTCTAGAATCCTCTATTTTAATAACTATTTTTTTCTCATATTATTTACTAATTTTTACTTATTCTACTAATTTAGTATCAGAACAAGGTGATGTCATCTAAGGCCTACAATCTAAGACTTAAACACATGAAAAAGGAGATTGAAGAGTTGAAAAGTGAGTTAAGAAAACTATTAGAAATCAAAGGCAAGCTAAAAATATTGTCAAAAATTGAAAAAACTCTACAAAGATGAATAGTGATGGAGGCAAACATGGAATGGATGGGGAAGAACATTGTATAATTAATGAAGTATGTGGAGGTGTTGATACAACATTCATTACAATGTTATGAAGGTGAAGATCTCAAATGAAAAATGACTTGGATGGCAATATGAGAAAAGGGGATACATGAGAAAAGATTCAAATGTGACAATATGAAGACAAAAGATGAAAAAAGAACATCTCATTTAGTTGTAAAACCCAATGGGAATTGGATGGCTACATAAACAATTAGAGAAAAAGTTGATGTATGGAAATGTTTCACAGAAGTAATCTAAAAGATAGATCTGTAGGAAAAAAATTCTCTGCAATGCACCCCATGACATAAGAAGAAAAATGATGACAACAAGAGAGCTTTGAAGAATAATCATTAGCTTGGTATTGAGGAAAAATGTCAGGCATTCATCTACTAAATTAACTTATTTGAAAATCATAAATAGGAAGGACTCACCACCATTAATAAAATTTAACACCCAAATGACAAGTGCAACTAAGGTGACACAACAATAGTAGGAACAAAAAGTTATTCTAGAATAGTTGAAACATCACTTGCTTCAAGCACAAGCATGAAAACTCAAGATGATGGAAAAAACTATGAAGTAAATTATGAGGTTGGATAATAAGTTTATATAAAGTTTAAATGTTGTTAATTACAGCCCCTCACTTAATGTTAAAGTGAAAAACTAGTTCCATGTTACATTGACCTTTATTAGATTGTGATAAAGATTAGCCCAACCACCTATTGATTAATCCTCCCATCCACTACACACATTTATCTCATTTTTCGTATCTTGATATAATTGCTTCCCCCAATGCTAGATGTTGAGCTCAACTAAGGCGTCACACCTTGAGTAACCCCTTGACTGAGGCATCACACTACCAAAAAAAAAAAGAAACCTCTTGAGGACATCACAAGAGGTAAATGGAGGTACTGATCTAGTGAACCACTGGAACCACACTAAAAAAGTGGAAGTACTGATCTAGTGGAACCACCTACGAAAAATAGAAACCCCTTGAGAGTTGAAATAATAATTTTGTAATTTTCACCTTGAGAACAAGTTGTCCCTAACAAATAGTAATGATAATCTCTTAGTGGCCTTAATACACATTGATTGACAAAAAGAAGACAAAGAGCCTCAACAAACCCCCTTTCATGAAGACTTAGTGAGGGATGATTAGGTTTTTTCCAGGTAAGGGAAAATAAAATTTGGGTTGTGATTGGTGGAGTGGTGGAGGCATGAAACGTTTTGAGAGAAAGCTAGGGAGGAAAACCATGGTCCTTTCAAATGATTATTTAAGTTATTCTTGTAAACAAAACTCTATTTCAATTTCTTAAATCCTCTATTTTGATATCCATTTCCCTTTCTTCTCGTCTTCTTTGCTATTTTTCTATTATTATAGACCAGACCCTATTATGTTGTAACTCAAATAAAGTATCTCTAAAAAGAAAAATAAATAAAGAGGATATGATATTATAAGTTGTGTTACTCTCTCACCCAATTCTCTTGGTCATTAATAATGAGTCAACTCACATGACACAGTATCCCTTATTTGTTGCATTAAATTTATCTCCATTTTTGTCCATCTAAATGGACAATCAATTCATGGCCCGTTTTAGTTATTTATGGGCTAATTGAACCCAACAGTCTTCTTTTTTGTGTTACCAAATCTTATACTGAAATTACTTTTTTCTCTTGTAGTAAATTTATTTTTTTCATGGTTTAGACTCCACTACCTATATGATTGCCCTCTAGACTAGTACGGCATACAGTTGCTTAGGGGAGGGGGGGTATGATGTGGATGTTATGGTTGCCACATCCTTCTAGTCTTGGTTGCTTGGTAGCTGAGGACTATTCTCCAATAGATCCATGGTGTTCTCTAGGAACAATGGGAGCAGACAAGAACTTTCACCATGTATCTAGATCCATGTTAATCTCTAAGATCAATGAGAGTACCATAAGAACTTCAACATGCATCCAACCTAGGGTGTAATTTATATGTGTTGCATTATGGTTTGGACAATTATAGAAATACCCATCATATACTCCAGCTAGATTACCTATATGTTCAAATTTTTGTCGCTCATATAAATGAATATATACCCATGAAACTGTGTGCGTACACATGCATTTCACTTTATCTTGTGAAGCCCATTGGAAAACATAGTTAATAGGAAAAGTTAACGATATCGGCGCAACAATGATAAACGGGCTTAGTAGGGGTGGTTATCCTAAATGAGGCCCGAGCTTCACGGGGCGTTCAACCCAGTCAATTCCCAGGCTATTCTTTAGGGTTCGGCCCTTTCTTTCCCCCTCCGCGTCTCTCTCTCTCTCTCTCTCCCTCTCTGAGTCTCCGCAAGAGACGATATCGCTTCTCTCAGTCTATTCTCCGTTCTGAGCCTGATTATATCTTCCAGTCTTCCCGGTGGGGTCGATCCGTTAAATTGATCAGTTCCTAACAATGCCGTCGAGCCCATCACTTGTTCTTTATCTAATGAAGGCAAGATATGAAGCAGTATCCCAAAGATGGTTGCCGGAAGGAGAATTCCCGCGTTTGCCTTTACAGTAATCGCAACCACGAAAACAGAAGCTTCTTGAAATAGAAAGAAGACGATCTCCACACGGATTAGCATCGTTCTCAAACCGACACTAAAACAATAATTTTCATAATTCTGATCCTACTCGATAGAGAGATTGATAGATAGCGTTGCCTATTCAGATCTTATTTGACGGGTTCCAACACGAGAAAGAGAGGAGCTCCGGCGAGAGGGATCGGTTTTAGTAGGCGGCGACAGCGGAGGCATCGGCGGTGGCGCCGCCGTGCCTCCGGCCGTGGCAGCCACTGCGGCCGGCGGCGTTCTTCCTGCAGTTGGGTATCTCGGTGAAGAGGGAGATGGGGAGCTTCTGAGAGAAGATGCCCACCTGGAACTCGATGTACTTGCCGTCGGAGGTGACTGCGAGGCCGGTGATGGAGACCCAGATGAACAGCTTCTTCACCTGAATGCCGGAGACGTCGGTGACCGCGCCGTAGGTGAGCTTCCCCTTGAGCACGCGATCGAAATAGACGAGATCAGTGAACTGGACGTAGCAGGGCGCCGCCAGCTCCACCACGAACTCGCCGTCCTCGGAGAGGGTGTAGTTGACGACGGCGTTGGGGAGGAGGCCTTTTGGGAGGCCGTAGCTGGGCAGGTAGTCCTGCACTGGCGGCAGGTCGCCGCCGGCGGAGGCGACCGCCGCGGAGAGAGAGAGGAGGAGGATGAGGAGAGAGGAGGAGGAGGAGGAGGAGGAGGCCATGGCTTGCAGGATCATCTTGTGAATTGGGAGAGGGGGATTTAATGGGTGGAAGACCAGTTGGTGTGGAGAAGGTCGCCGTCATAATGGGTGCTAATTCACGTCCAATTATCGGAAAAACCTTGTGGGCTCCCCCCACCTTCCTACCTATAAATTATCTTCCCCATTTCTGCGTAATCTAACCTGAGAATTACATATAAAAAATATGACGTGCAATACTTCCAGCCACAAGTCTTCGTTCTTAGGAAAGCAGACAGAAAAATAAATAAAATAATAAAAATAATTAATAATAAATACTATAAATAGTATAAATAAAATAATTAAAAGGGCCGTCGGGTTCTAGTTTCCAGAGAGCACCCGAATTAAAATACATGAAAATAATCCCCCGATGAAGATTACGTTTGGCCTCCTAATTTGGCATTTGGTCAGCAAACTGGAGTTCTTTAAGAGTATACGTTTCCTTCCTCGGGGAATTATCTCAGCTAACGCGTCTCAAGACCCGTTCGCTCAGCAGCACCCAACCAACTCTCGTCGATTCCCCAGGCTGGTCTTCGGATGTTTGTGGGTTCTTGGAAATATCACATTTCAGATGGTCAACTCTGCAGTATCTATGAATTAAAGGGTACAAACGGTGCTGGAATCCATTGGTGATCAAATCGTTCGTTTGAATAAATCGAAATCCTTTGTATTGAATGTTCATAATACTTCCCCTCCGCATTGATCAGAGACAGATAGAGAGAGAGAGAAAAATTGGCGTAGTAAATAGGTCATATGGGCCCCACCAAAGTCAACTTGCGCTCTTCTCGGCACTGGGTAAAACGGGGGGGTTCTCTCTCTACCTCTCTTCCCTTTGTGACACACTTCCAAACTCGCAGCTCTCTTCCTCTCCTGGTTTCTCTCTCTCCTTCTCTACCGTTTGTAACCCACTTCCAAATTCGCAGAACTCTCCCTTCTCCCTCTGTTGTACTCTCTTCATCTCCTGGTTTCTCTCTCTCTCTCTCTCTCTCTCTAAATGGCCGACAGTTCATCAAGCCCACAAACAATGCCTGGGGTCCACACAAGTCCACTAATAACGAGCGGGTCAATTAATGCTGCAAGACTAAACCTGCTCCAGGCTGGGTCTGAATTAATTTCGGAACCTTGACTTGGATCACACCAAGCCAAAAAACAAAAAATGGGGAAGAAAATATTCGGCGGATATTCTCTCCTTTTTCTTGGATTTTCTCCAACTCTATGTTCCCATGATCAGGGCCGCCCCGAAGATTGAGAAATTATAAATGGGACCACACCTTCAACAATATTTATGGACATTTTAGTAATATAAAATTGCATAAACCCGTTTGATACAGATCTAAGAAGTAGCATTCATCTTGCCCTAGGCATTGGTGTGATATGAGCAAAAGTGAAGCTGACTAGGCCGCCATGTGGCGGGCCCTCTATCCAGCGTGGCAATTAGCACATTGATGAGACAACTTGGTCCATGTGGGTGTTATATTTTATAAGATTACAGGAAATTAAATTCCTATTATTGATATTTACATTAACCTGTCAAAATGTACCAGGAAGTCCGGCTGAAGCTCTATCGCTTTAGCCTTCTTTCTATTTCAAGTAAGGGGGGTTCATCGATCTACTTTCAGCAAAAAAGGGTAAAAAAAAAAAGAAAAAGAAATCTTCAACAAGCATTTTTAATACAACTCTATCATGGGCTTGTGATAATTCCTCGAATCTAGATTCTCATCTCGGCTAATGAGGACCCTGTGATTGGAATCCAAAGGCTGTGCAGTGATTTGGTGGAATCTTTGATCCTCGATCCAGGTCATGAGTAGGTTGTGGGGTTTCTCCATCGGATCAAAGCTCTGTCAAGAACCCTAATGAGGTCCTGCTTTGGTTGTCGAGCCTTCTGAATCCATGTCATGCATGGACTGAGCAGAAGTGAACTACAGAGGAGGAGTAGGATATTGAGATTGGTCAACGTCTGAAGAAATCTACCAGATAATGGGAGGAAATTAGGGATGAAAAATGAGCAGAGGCGTTGAGTAGTATTCTGAATTTAGTAAGGTGGATAGTTGACTCTGTGTAATTAAAGAACATAAATTTAAAACAGAAGGGGAGCGTTGACTAGCCTCGGATGTGCAGGAATTTTCAACGTCCGGTCGCAGGTGTGCATAGCTGCATCGCAAGGAAGAAGAAACCATTCATATTTTTTCTTCGAAGCTGTCTGAGAAGCAGAAGGGGCGTTGGTTCTGGGAGGGGAGTCGGACTGATAGTGAGACCTAGTGGCTGGTGATTTTGACCCACACAAGAAGGATCAGACCGCTTTTGGTCAAACAGTGGAGGGATTTCTACGAGAGAGAGAGAATAAAAGCTAAATATTTGATAGCCTATTTAATCATCCTGATCTCCATTGCGAAATGCATGCCCTTGACTAATGGCAGCAAAATTTCCAACTATGAGAGCATTTTATGACGTGATTATTGGCCTTTGGTTTGCTCATAACTATGGGTACATAAGATCATCAACATATTAATTTTACCCATCTAGATTTTCTATAACCATTTTTCCAAGATTTCTTTGAGATCCTCATCGTACAATATATTTCAGAACATAGAGGTGATTTATTTCTTTCCTGACTCCTCAAGAATGAGACTAAGAGTGAAGACAATGGGTAAAAGTGGAATACGGAAGAAAAAAAAGTCAAAGAGCTGACTATGTGAGAGCTCAGAAGTCGCTATGGGGACAGAATAGAAAGTGACAAGAATCTTTCCTAGTAAAGAAAATAATAAGCCCTCCAGAACACGGTAATACCTTCTAGAAGGATGCATGAAAAGGAGAAATCAATTAGAAGGACGGAAATGTCTTTCAAAGGAACAAGATAGACCTGGATTCTCTGCAGAAGCCTCACGAGGAGTCTTCGATGGCTGATCTTCTCCTGATGCTCGTCTTTTCCTTCCCAAACTGTGATAAACATGATATTAGAAAAATGATGGTAAACAAGGAAGATATTTAGGAAATAATTCAGCATAGTCTGAGAAAAATATCCGCCAAATGTGAAGACAAGTGATAGTTTGTCCAAGCAACATGATCAGCACCTTCCATTTTCTTCTCCAGAAGATATTTTGAAGACTTGAGCTTCGGGTGGCGAAGAGTTTACATTTTGATCCATCTACAATAGGAAGATAAATAATACATATAAAACCTGATCCCACTATGCAAAAATACTTGTAACTGAGCAAATAATTTTATTATAAAATTTTCAAAGAGTCGCCGTTTATGCTGTTCGACCTCTTGACATGAATTAGCAATGGTGGCCTGAACCCTTTGTAGCATGAGCTCCATGTTAAGTAGCTCAAGATGCAAGCCCTGGCCAAGCAATGCCTTTAAATAATATAAAGAAGAAACGTTATAGAGAGAGGGTAAGGTTGTTGACATTAAAACCTGTTTTTCTGATGTCATACTCTGAATAATCTCGTCCTTGATCGATAGAGCCTTTTGTAAGTGATGGGAGTAAAGAGAAAGCAAAGTCTTGGATGCTGGACGAATGCCCACTTTGAATCAAAGATAAGAGTACAAATAACGAAAGCTGAAGGATATTTCTCTGACTTGGGTATGAAGGACGATATCGTTCTTTGCCTCTTGAAGTTGTTCTTCCAACTCAAATAAAGTTGTATCTTTCCTCTGAAGTTCGTTCTGGTAGTTTCTGAGTTTACCCTCCATAAAACAAATCTTCTCTGCAAGGGGTTAGATTAATAACGATTTTTAAAATAATTAAATAAAAAAAATCCCTCTTTACGGGGAAGAAATAAAATCATTTGAAAAAGAGCAAGATAACGGTAAAAATTAGCGGCCGAAGCCGTATTGTGAAAATTGAACGAATTCTGATGTTTGAATAGCCGGAATGATTGCATTCTTCCATCAAAAAAGGAAAGGAATGAGGACTTCTTACTCATCTGTGAGATGAAAAATAAACACTTTATTTTAGACAGAAAAGAAGAAGCTGACAGATAGCTTGTGGTGAGCAGGAATTAACAGTGAGATGAAAGTCGGGCATTTTTTTCCCCTTCTCTTAAAGGTTGCTTATGGTAGCATTAGTCCAAGAACGTGCAAAAATTACAAAGGTAAGAGCTAAAAAAATTAAGCTTACCCTCAAGCTCTTTCTCAAATGTTGAAATTTTGTTCATTTTCTCCTGCAATCTGATTGCTAGATGTTCAAAGGATAGTGAAAGAAGGCACCAAGTCAAATTTCGACCACAATAACAATTCGAGTCTGCAAATATTTCCTGACGCTAAGTACTTAAAAGTAAACATATCATAGTTTCGTGACTACACATGCCTACTTGCTCTTTTTCACTCACAAGCTGTTGAATACTGTCCACTGTTCCTTTTAAAGCTTCAGCTTCTTTCTCAATTGAGTCAAACAGCGACAGATGCCTTTGCACCTTATTAGAAAGAACATTGAGCTGCTTATCCTTTACTATAATGGCATTTTTCAGTGAGCATGCTGAACCCTGAACTCAAGAAAATTACTATGAGTAAAAACCCATGTCACTGTATTCCATGCATTAAAAAACGGGGAAGAAATATTTGATTGAAAGAAATCAATGCAGGTGATGTTGGAATACTCTACCGAAACTATCATACATACATTATTAAACTTCTGTGAATATTATTACCAGGTTTGAACAGATCAACACATTAGCAGTAATTGTCTGTCAAGGAGATATGTATCACAACACTTAAGGAAACGCACTTTTAGAAAACCCATTCCATAATCAACAGAAGAAAACAAGTACAGCCTGTAGCTGAACAAAACATTTCTTGGCGTTAGCATTGCATCGTACTAAACCTAGATCTGGTTACTCAAGGGAAGAAAAAAAAGTTAAGAACAGCTAAGCGAAACATATTAATATGATGGTCAAGCGATCAGCTCATTATGTTTAGATACTCATGATATCCACGGTATCATTTCAAGATATTATGGAAAAAATCATGATAGTAACCAAACCTATACTCTGCAATAATATAAAAATAATGTTGGCAGATTGTGGCTCATTCAAGCTTTTGGAAGATTGAGATTACATACCTTTCTGTGTATAATAAACATTTTTGGACAACTCTTTATAATATTCATAATATTCATTTACAGATTTTAAACCAATCGACTGAGAACAGGGATTTTTCAACATTTTTTTTATAGACAATACAAATCAATAATTTAGGTTTAATTTTTTATATATGTTCATTGCTTGCCATAAATTTCCATGTTCTGATCAGCCCCCAAAATCCCACGCATCCATAATTACTGCGATTTCATAGCTTTAGTTATGAGTGCACGACTTAATTTGATAGCAATGTATGTTTGCCACCGTCTATGGAACTTATCCATGTGAATGAACTTATGCTACTATTACTATTTTGTAGGTCTGCTTATCAAATCATATTATCTGCGCATCTCTCTCCCTTGGAGAGTTTCATTAAATGTGATTGAGTTATATACCAAACATGGGCAATCTATAATGCTAAAAGATTGTAAGTCATTGAAAATTGTCCCCAAACCAAATGGCGCATGTTAAATCATATTATTAAATGTGATTCATTAGATAATATCCCACTAAATAATTCTGCTTTCGGATAGTCATGTTTTCTTTTCTATGTGCACAAATCCTACAAAGGGCTGCACGTGAGGGAACAAATTGAAATAAAGCGATATTGGATGCACAGCTTGTATATTATTATTCAAATTTATGAGACTAGACTCATTGTCAATTGCTTTTGATTTAGAAAGCTTAACTCCGTTGCATGAAGAAAATAGAATGAAGTGAGAGTACAATTGTCCACAATACAAATGAATAGAAAGAAAACTATATCTGAAAACAAATACACATCTTATTGGAAACATGATACGCATTTTATGGAAAATAACTAATATGTGATCCCTGAAAGAATCTAAATGCCATAACAAAATTGTGGCTATAAAAAGGACCGCACATATATTGGAAGAAACAAATTCAAACAATGGAGAAGACAAGAAGAAAACCTCGTGAGCTTTTATAAAGGCGTCTCTGGATTTGAGCAAGTTATCTAACGTGTCCCTCAATTCTTTTTGCTTCTTTTCCAGCAAAATGTTGTCATTCTCAAGGTTCTCCATCTACAAAAGACAGTATCTATAAGTTATATCAGGTATTACGTAGACACAAAACGATAGTAGAACATGAATATGCTCCAAAAACTGTAATCATGATGGTGAACAAATATTCTGCACCTGTTTAAGTGCCAGCAATTGAAGAACATTCTGACGCATTTGCCATATTTGAGTCAATAACAAAACTGGTCATCATTACAAGTGTGTATCGAATATTTACCAGATAATGTGTAATAAGTTACGGACAAAAACACTGTGATGCCTTATCGTTTGGTTGATTTTCCCTCGAGTAATGGTAAATACACCCAATTTTTTCTTCATCTATATTGTTTTGTTGACATCATTGGCATAATACTTGAGTTTCCTTAAGCACCTCCTAGACATAATGACAGCAAATTTCGTTCTGAAGACATAAGCCCTACCTAAAAGAAACCGGAGAACAGAGTGTACTTCCATCAATAGAACATCCAAAACATCCCTGCTTATTAGTGTTTACTCATTATGTTGTATTATTCATAAAATATTGTTATCTATCAGCCACCTTGCCCATATTGTTTTTTGTTTTCAATATCATTAGAGACAAATATTCTCAAGTAGGTCGAAAGATTTTCGACTAAAGCAAAGATAATTTCCAACTCGAGAAATGGAAAAATCTACATCACTCCATTGGTCTCTTGAAATCATCCATTTCAGCAAATGTTATGTTCTCCAGCCTGAAAATTTCCTGAAAATCTTTCAGATTGTTAGAGAGAAACACGTAGGACTAATGTCCACTTATAACTTCAGTAAATTCTTTGAATTTAGCCACGTTGACCAGTTCAAAAATGGCAACGTCTAATACTAAGGTAAGAGTAATCATTTTATTTTGCTCAATAGATTTCTCACTTAATGCCACAGCGAATTTGATCCAGTGCTTTTCACATTGGGTATCGGAAATTCATCAACATGGCATAGATATCATGATCAGATTAAGTCATGGTAGAAAAGCATTCCATGGGATTGAATTTCAGCGTCTCATTGGTAGGTTGCAATGCTCCAACAACAACACTTTCACTTCCAAAAAGACGAGTGGAAGTTATAAGAACTAAAAGAGAAACCAAGGCAGATAAAGATGAGAAAAATGCTTCAACGCACGGGAGCACCTTGGTCTCAAGCTTGCGCTGCAACTCATCACGCGAAGCCAACTCTGCCTGCAATTCCTGAAGCTTCTTGGAGAACTCTGCTTCAGCTTCCCTATGCCTCTGGAGCCCAAAACCACCGCAGATAAGATGAATTAACATCTCTGAGTATAATTAAAAAAATGGAAGAAACTGAGAAACGGAAGTAAGGACTGGTTTCACAGCGGCAGGAGATGGAATGAGACATGAAGTGATTGAAGTTCAAAATAAACCTGCACAGAAAGCCCAAGCTCCTCTTTCACACAGCGCTCTGTTTCCTGGACTTGCGATCACGGCCGACAGGGAAAACAAGATGGAAGAATGCAGATCTCAGGGAGTAGATGAGAAATGGTCGGGGGATCAAAATGGGAACAGCTTGTAGTCACCCGGAGAGCCTTGTTTTCCGCGATTATAGAGTGTATATGGAGCTTGAGCTTCGAGAATCTGACCATCCCCTCCATCTCCCTGCGCTCCTGCAGCTCGCTCGCTTCCACTCAGCGCTTGCGGAGGCCGGCGGGAAGACTTTAGTAGGTTCCTCCTACCTCCAACATTTCAAAATTCTTTTCTTTTTCAATAATTGAAATTACATTATTACACTTTACAAAACTATAATTTTATGCATACCCTTACTGCTACTTGCTCATCATCATCGACGTTTGGGAGGAGGGGCATATGGTGGAGATCTGAAAAGATCAAGGATTTTTTGCTCATTCGTTTTCTAGGTGGTGGGGAAATATAAAATATTAATAAATAACCCTTTACAGATATTATTAATAAATTATAATTATATTACCATACTTCCAAATGTTCTAATAATTTAAATAAATAATAAAAAAGGCCGAGGATGTTTCTGCTCTTTCGTTTTCTAGATGGTGGGGAAAGTAAAATATTAATAAATAAATATAATCATAATAAATTACACTTATATTACCATACCTCCAAATGTAACAATAATTTAAATAAATATTAAAAAAATCACAACTTGCCCTAAGAAGGAAACCTAACTCAATGCCAATGGATGATGGAGGAGTTTGGTTACTTATTATAGAAATTAACTAGTAATTGCTTATACTTGGCAAGTATATGTTGATGGGCCAGACTAATTATATTGTCTCTATAATGATATGTTATAGCATTATAACAAAAGATCTAGGAGGTTGTGGGTTGTGCCAACTATCACAAGCAGAAAATAATAAGCTAGTCTTTGATAAAAGAAGAGGTTAATGAAAAAGAGAGGATGAGGCACTTTTCAAGGGTTTGAATTATTTTAAAGTCAAACCCTAGAAGGGTTTGACTTTTGTCAAAGGGTTTATGAGCTATCAAACTTTTCTCATCCATGGATAAATATTTCATAATTATAGGGAATCATAATCATGGTTGAATGTGCATGAAATCGCACCACATGTGCTAAGTTATTCTAATATGATTAAATAATATCATACATTGCATTTAACAAAATCATAAGCAAAACACAGTTAGACCATGGTTGGAAAAGCCCCCACAAGCTGATCCCCATCAGAATCAGATCAGGGTTGATCCTCTAATTTCGCCAGTTTTTACCACATAGTTGTCTCAACCCAAATACATTTTACAAGTATTTGAGTGGATGCCTTATTCTGTACAAAAACTACCCAAAACAGGTAGAAAACTGCACATTTAACATGATTATAAAATTTCCCATGGTTTGACCATAGCCCATATACCTCAAGAGTACCTTGGGCCTACCTCAGAAAGGTTCAATTGCTGCCAAGAGAAGGGGAGGGGGGGCGAAATTAAACAAAAAACTAACGAAAGAGATCAATAATTTCTATATATACATAATATGTATAGAAAAAAGATATTTTTCCAAATGCATGAGATGTTTACTCTGATCTTCTACTGACTTTTGAAAGCTTGTGCTTGTGTGTGTGTGTGTGTGTGTGTGTGTGTGTGTGTGTGTGTGAGAGAGAGAGAGAGAGAGAGAGAGAGAGAGAGAGAGAGAGAGAGAGAAACGGCAGATCAAAAATAAGGAAGAAAACACAAAAAGGGAAAGCTCTCGAGTGTCCATTTCTTAACAGCTGACGATCCAAAGGGCAAGCTTTCAAAAGCTGAGAGGAACCCATGAGGAATTCCACGCCCGGATGACCTTATGGGCGTGCCCAATTGGGGAGATGAGCTGGCTGCAAGTCAACGGCTATAATCGGTCAGATTCGGAAGAACAGCCTGGGAGTTTTCATCAACCGAAGCAAAGAATTACAATTGGGGTATGATATTACCTCCATCACCTCTCGCCATTTCAACAGAGGGTGGAGTGGGCGATCACCTATGCTTATTAATGACATAAACTTAACTAGAAAAGGAAGGTATGGAGAAAGGGAGAAAAACATGCTGCCGGGACAAAAATTGTTCTTTCTGATTTTTGCCTAAAGGGGGAAGGGGAACGTGATGTCAACAACATATTTCCACAGTTTCTATGGGACAAAGAGCCATGATACAGGTAGACCCACTATCTCCACCGGGACATATCTAGAAAGCCCACCAGGTCAAAGAGGGCTGTCTCCTCTTCGATTATACAGTCAATGGAGGGCGACAACCTTCTAGCCACTCTCCACCAGCCAAGTCAACCAAAAGACCTGACAACAGAAATGGCACATTAAGAAACAGGATTAGGAGCTCAACCTCACTGAGAACAGCTCAGATTAAGTGCAATGAATAAAATATAATCATATGTGAGAGAAAATTGCAAGAAGTCCACTAGAAAATGTTGCAGTCTGGATGACTGGAGATGATAACAGTGGCTCTAGATCCCTGGGCAATCTGGATCACAGCCAGAGATGAAGGAGGTCAAGTAGTAAATAATGCATAATCCTCAGAAAAGTCAACTGCTCGGTGCCCAGTTCGTCAAAGGACCATGATATTCCAGAAAATAAGAAAAATAATATATTTTCTTAGGGAATTCAATTAGCAAAAGACGGCCGGCGATGGAATACAAAGAAATTCAGGGATAATGGGTTCAAGAAAACGTTGCAGTCTTCTTTTCTAAAAAATTGGAAATCTCTCGTTCTTCCTTTTTTTAGCAAATGGAGTCAGCTGCTCCACTTCGGCTGGAGTGTGGCACACTGTTCCAGGAGGACAAGGTAGGATGACCCCCCAAGTCATCCAACTATGGCTGGATTCTGAAAATCTCTTTGTATATATACTTTGTGTGTAATATTGTCCCTACCTTCCATGATTTCCAGTGATCCGAATATTTCCCGAATGAGAGATTCCAAGATGATCTTGATCTTGAACTAACAAATTAGTCTTGCACATTCTCGGATTAAATGCCAAACTTTGATCCCATCCACTGTACTTGGAAGATATTTATATTTACACATTGCAGATATTCGGATGCAAACAATAACAACTCTGAACTAAAGAAACAAACCTGGGGATGCGGATACTTGAAGAATAGAAATCACTTACGAAGATCATACTGAAAAGATTGCTTACCTCAGGTCACTGTCTGGTCCTGGGCATGCACTGGAATTCTGCTAAAAGGGCTATATGATCAGAAGACCATTCTGGAGAAGGAAGTGCCGTGTCTTTACGTAAGCTTTCCTCATCCAAGAGCTCCAAAAGTGACTCCACTGTCAAGGAATCAGCTGCAAACAGAAATCGAAACCCAAAGAAGGATTAAACGATGAAACATAGCATTTAAAGCAAACTTTAAAGAAAAAAAAAATCCGAAAATAACTGATGAAAATAGAAAGAAAACCTAAGATGCATATTACAAATTTTTGGTGTACCTGTGTAGAAAATGTAATCGAGGGTCCCTGTAAAATCCCTGGTACAATTTGTGAATAATGGTTCGTTTGTTTTGAGGTCCATTCTACTTCTTTGTTGCCCTAAACCCATACTACCTCCCACCATCCTTGCAAAAGATGAGTAGGCACTAACCTGTAGCCAGCGCAAACACCACAACCATGCTTAAATAGCTAAAGCTCACAGCTCAAGATTTCACCACTACAATCAATAATCCTTGAACGCCCCAAAGAATAACGTACCAATGGAAGTTGGTGAGTTAGTTTAGTTGCAGGTCGCAAAATTCCAAGCGGGTCTACTACCAATTCTGGATGCATCTGATCAACTTTCCCTCTCGCAAGAAGAGCATGAGAAGCACTGCATCAGGAGCAAGCGAATATACATCAGATATTGCTAGAAAACGAGATTTATAAAAATGAGACAAAATACAACCGAATAATTAGATCAATGGGCACCTTCCAGGAAGTGAATTAAAATCGCCACAAACCAACATTGGAATATCTGCACTAACAGCTATCTTCTCAAGTCCTTTCAGCAGGGTGTGCACCTGTAATAGACAGAGACCAAAAAGAGCATTCAGTCCCGAGTTCACAAGTGAACAGTTATATTCGAGCAAGAGATGCGCCTAGGTGAGAACCTGCCATAGCTTTACATCCTTGAGCTCATGATGGACATTTACATGAGTATTTGCCTGCATATCCAAAATAGAAGAAAATAACTTGTTAAAGGAAAGAGCAATTCAACTACAAAGCTCAGGAATATTATTCAATAATTGGTTGCACATCAATACATTTGAAGCGCATTGCTATATCAGATATCATGCAATTGGCAAATGGCAAGTGAATATTGGATGTTTATCAGCAGCACCCTCACCTTATTTGAAAAAAAGAAGAAAAGTTTTAAGGGAGTAACTACTAAGGTTTTTTAGCTATGATATTCCTGTTTTAGTACACAGATTATCATCGTCATCACTGTCAGTCATATCAGAAGTCTGTCAATTAAATAATTAAAAAGCCAGACAGATCTGACAAATTCCAGCATATTTCAGATAGTCCTAGTGGTGTTACATGCTACAGAGACGCACTAATTATCTGCAAAATCAGAGTAAGGAACCAAATTACATATAGTCAAAAGTAAAAGATAATCAAATATAACCATTTTTAGTTAAAAATCAACTGACCGACTGAACAAACAAATCGGCTATTACTTTAATTTAGAAATTCAATTTTTCGTAATTAATAATATCAGAACTTATAAACTTTCTGAAGTATTAAGTAGATTATATCCAAATACACATTCATGTTCGGTACTACACATATTTCAATCATAGATTTATCTTCCACACGTCATCCAACATCGAGTAAAATTGTCATGACTCGTTGGACGACTAAAAATGATCATGATGTGGATCAAGCATGTAAAGGCAGAAAATATGTTCCTAATTATAAAAATCGGATCAGACGCACCAACACCAAGAATGAAATTTTAGAACTTAATGATTAGAACATATGGACTACTTTCAGCCAGTCATTTGTTGTAGCTTATCCAAAGTAGCATTTTTTTAAAGTAGCCTGTATTACATAATCTATAAGAATTTGAGGCTCGTAAGATCCAAAAACCCTGATACATCAAACTGGATCCAACACCAACATGCTGTATGCAATATTAGAAACCTAGAAATCACTAAATGACTGACTGATCCCCTTTTTCATTCTTTGACCTTATCGGTCATCGCATATAATTATAAAACCCAGCGCACACAGTACTTCCCACTTTAAAAACATGGATGTTCCTCTTTTTCCAAAGTAGCATTAAGTCTCCACAAATCTATGTACATGTTTTGCGCCTATAAGAACCTGATAACAAATGAGGAAAAGGTGAAGGCAAGTTCAAGATTTTTTTAATTGGATATTGAAAAGGGTGTCAAGGCAACCATGTACTCAAGACAAGTGTAACAGGTAAAAGCAATAGAGAGGGATAAGCTTGCCTAATACATGAAGATGTGAAAAACGAAAACCCAAGTAATGTCCTCAGAAAGTCCAATGAGAAATATTACAGAAGAAGCAATTCTCACTTGCTCATTGAGGTACGGTATATAACAGCCAAGATGTCGGAATTTGGTGAGAATTTGGTGCAGTCAAAGCACACAGGGAAATAGATTAAGAAACTTAAATACATTTTGATAGGCAAAGGTGAATTCACCTCACAATCTGAATTATTAAGAAAATAACAGACCCTGAAATGCCAGGTTTAGAAGGACTTTGGTTGACAAAGAAAAATCAGTTCCTAGTCTATGCGAAACTCAGATTGTCCGCAGATACAAGAACTTGGCTGACAAATTAGTGTGGAAAGGGAATCCAATTCGAATATCCTTTGTTGCGTCACAGTTGTCCAATCAACTGTGGTTCATAAGTAAAGAAGGGAGCCTGACATAGCATGAATCGGTTTCAAAAAAGGATTCATCTCACTTCAGGTAGGACTAACTCTCACTTCAGAATATCTACCAGAGTAGTCCATCTCGAGAAATGCCTTTTAAATGACACAAAACATATTATCTAGTTAAGACAAAAGTTACCTTCATCAGAAAAAAGCTACAGAAACTTTCATGAAAAAACAATGCAAGGAACATGATTAATCAAAAGATCAAAGATGACTAACGATAAACTTATTTCCCTCACCACACAAAGAAGCTGTCTTTTGCCAGGAGTATCTGAGCCATGATTACTAAATTTCGCTTCCAAGACGACAATCAATGCAACGTTATCCTGGTAAGAAACGTAAACATCAACGCATTAAAATGCAGAAAATAAAGTGGATAAGAGAATTTTCAAGGTCCTATGTAGCTTCAAACATTCGATAAGACCAGGTATTTTTCCACTCAGTTAACTCCAAGATACTATAATCTTCGTTTTCAGTACAACAGTTTGTATCCGGTCTCCCTTGAACTAGCCCACTCCCAAGGGAAGATAACCAGTTGGTCTTTGAGTCAGAATTCGAACTTGTTGACATGGAGAGCCATCAAAGGACCGTGACTGACTTGTGAGTCGAGAACCCCACGAAACAGGATGACGTCCTCAAGAAAATATAGATGAAACTGAAATGGCATTAGTGTCTCAAGTTGATGCTTTCTCACTTTCCCCGACACAACATGGCATCGCCTACCCTGTGTGGTGGCTGCTAATAAATATGATTCCGTCGTCCCTCATCTGCTGCCCCCCTCCCCCCCCCAAAACGCAGAAAAAGAAAAACAGAAACACGGCCGCGGGGTTCCTCCCTCATCAACTTTCTGCTGCTCTATTTCCCAACGCAACTCTATGGAACAACTCCCACCCCCATGATAACTGCAGCATGGCTATTATAACTGGGTACGCCAGGCAGGACGTGGCCAACAAGGTTAGGATGAAAAAGTTGGATGTTTTTTTTTTCTTTTTCAACAGTCCAACTAATTTTAACGAAACATCCGTTAATGATATTGATCAAGTTCATAATTTAGAGAGGTAATACAACCACAGACTAAAGTAAAAGTGTTCGGTATCAGGGAAATAGCGAAAGTTAAAAAAAAGAGGGGGCCATCTATTATTCAACTAGTTTGCAGTGAACTAAAACGAAAACCCTTCGATAAAATAAAAAAAGCCGAAATGAGAAACAGTCATGAACTAGAGGTGGAATTCAAGAGATCGACCTTAATTAATCGACCCAAAGCAGCTTTCTTCTGACCGGTTGGAATCACTGCATCAGTCAAGGATTGTGCAGCTTTATTGAATTCAACCTGAAGACATGTTCAAACCATTCAGAGAGGAAAAAATTCAGGAAAGTCAATCTCAAATCCAAATGATTGTCTACCTCATATTTTTTCACATGTGAAAACCTGTCTCGGCGAAAAAATGTTGCACAACCATCAATTGAATTCGGATTTCCAGCATAAACCTGCAAAAAAAATATCAATGGGAACTAAAATAAACGAAAGTGAATATATATCAATTTTAATACTTTCAAACAAGAAGAGAGTTGAAAGTATACTTCTGATGTTCTTTTTTTATAAAGTGCTTGATACCCATGTTTATCAAGTTCCGGGGCAAAAAACTCCTCAAAATGATTGCTTTGGACCTGAAAAATAAGATAACAAATAGTTAATATCAAATTCAGGGGTGAAAAAATAGCAAAAATGACTACAATAAGAATCAGTCAACTTATATGGAGACATGAAAACCTTAATTCTCTCTCTCTTTGGATCTCTCTATTTATCATATAAGATAAATAAACCCCTCTCTCTCTCTCTCTCTCTCACACACACACACACACACACACCCCACACACACACACACACACACACATCCACAGAGGAGGGTGATCCATTAATATGCACTTTTCTAAAAACGCTACTGATATCAAAAAGCACTGTTTTGAATTTTTTGAGATGTCAAAGATTCGTGCGGCTGGCAAAGGGAAAAGAAGCAAATATTAAACAGCAGCTCGTGACAAATACATTTAAGCTGACAGCTAATCTCTAGGGAATCAAATATGAACTTCACTGGTCAATTAAGACACCCAATTTGCACATTTTGAGGCAGAAAATGTACAAGGATGATGCCGTATACCTCTTGAAGGCACAGTATATCAGCATGATAGCCAACTATTTCCCGTAACAGATTTTGTCGACGATATTGCCAAGAAAGTGCCCATGTTGGACAATAACTATATATTTCACTTGTGGCGTATACATCTGAAAGAATGTTGTATGAAAGCACAGTGAAGGTCCCAGAAGCTGTCCGGCCATCAGAATCAAAATGTCCCATTATATCTGCTCCACCAACAGGAATCAATCGCCGAGGAGTAGGAGTAGGAGCTGGAATGACACGCGATGTGAAAATTGTAGATGCAGGTCCTATGGGTATTCTAGTTTCTGCATCCACTGTCAAACACTCAAACTTCAAAACCTGACCAATATCCTCTGCAGAAGGTGTATATGTCTTAGATCGTCCAACCTCAAACCAGGTTTCACCTGAACCCTTTTCACTAACTGAACCTGAATACAAAGGAGTAGAACCTGAGCCAGATAGCCCTGTATTAACAACACCAGAACTACTACTGTTAAAACGTCCAAACAACTCTTCTTCCTCGGTTCCATTTTCATTTACAGCATTAGCTGCTCGATCATGTAAAGCACGATGGTGCTGCCAAGCATCAAAGAAGCATCTAGAAGAGCAGTGGTAACTCTTGGCAACAGGTAACTTTGCCTTAATACAGCCTAGGCACTGCAATGTTGCTAGCTCGGTTGGATGTATACTGCAGACAGCAATTCTCCTGTCATTCTGCTTACGATACCTACAAAACAGATACAAACAGAATGTGAGGTTGAAATGTTGGTTCCAAAAAACAAAAGTACTCTATGAAGTCAACAATTCCAAAAGATATTTTGAATGGATAGTAACAATTAAAGTAATATAACGAAGAAATCATGTAAGTCGACACATGCACCATGTCATCAAGATGCATCCACAAGCTCCTAGTAGTCTTTGTTTCTATGGCTGCTTCCCTTACTAATTTCATGAGCCAATAACGATGACATAAAATCCGAGCCCCTAACATTGACAATATCCTATAAGAATCCAAGTTTACATAGCCACTGCAGATTGACTATTATTATCCATTAAAATCTGGGAACAACAATATATCTGACACTAACAACGATTTGGAAGTTAACACTTATTAGGTTTGCAAGCAAAAGCTCAATACAGACCAAAAAGTTCAGGAAAAAATTCACTTTAGGTTTCAAATTTAAATCATTTAACTGGTTTTAGAGGAAAATATTATTCTACAGCCCCCAAACATACAAGTCAATACAAAGTATGAGTTCATATTTATTGGAAATTGCCATAAGAGAGGTGTAGTAATATCCTCAAGAGAAACGCCAGTAGCATATGGCGGGATAGCAGTGGGAAATGAAGAGGAAGGTATTTTCTCTGACTACTATGCTCAAGTTTTTTCTCCTCATTTTTGGCCCTTCAGCCTCTAATTTGTCTTCTTCTGACTATACTACATAGCCTTCTATCTTACGCTTTCTCTTCTTGTTCTTATCTGGCTACCCTCTGCCTAAAAAGACCTTAAAAGTTCTGCCCAATCCAGGAAATAGATCCAGTAGGGACTAATTTCTGGACGACACTCTTTCCTGTACCCTTTTTTGACTCTTCAGAAAGAGGACTGCAAATCGTCACTCCAATCTAAGTTGACTGACCAAGCCATCATTCAGTGACTTTTCAGAAAAAAAAAAAAAAAGAAGAACTGTCTCTAATGCAAAAGAATTAGTATGAAAAACTAAAATAGACTCTAGTTCCCTCAACAATCCCAAAGATAGCAGAGAGACAACAATGTGCTTGCATGCTGGAATCATTCAATGGCATCTACCGAGCACACACTATCATCACACCCCTATAGAGGAAAAATGTTTATCCTCTTTATCTCGTCTATGTTATTGTTTTGAACGTGTCACTCTTCAGTCATATTGGAACTTGCCTGCTTGCAGGACCTTTTCTCCATTAAAAGAATGTTATTAAGGCGAGATTCAAAAGAATTTTCGAAAGGCAAATGGTGCAGGACCTTTTCTCCATTAAAAATTCTAGCTACTTTTGTAGGGTCACCAGAGATTCAAGCATAACAGTCAACTACGCTGCTTATCATTCTAACCTAGCCATGTACTAGTGTCTATGACCCAAACGGACTCTTATAGATGTTGAAACTTGATAGCTCAAACATTTCGTTGGTCCTTTACCTAAACAACTGTAAAATCAATCAAAGTCAGACCAGCAAAAGTGCATGAAGTAGGCTCAGATTTATATCAAGTTGACTCGTCATAGCAAAGGAAGGAATTAAGCACAAGACGGACCAAGAGATTGTGGGTGCCCATCAACTCTAAAGGCAAAGATCTTAATGAGTATTATTTCACATAGATGCCTCTTCGCATGCAATTGCCTCTGTGGTGCGAATGAGGAGACGTATAGCTTGCTTCTTTAGTATTCCTTCTCATGTTACACTTGGCAAGGGCGCCTCTTCGTGATTGGGATTACTTGGCACTTTCCAGTAGTTATGGAGGACAAATGAAGAGGATGAGAGTAAAATTGGACGCTCAGAAGGAGACAGGAAAGTGTAGCGGCTCAACCTTTCTGCGATTCTTTGGACCATAAGAAATGGGCCGAATTACATACGTAGACATGAGAAATAATCTGACTGAGTTATTCTCTCGGCTTTTATCACACGCATAAATGAATGGACAAGATCATTTTTTGGCAACGAAGGTGCAGTCACTGATATTTTGAGAGCTTCGGGATCATCGACAGGCATGCACTTTATGTGTGTCTCCTTTCATTTTTCGAGCTCATATGAGAGCTAGCTGAGAGAATTCCTGGAATCAATGCATAAGAAGCACAATCTGGGCTCCAGATAGATGAAGCACAATTTAGATCAGAGATTTCATAGAATAAAGACAATATTTTTGTGCCAGGTGAACCTAAACGAAGGTAGAACTCCCACAACCCCATCCCCAACGTTGTTCAATCCAGGCTGGTTTGACAAACATCCCCCAGAGCTTGAAGAATTTAAAGTGGTCAACTAAGCCACAGGATGACGGAAACTTGTTGACCATATGCCTAACGCGGGTGAAGGAAACAAGGGTCAACGCTCAAGATTTCAGAGCGCTTACAAAATGGGATAAGTGTGGGAAGTCCTTGGGGGCCACACCATTTGGAGCCTAAATCATAAAGAAGTGAGTATGGTAACTGAGTGATACTAGTTAATTGGAACCGGAGAACAGAAAGACAATACTAGCAAGAACAGACGAACGCCTAAAGTGGTGACCCAAATGCCGCACGGAGGCCATTGGCAAAGAAGGCAACGGCACAAAAAAGCAGGAGAGAACAACAGAGGTACAGGAAAGAAGATCAGGCCACCCACCACTTGCACCTCAGGTAGTAGCCATCCACCGGGGCCGACTCGGGGACATCGTCGGCGGTGATGTTGCCATCAGGAAATCGCAGTACCACGTACGGAGTGAGCTCACAGCCAACGATGGGGATGTCGGACGGGAGGTGGACACGCAGCACGCTCAGCATGTTTCCCTGACCTCGGATACCAATGGGAACGACAGCCCTGATCTGAGAAGCTCCTCCTCTTCCTTCTCCTCCTCCTCCAGGAATGGCTCCTCTCTGGAATCCACAAAGGGAACGCTCTCGGTGACGCTGCGACGAGTGGGGCGGAAACCTGGCGGATCCGCCATCACCTGCCCTGGGGAGGCGCCAGGGTTGACCAATCCAACCTGACCCAGCGAGAATCAAGGAGCAGCAATCCTCCAGACGCACATACAGACGGCGCCGACGACGAGGGCAAAGGCAGGGTCTCAATAAAAGCTCAGACCTGTGAATTCCACACCCTCCTCCGACCTTCCCTCCCTCTCGCCCTCCTCAAATGGCCTCGCCGGCGAAAGATCACCACAACCAGCAGGGCAGACCGCTGCGGCTCAAAGGAGCGGAAGATGGCGAGAAGACGGTCCTAGGGTTTTCAAGTGACCGAGCGCGCGTGTGTGATGGTTCCCTCCTCTACAAATCTGGCAGCAATGGTCTCTCTCTTCTCTCTCTCTCTCTCGTCCTTGAGTAGTTGGACGGGGCAATATCGAGTCTGACGTTCTCTTTCAGAGATGAGGACCCCCCCCCCCTCACTCTCTCTCTACTTTCTCTCTCTATTCTCTCTCTCTACATCTCTCTGTGTTTCTCGATGCGCGAGGTTTTGAACAGTCGAGGGTTTCGCATATTCTGAGGATTTTTTGGAGGTTTTGAACGGCGATGAACGGAAGTTATCTCCTGCCGGGCTGAGCCGGACCGGGCTTTACGAATCTACAGCGACTTTCGGGCTTTTATAGGCCCAGATCGAGTGAAAAAATCAGTAGTATAAAAGACGTCTAGATATCAATTATGTTCCAGATAAAGCATTAAAAGGGCGTTCTGCTGGGCTCTGCCCCAAGGTGCCTTTATTAGCCATTAGCCCATACCTGGTCCACCCCAAGAAGACGGCTCCGAGTAATGGGTGCCAAATGTGATTCCCTCCCATGCACATACCCAAGAAAGAGAAAGGAGAGAGAGAGAGAGAGAGCGAGTGAGTGAGTGAGTGAGTGTGTGTGTGTGTGTGTGTGAGAGAGAGAGAGAGAGAGAGAGAGCGAGTGAGTGAGTGAGTGAGAGAGAGAGAGAGAGAGAGAGAGAGAGAGTGAGTGAGTGAGAGAGAGTGAGTGAGTGTGTAGTGTGTGTGAGAGAGAGCCCATAAGACTAGACTTAACTCATCTTAGATTGAGCCCTTTTTGGGTCTAGCCTAGACCAATTTGAGTTTATCCAACCCTCTAACATGAAAGAATAAGAACGTTAAAATCATCCATTATTTCCTGATTTAGATTAGTAACATTATATATTAGAATGTGACAATTCATTATCTCACAACATTGTTTAAATCTGATTCTAAGGGATTCAATGAGTCCAGTTAGTGTGGCTCAAAATTGCTCAATTAGGGTTCCTACAAAGGGAACTTGTTGCAATTTGTCCTCCAAAAATTGTTCTGATAATTTATTTTTATATTTTATGGTCAATTGATGAGATAATCTACTGTTATTGCTCTTGAATTGATGCCCTCTACTAACTGAGATTATTCCCATCTACATTCTAGTAATAAAGCAACAAATTTTATTAATTCCACCTAGGATAATGACACAATTTGGATTGCATTGAAAATTAAAAGCTTGAATGAAGAAAAAGTCCAGATAAGGTTTATGAGATGTAGCTCATTTAAGAGTCGACAGCATAAACTTAAATTTATTGAGGTTATGTAATGTAATTCATTTGTGTTAAGTTTTTTCAATAGTTCATAGTTGTATTAAATTGACAAATAAAAGTTACATTAAGTAATTGTTTGTTTTGTAATCTAAAAATTTTGTACACAAATCATCATCAATTGATTGAACACTACGTCATCAATATGAATTTGAACAATCAAAATAAGATATTTTCCTTACTTTGATGACAAGAGTAGGATCAATCTCCTATTGGATAAATTAATTTTCAACTAAAAACGAGCTAATTTTACACCATTGAGTATGCCAACTTTCTAGATAACATAAAAAGCCTTCTTGATTTATTTTTTAAATGTATTTTTTAGTTTAACATCCATATATTAAAATATAATTCTTTATATATTATAGTAGTTTGAAATGTAAATTTTCATGTATTTAAATAATAATGTCAATATATATGTTATTGTTCTGTTGAAATATCAACCTCTATATACTTCACTATTTGGTTGAGTAAACTTCAAATATTTAAAGCATCTACTAGATTACACTATTCTATAATGGAATATTAACTTGGAGGTATTGTACTACTTTGTAACATAATCTTGATGTAATGCATTATTCTGATATGTAAATTTAATATACTAACATATCAACTTGATGTATTCGACTATTCTATAATGAAACTTGAAATATCTAGAATGTGTACTATGCTATTATAAGACTTAAATTAGATATATGGAAATTTCAACTATGAATTGTATTTTTTATATTAAAATATTAAATTTTATGTACTATGGTATTTTTAATAGAAAATTACCTTTTCGTTATCATAGGTCTTTGCTAATCAAAACTTATTCATGGCTTTCAAAACTAGACAAAAATATCATATTCAATCTTGATTATTTAATGCACACACTGATGATGTGAAACAGCTCAATAATGGTTGCCTTCTTTTGTTGATGGCCTATAATTCTAACGAAGATGATAAAGAATAGGCAACTCTATTGTGAGTAGTGGACCACATGCTGCTCAAATGCTTGCTCAATTCTCTCTTCTTTTTCGTTGCCTTAGTGCTCTCTCTCTCTCTCTCTCTCTCTCTCTCTCTCTCTCTCTCTCTCTAAAGTCGTTTTATACGGCCCAGGTATAGAACCGAGTTAAGCGTAAGCTTTAGTAGGTCCAGCTCGGAATCTGTTTCGTGGTTTTTTCTGTCAACCCAGGCATTATAAATGTAACTAAAGCCGATGCTAGAGCTTGCCAAGAACCTGGATCGACCCAAATATTTCAGGCTCTGAAAGCTAGATCAAGGCAGTCTCATTGACATTAAAGTTATAAAACTTAGATAACATTCATGGATAGACCTTATTGAAATCTCATGCATACGGCGCAAAACTTGGTCAATGGTATGGTGCATATGGTGCAAGTCTTCATGACCTCTCTCTCTCTCTCTCTCTCTCTCTCTCTCTCTAAAAGTAGAAATCGATGGCGAATCATCCCTTCTCGAACTTTATTATCTAAATAAATGCAATACTTACCTAACCTATAATAATATTACAGATCTGTTGTACATTCACATGTTCAATTCACCCTACGGTGTGTGTGAGAGAGAGGCGCAGAAACTGATGACGTCTTCGTCCTCTTAATGGGTGAGGGAGGGTGGTCATGCCTTCGGGTACTCCGCGAGTTCACCACCTTCTCCCGTTTCCCTCGTTTCTTTAATGGGCTATGCTCTCCTCTAACATCCACCCACTCCCTCATTCTATCCTCTTCCCTCCCTTCTCCACCCCGTATATATGTTTCTACAAAGGCCATCCCTCTCATCCCCGCAGCTCCTAAATATCCACCCTGAGAAGGACAGAGAGAGAGGAGAGAGAGGGGAGAGAGGGAGATGAACGAGGAAAGCATAGCAGTGGCGGAGCTCGAAGGGGAGCTGCTGAGGGACTCCAGTTCCTTCCCCTACCTTGCCCTAGTGGCCTTCGAGGTGGGAGGAGTCCTGAGACTCCTCCTACTCCTGCTCCTCCTCCCGCTCGCCGCTGCGATGCGCCGCTTCGTCTCGGAAGCCGCCGGCGAGAAGCTGATGATCTTCGCCGCGGTGGCGGGGGCGAACCTTGCGGACTTACAGTCGGCGGCGAGGGCGGTGCTTCCCAAATTCTTCGCCGCCGAGCTCCGCTTGGACTCGTGGAAGCTCTTCAACGCCTGCGGGTGGCGGTGGGGGCAGCGCTGCCGCCGCTGCGTGGTGACGGCGATCCCCAGGATCATGGCGGAGGTCTTCCTCAAGGACTACCTTGGGGCGGACATGGTGATAGGAACTGAGCTGGGGAGCTTCATGGGCCGCGCCACAGGCTTCGTGCTGCCCCCAGGCGTGCTCGCCGGCGGCGACAAGGAGAAGCTCATTCGCCGGTTCCTGGGCGACAGCTTCGTGAGACTCTCTCAGGTTATGTTTCTTGAGATCTTCTCTTCCTGGGCTTCGTCAAATTCACGGAACCTCTCCGTTTGTTGACACTTGTTGTTGGAGAATTTGGTCAACCGCCGAAAGTCCCGGCGAGGGTCTACAATCAGCTCCAACCCCCCCTCCAACCCACCTAACCTTGTTCCCAACGAGACCCCTCTATTGTCAGATAGAAAAGCTACTGAATAAAATAATGATCAAAACCAGACACTGGCTGTGCAGGTGGGGAAAGCGTTATCGCCGGAGGAGGAGGAGGGTGTTGCACCGGTAAGATTTGAGAAGCTGCCAAAGCCGGTCGTGTTCCACGACGGGAGATTGGTTCAGCAGCCCACGCCGATGGTGGCGCTGCTCATCGTCCTCTGGTTTCCCGTCGGATTCGCTCTCGCCTTCCTCCGCGTCGCCGCCGGCACCCTCTTCCCCATGCCGCTCCTCCACCACATCTTCCGACTACTGGGGGTCCGGATAACAGTCCACGGCCAGCCACCGCCGCCGTCGTCTCCGGCGAGCGGCGGCGGCTCCCTCTTCGTCTGCAACCACCGCACGCTCCTCGACCCGATCTTCCTCTCCGCCGCCCTCCGCCGGCCCATCGCCGCCGTCACCTTCTCCATCTCTCGCCTATCGGAGCTTCTCTCCCCCATCAGGACCGTCCCCCTCTCTCGGAACCGCGCCACCGACGCCGCCATGATGAAGAAGCTCCTCCGAGAGGGGGACCTTGCCGTCTGTCCGGAGGGGACGACCTGCCGGGAGCCGTTCGTGCTGAGATTCTCGTCTCTCTTCGCCGAGCTCGCCGGTGACATCCTGCCGGTGGCGGTGGCGACCAGTCCCACCATGTTCCACGGAACCACCGCGAGGGGGTGGAAGGGGATGGATCCCTTCTTCTTCTTCATGAACCCTCGCCCCGCTTACGAGATCACCTTCCTCGGCAAGCTCCCGCCGGAGATGAGCTGCGCCGCCGGCAGCTCCGGCCATGAGGTGGCCAACTACGTACAGAGGCTACTCGCTGCCGCTCTCTCGTACGAGTGCACCGCCCTCACCAGGAGGGATAAATACCGGGTCCTCGCCGGCAACGATGGCGGAGCGGCGGCGAAGGACACCAGCAAAGCCGGAACGATGGGCTAAGCTGGGTGCACTAGAATTCAGACGTCACTGTCTTCCTTCCATGAAACAGCGATCTCTCTTGCCAGCTGACTGCAATCTAACCGGCGAATTTCTCTCTTTTCTCTCTCTCTCTCTCTCTCGCCATGCACATCTACGCCGTGCTAGATTGAAAGAATAGCGCCATGATTCATTAGTCGTCTTCGTGAGTCATGTTGGGTGGGTTGGTTGACCTATGGTGTTATGGAAAAGAAAGGGAACCGCTAGTTGAACCATTCCTTCATCAATTGTTAGCGTCTACGAGTGAAGTAAATAACGAAATTGAAAAGAGTCTCCCCAGCAGGCACGAAGGGAATAGCGGACCATGGGAACCTATTATCATGTTAAATCTCTCTCCCTATTGCCATGTTGATTCCTACCTCGAAGTCAATATTTATTCCGATATCTCCGTCCATCTCGCCTCCATTATTTCCACGGAGGACAGCGGCAGGATCATGAGTAAAGGTCTTCTGAGACCATCTCCTCGCCGTCTCTGAAAAGTTCATCTTCGTCTTCCATGATGCCCACATTTCTTAGAGAGACGAGCTCAGCCTCACCCTTGAGCTCAGCCTTCTCCGTAGTGCCCTTGGATTCTTCAGAACTTCACCCATGAAAAACCACGGACGAGGAACAAGGCCGCAGATTAGAGATAACCCACAGAAGATTTGAAGGAGAGAGATGAACATCAGACGAGTCAAAATTACTTGTTTTCGCAGGGCTGCTGGGAGGCAAGGTGCAACTGCCCATCATGGATATTCTGAGAGAAGACAGCTATCTCCTTCCTCAGCATAGACATGGCTGCGCCGCCGCCACCGCCATCGCCGCCGTCGCCGACGTCGCCGGCGGGGAAGGCGCCGTTCTCCGAGCGGTGGCACGAAACGATCTGTTCGGTGAGGGAAGCGAGCTCCATCTGTGCGGTGCAGAGTTGGTTAAAGAGATGGCGGATGGCGCCTGCGCAGCCGTCGACGGGGAAGCGGGCGCGAATGTTGGACTCGTAGATGATGGAGCGCATGGCTTCGGATCGCAGAGAAGGATCGATGCTGGAGAGGATCTTGAGAATGTTGCTGACGCCGAAGAGGCTGTGGGCGTTCTCGAAAAGCTTGGGCTGGTCTGCGGGGAAGTAGGGGGCGAACTGGCACTCGGCGCCGCACTTGCGGCGCTGGAACCTGCAGGCGGCGCAAGCCTGGTTCGGTCCCTCCTTCGCCATCATCTACTCTCTCTCTCTCTCCCTCTCTTTCGGCCTGCTGAACTGCTGACTGGACCACTGGCCGCTGATCGGGCTTCAGTCTGTATCCGACGGAGCTGCCCGGCGGGTAGTGATCCGAATCGAGCCCGGTGGGCTGTGACGGCGTAACCCCCAGTAATGGGCTGGTAACTTGGCGGCCCAAAATGGCTCGCCACTATTTGTGCTCTAACCGGTCCTGGCGACTGTCTCGACCGGGGGGAGTAGACGGAGGGAGATGGTGGTGGAATGGTGGGGCCGGAGGGAGATCACGTAGGCGGAGGTAGCTGGAAGGTGGGTCGGCGGCGACGGGAGGGGATGGTGAAGCCGGAGGTGGCTGGGAGGCGGAACAGCGGCGGGAAGACGAGACGGCGTCGTTTGGAGGGAGACGGTGACGGGGGATGAGGCTGGAGGGGAGGCAGCAGCGATGGCGACGGACGGTGGCGACGGCGGATGAGGCTGGGAGGGGGAGACGGCGGCGACGGCGGCGGACGGCAGCAATAGGCTCCAACCGGGAGTACGGGGTCCTCACGTCCTCCCTCTTCTCTTCGCCGAATCTCTTTAAGTAACATGCATTTCCTGGCAGTTAGGATCGTTCGCCGTGGGGAGCTCGTTATCACCCATAACAGATGACGACGACTGGGCACGAGTGAAAGCCGTGTCTTTTACTGACCGCTTCTGTCGGTGCTATTTATCTCTCTCTTTCTCTCTTGCTTACTCGCTCGCTCCTTGGCTCTCCCTTTATGGGCACGAGTATAAATACTGAGATTAAATGCCCAAAGCGAACACTTTTTCCAAAAAATAAAAACTGGGCCACGGGAGAAGTACCTTTGTAGTTTTAATTGATATTTTCCTTCGAAATTAATTTCTAAAAATTTAAATATAAAGCTTTTCTTATTTTTCAAACATACATTTGAGTAATTTAAAATACGACGACTGAATCACATCACTTACATTCAAGTTTAACAACGGTTGATCTTTTTTGTATATTAAAAGCATCAACCTAGTGAAGAGTGATATTGTTCTAAGTAAACTTCAGAATGAAAGAAGGTAAACCATGATTGCCCAAAAGCAATCTAGAAGTTAATTTAATCAGCACTAAATGATTATGATGTTATTAATGTTTCTCCAATTATAAGTTTAAGATTATCTATTGTGTTGTATTACCAAGAAATTCATAGAAAGTTGAACAAGAGGACACTTTAGGATAGGAGACGAGAACTAAGAGTCAAATCACTTTAAAATTACAGGTGATGTGTTTTACTGAAATTTTATTATCTATTTATGGGAGTATGATATATGTTCTACACCATAGTCACTTAGAAAAGAATCAATTCTCATTTGAGAATTCTAGTCATATACATATATATATATATATATATTATGGCATGTCAATTAACTATGTTATTTTTCAATTTTTCTTTACAAGATAGCACATAATTTAGGAAAACCAACCATAATTCATAGTGTACTAGAATATAAATCTTTGAAACATCTTAAGGTTGAGCAGGGATAACAACATTCATCAAAATCTCTTCGAAGGTTTTAGCAAGAAAAAACCTCTTCATAGATATTCATGCCACATGCCCTTCATAATGCTTCATGTGTAAAAACTTTGTTCTGCAACAAGTTAGCTCACCATCTTTGAATCAACATTTAATGTTTGCATTAAAATTGGGTTTAGCTTAAATCAATTAAATGAGAAAAGATAGCAAACTTTGTATTTATATTATTTTGAAAGGGAAGATAATATGGGTTCTTTCATCTACTGATGATTGTAATGATTCATACTGATTTTTTCTAAATATAAATACATCATTTTCTCTCTTTTTTCTTCAAGTCATATTAAAAAAGGGTCAGTACCCTTAAACCACAACTTAAAATAATCAAAATAATGGCATAATAACCATATAGTTCAGCCATAATATCAAAGATAGCTACTATGATTTCAAGACAAACATCATCTACCTCTCTCTCTCTCTCTCTCTCTCTCTCTCTCTCTCTCTCTCTCTCTCTCTCTCTCTCTCTCTCTCTCTCTCTCTCGCAGGCTCCATATTGATAATTCACCCTGGTTTCTTTTTTCGCTCCCTCCTAGTCTCATCCATTGTCACCGCCATTCATCACCATCGCTGCCACCTCCCCCTCCACCTCACTATCGGTATTGTCTCCCTCCAAGCAATGTTGTCATCATCCCACTGGAAATGTATGTCATTCATTATGACAACTCATGTGTCTTCTCTTTAATTGTCTATGAATCAACTCAACTGACATGCAGGTTGAGTAAATAGGTTGGGTTAAATCAAAATATGTTCACATTATAGCCATTGTTAAACTTTATTATTTTTTATTACTTTAGTAAATGAGAAAATTATATCAGTATAAACATATCTTTAGCATTAATCCAGTCCATATGAGTTCATGGGTTATGGATTCACTAAATCATATCCTAAGTCTATGGTAGTAAAGTGAGTCTAGTTCAATGACTTTCCATAGGATACAAACCTTTTTTAAGATAGTGATTCACATCTCATATTAGAAAAGTCTTGTTAGGATAACATTTTTCTTTACTCTTTGTTTGAATTTTTGTCATTTACAATTTATCTTGATTCATTATTGAATGGCATGTGGTATAAAGAACTATACTCAGAAATAATTATTAATAAAAGGTACTACATGAGGAACATAATCAAGGAATACAGCATTAGGAAACAATAGTCATATCTCTAAGGTGTGTGATTACTCAACAATTGTAAAGGCCTTCATTTTGTAAGGACATATGCTATGGGAAAGCTTTTAACAATAAATTTCAATGTCTCTTCAAGGTAGAAAATATTTTTTTCCTTCAAAAAAATGTTAAAAATGTATATTATGGAAACTACTTTGGAACCCTACTAATAATGAAGACAACCACAAATGAAGCAGCCTCCACATGAGCCTCATATTTCAAGAGAAAAATAGATTGTAGGACTAAGTTGACACATACATGATTTCTAAAAGATGATAGTATGAAACAAAAAACATGTTGATAATTGTAGGACATACTAACTAGGAAAAGTATTGTGTTCCAATTTCTTGCTTTCTTTTCAGAGCACTTTGGGGATCTATAAGCTCATAAGAACTTGTAAAATGAAGACAACTTAGATAGCTCTATCTTTATATTTGTAGAAAGGTATATGATACTAAATGATAAAAATAATCTAATTATTGACAATTAGTTTTCATTTTATACCCAATTACTCTAACATAGAAAAAATGAGGAGTATCAAGTTTAGAACCACTAGCTGCTTATGTATTAGTTAGAATGTTTATTATGGCTCTAGAATGATGATATATACAATTATTTCAACTCTTTGAAACAATTTTGAACTTCAAATAAAAACCCTTTTAGAGATGTTAGAAGAGATATCTTATTTTATATTTTCTAAAATCATAATCATAAAATATGTCACCAATTAGCATACTTTTCATGTAAAAAGAAACATTGAAAAGAGAGTCAATTTCTCACTTTCAACATGTCACTTCTCCGACTGAAGATAGTTGAAAACATTCTAATTTTCTTTTACACCTCCATTATTTGCTAATAACGTCATGAAAAATACTAAAAACTAATGCACTACATGCTTTCACTAAATTGAATCCTTCACTACATGTGTTTTTTAAGTTTTAACTTGAATCATTCACTAAATTGCAACTATAAACATAACTACTACATTTAGAATTGATTACTTCTCTTATGCATATTTCTTCTTTTTTATGATCTATTGCTTATTTGTTGTCATCCAAGAACTATATACTACACAAGTCAAGCCTAGTACCAATATTGTGACAATTTTCACAAATAAAGCTGAAACTCACATTGTACTAGTTCACCAAAATGTAAGCAGTTAGAAAACAAACTAGAAATCAACATCAAGTGTATCCTACTATATTATGTAAAGATCCATGTGCTCAACATACAAGCAAATATGATATTTTGATTAAGTGTGCTACTACATAGTGGAAAACTAACTTACATTATATTGTGCCCAAAAGTCATCTTTATTGAGTTCATATCTTTTTCAAGTAGAATTCTCAACATTAGGCAATCTCTCAAGCTTTAGTAATGCAAAAATGCTCATTCCATGTATGTATCCCACTTGCTTATTTTGAGTCAATGCATGTTAAATAACATAATTAGTAGATAGTATGGAGAATGCAAATTATGGATGAGAAACACAATCATATCCTAGAACATTCTCAATATTCAAGTGCACTATCACAATAACACTTTAATTCTGCAAGACAATTGAAACATGAGAACATATAGTGTGCAAAAGAACAAAAGTTTAGTGGTAAATATTTTCAAAGATATAATAAAAATATGATTCAACAAGTAACATGAACCAAAAATTTTGAACATTAAAGCCAAAAATCAAATGATAAAATAAACACTAGTCTTACATTGTTATGTTAAGTACAAACAACTATGAATGCTCTTTTTCCTAATATGTCCAATAACATATTCTTGATAGTGGTATTCTTAACAAATGATCATGATACGTCATATTATGAAATAAAATGTATTATCCCCTCATAGAAAGCTCTGGCCCTAAATATAAGGATATGAGGGGCAACATAAAATCCTAATCAAAAGTTAAATTGAGAGGTGCTCGACCCCAAATAAGGTTATATCCTATGTTTTATTCAAATGTAAACTAGTCTAGTAGGTAGCTTTTCAAGGTCACGCAACTTATTCAACAAGCTTAAATGATAAAATCAGGCCAACCAATGTAAAAGCATAGTATTTTAGTTCTCTTCAATGAGACTAGGTCCCTCAAAAACTCCTCTAAAACCTAAAAAAGTAACCACAAAAATATGGTTGAATTAGTGTGGGATAAAATGAACCTAAAAAATACAACAAGAAAGGAATTTGAAAGTTTGTCTTTGATAAGTTACCAATGTCTCATGTGTTCAACATAATTGTTTGCCATTTAAAGTTACAACAAAAGATAAAATAAATCTTAGAAAATCACAAAGAATTAGTATATTACATTGCTTTAAGATCACTTCTACCATGATGCCTTTATTTTAACATTAGACAATAACACCAAATCACATTTAATTTCGACAAGTCTTCAAAAATCTTATACAATAAAAATTTGAGAATAAGATAAATTACCTTTCAGATTCTATGACAAGATCATTTGATTACATTGACATCTAAACTACATTTTGAGAAAATAAGCAACACAATTGAAAATCAATTGATCTCCTTGTATTTAGCTAGATTCTACCACTGACATAATTTACACACAATGTCAACAAATAATGAAATAACAAAGTATGAGTAATTCTAGCATAACCCAATTCAAAGGCGGTATTTGAATCTCAAAATATCATTTTCAAGAAAGACAAAAAACGTTTCTAGTGATATATTGTATTCTAACATTTGTGATGCAAAATTCTTAGAGTAATAGATGTCAAACCTAATGGTTTAGGAATTTTTTGGCACCCTTCATTGTCATATAATTTGCCTTTTGCCCAATAGGTGACTTGCTGCCTATCAATACTAAAAATTTCATATATTCTTTCAACAATTAAAACATATGCAGCACAATTCTATCTCAAAAAAGAAGAAGTCCATGTTAACATGCATTGCCCTAGGACTCAAACCCACCAATCCATAAATGATGGAATATCCAACATTGATCATTGCAACTTTGAGACACCAGCTCTACTCACAACCCTAGATTGTAGAAAAAAATAAATTATGATCTGAATTGGTTGATTCAGACCAAAAATACATGCTAACCTATCCAAATATGAACAAAATCAACTACAACCAACTTTAATCAGTCAATAGTAAGAAAGATAAACATAGATAGGGGGTACAAATCAAATTAAAAAGTTGGGTGACATTAGAAAATTTATGTTCTTTTATATAAAAACCAAGTCCCCAAACTCAAATTATTAGTCAATCTTTGAAAATTTTAGTCAAAGAGAGCACAAGAATTATTTTCCACCTGATTTGATTTTTGAATTATCTTTTTCTCCACAATGATAAAACTGAGTTGCCTAAGAGTGGAACCACCTAATCTTGGGCTGCACAAAACCCTACACTAGAATACTATTGACACAATTATTTAAATTCAAACATCTAATCTAATAGCTCATGAAATAATAGCAAGAACCAGCTTATCATATTACACTTGACTGATCCAATGCTAGTCCATGCTTTTGAGTCATAATGATAGGTTGAGACTTTCACTATGGAATCAGTCACTAATAAACAGTGAAAAAAGAATAGGGGGTGAAAAGATTGACCAACTTTTCTCATTGGTAGATTACAAATGAGTTCCAATTAGCTTATCATGAGGGGTGTCATGTCATGCAGATTATAATGATATCTCCTCCAATGCAGAAGAGCTCCATGAGCTTGATGTCTATGGATCCTAGTCATATTGAAGAAAATTTTAGAAAACTCATAGTGAAAGGAAACCAACTAAGGCGATGCATATATAAATAAGTAGATAAGTTCAAGTCATAAGATAATAAAATGTAAGGTGCTAGGCATAAACAACCAAGTTTACATTGCTCATTAAGAGAGAGGGCCAACATGTATTTTTGTTATGCTCAAAATTTACATTCCTCAACCTCAAGCTAGAATATTGTGCTTTGCTCTATTTTCAAGTGGGATAGATCACGCCCAATGGATACACTTGGAAGAACAAGAAATTATGCAAAAACCCAAAATGGATCAGACAAAGAACCATCTTCACAACTAAATTTTCACATATATGTATATGCATAATGAGTGTGTGTGTGATAGAGAGAGGTGGGTCAATACCTAGAGAAAAGATGAAATCTTAAAATACTTGCTTAAGAGCTTGTCTTGGTACTCAAATGGATCGCATAAAGAATGGTCTTCACAACTATAAATTTTCAAATCTATAAATATAACTAGCTACAAAGAGAGAGAGAGAGAGAGAGAGAGAGAGAGAGAGAGAGAGAGAGAGAGGTGGGTAATGTTTGTCTTGGAATCATGGTAACTATCTTTGATGTTATAGCTGAGCTTTATAGTTTTTATGCCACTTTTTTGTATATGACTTGGAAATTATTTTTGGTTGGTTTTATAGAAATTGAAAAAAATGAGAAAACTAGGATGTATTTATATTTATAGGAAATCATGACGAATTTATATAATTAGTAGTAGATGAAAGAGCCCATATTATCTTCTCATTCAAGATAAGAGAAATATAAAGTATATTATCTTTTTCCCATTTAATTTATTTAAGCTAAACCCAATGTTAATGCAAACATTAAATGCTGATTCAAAGATGGTGAGCTAACTTGTTATAAAACAAAGTTTTTGCAAATGAAGCATTAAGAAGGGCATGTGTGACATGAATATCTATGAAGAGGTTTTATCTAGCTAAAATCTTTGAAGAGGTTTTGATGAAGGTTGTTATCCCTAATCAACCTTGGGATGTTTCAAATATTTATATCCTAGTACACAAAATTATGGCTGGTTTTCCTAAATTTTGTCCAATGTTGAAAAGATAGAAAATTAGCATGGTTAATCGATATGTATATATATATATATATTGGTATGACTAGAATACTCAAATGAGATTTGATTCCTTTCTAATTGACTATGGTGTAGAACATATATCAAACTCACAAAAATAGACAATACAACTTCAATAAAACACATCACACATAATTTTAGAGTGATTTGATTCACAATTCATGTCTCCTATCCTAAGTTTCCCATTGTTCAACTTTTTATTAATTCGTTGGTAAGATTACACAGTAGATAATGTTAAACTTATAATTTGGAGAAACATTAATAACATCAAATTCATTTAGTACTCATGAAATTAACTTTCTGAATTACTTTTGAGCAACAATGCTTCATCCTACTTTCATGGCTCTTGCCCATGAGTTGATTACCTTGAAAACTATCACTATTTTGATGATTTGAATGTACAAAAAAGATCAATTTGTTATTAAACTTGAGTGTAAGTGATGTGATTCATTTGTTCTATTTTAAATCACTCAAATTAAAAGTCTTTGAAACAAGAGAAGCTTTGTATTTTAATTTATAGATTTTTTTTTCAAGGAAATATATCAATTAAAACCTAAAAAATCTTCAGAATTTATAGTGCATTTTCGAGTTCGATTTCACTAAGGGATGTGAGGAAAATTTGAGCAGAAGTTTGGATTTTTTATTTTCTAAAAATAAAAAAAAATATTTATATGTTGACAAGGCCCAATTGGGGCCAAAATGCCCGGCCACTTGTTCAAAAGATGGACTTCTCCCATGGACAATTTTTAATTTTTAGGGAGAATTCAGTTAGGTTGCGCAAGCTGAATATTTATACTTGTGTTTTTTTGTAAATAATCTGACAAAAGTCAACGCCAAAAAGCACGGGCCACTATCTCCTCCCGTCGCCGCCATCTCGCCTTCCTACTGCCGACCACCTTCCAGCCACCTCCGCCCACGTGATCTCCGTCCGTCGCCGCAATTCCACCGCCGTCACCACCGTCTCGCTCCGTCGCCTACTCCGCCTGCCGAGACAGCCGCCCGGACGGGCGACCACGTGATGGCCAGCCGTTGTTGGGCCGCCAAGTTACCGCCTCATTACTTGGGTTTGGCCGACACAGCCCACCGGTTCGGATTCGGATCGCAACCCGCCTTGCGGCTCCCTCGGATCCAGACTGAAGCCCGACTAGCGGCCAGTGCAGTCAGCAGTCCACGGTCTCCGGAGTCAAAGACCAAATCAGCAAGAACGATGTACAACAAACATCGTGAAACGATTGCCCGGTTGGAGAGAGAGAGAGAAACGGGGGGAGAGAGAGAGAGAGTTCCAAGAATGATGAACAACAAACTAAAATGGCACCAGGCTGTTGTCATCATCCTCGAGCCTTGTATTTAAGCTGGCCTCCCCCCACCAGGCCTCCCTCCCTCTCTCTCTCTCTCTCTCTCTCTCTCTAGACTTCGTCTTGTGGGAGGATCCCCGATGAGGATCCCGGTTTCCTTCCTCTCTCTATCTGAATGTAGAGCGAGAAACAAGGAGAGCAGATGACGACGAGGGGGGGCCGAAACTGCTTCGCCTGCAGGCGCCAGCACCGCAGGTGCGGCTCCGAGTGCCCATTGGCTCCCTTCTTCCCCCTCGACCAGCCCCAACGGTTCGAGAACGCCAGACGCCTCTTCGGCGTCAGCAACATTCTCAAGATCCTCTCCGGCATCGATCCTGCTCTGCAACCCGACGCCATGCGCTCCATCATCTACGAGTCCGACTGTCGCGCCCACTTCCCCGTCGAAGGCTGCTTGGCCGTCATCCGCCATCTCTTGCACCAACTCCGCTGCGCAGAAATAGAGCTCGCCTTCCTCACCAATGAGATCGCCCACCACCGCTCCCAAATGGAGCACGTTGACTACAATCAGCCAAGAAAAACCAGGTAATTTATCTCATCTGATTTTCATCTCTCTTCTGCCAGTCTTTGTGGTCTTATATCTAATCCGCCGCATTGCTCATGGTCCTTGTTTTCTTTATGGGTGCAGCTCTGAGTAATCCAAGGTCACCGAGGAGGTAGAGAGCCACAAGAGTTGTGAGGAACTGAGGTCAAGATTGAGGCTGAGCCCATCACTCTAAGAAACCTTGTCGTCATCAAGAACGAGGAAGATTAACAAAAAGACGGCGAGGAGATGGTCTCAAGAGACATTTAGTCATGATCCTTGCGCATCTGCCACTTTCCTCCATAGAAATAATGGAAAGGAGATGGAAAGGGACATGGAAATAAAGAATGGAAATTAACATAGAAATAGGGAGAGAAATTTGCCATACTAATAAGTTTCGATCCTGAAGGTCCCCATGGCCCGCTATTCTCTTCCTTCTTGCTCAGGAGACTCTTTTCAATTTCGTTATTTAGTTCACTCATAGACGCTAATAATTGATGAAGGGTTCAACTAGCGGCTCCCTTTCTTTTCCTTAACACCATAGGTGAACCAACCCATCGAACATGACCCACAAAGGAGCCTAATGAATCATTCGAATATTATTTCGTCAAGAGTTTCAGAGGAAATCATGGCCACAGGAGTGTGCCGGCTGGATGGTTTACTGATGCAACACTGTTCATTGTGAAATTTCTTTTTTCTGATAATTTATTTAAAATAATATTAGATAATTTTTTATAATGTAAATAAATATACTCTTTAGGATAGCTGACATCATAAAAATTTTAAGTAAAAATTTGGGTGTCTATCATTGTCCCAAAGTTCATTGGGTCAAAATAAGAGTAGCTAAATTGATTTTAGGTGTACAAGACTGTTGTTAAATGAAAAAATAATGTCTCTCTCTACCTCTCTCTCTCTCTCTCTCTCTCTCTCTCTCTCTCTCTCTCTCTCTCTCTCTCTCGCTCTCACTAGATATATATATAGAAAATGTCTAAAATCCATAGATGATATCTTAGAAAAAGAAAGTCTACATAGGGAATAAACCAAGTGCTTGCATAAGCAAACACTAGAAGACAACATAAACCACCAAAACTTATACATATTAATGTTAAAGACAAAGGCAACATGTGTTTAATAGGAGATCTTGGATCGTTTCTTTGTGAGATTGGGGATTCATCCAGTGTTGTTGACAATTACAAGATTATCTATACAACAATTTGACGTGAGGCCAATAATTATACACACACCTACAAACCATTGGTTTAACCTCATTTCTCTCACGGATCACTTTCTTGGATGAGAGAGAGGATATCATTGATATTCTATCTTAAAACCATATATATGCTGAGTGTTTTTCTTCATCACCATGCTTTTTTTATCATATTATATTTTCTTGTTGCTGTAAGCATAACAATGACAAAAAATTAGTAGAATAGCTCCCATGCACCACAAAAAGATGAGTTTACCTAGCAGAATGATCAACTTTCTCTCACACCAAAGATGCATAGAAACAAGCCATGAAGTCGCATAGAAAAACATACATAAATGAGCAACAATCACCCAGGAAGGAGAACAAGCTTCCATGAAATCTACAGCCTCTTTGAAACAGCAATCATTTTACAAGACATGACATAACTACAGAGAAATTCAAAAGATAAATGTGCAGGTCAATAAAAGGCATTACAGTAGAAAAAGACAACTAAAAACATGTAGAGATCAAACTAATAAAAATGCAAGAAAAATCAATGAATGTCAATTGTTTATGTGACTACATTTATTTCTCACATATCAAATGAATCAGTATGCTAAACTAAATTATAAACTGGATCTATGTTTACAACCTTATGATCAAGGCAGAGGTCTTCCTCAAGTACTACCTTGGGGAAGACAGGGTGATGGACACTGAACTCGGGAGCTTCATGGGCCACTCTAGCTCCATATCACTGTCTTTTCTGACTCTCCCTCTTCTATACAAGCAGAACCCCCAAACCCACCCCCACGTACAGCTGCTGCATCCAAGAGCTGAGAGCCGCATTTGCCAAGAAGAGAAGAAGAAAGCAGCCTTCTTGAGAGCATTTCTTGGTACCCAAATGGATCAGAAAAAATCGATATTCACAACTGTAAAATTTCACATTTATATATATATAAATATCCACAGAGAGAGAGAGAGAGAGAGAGGCGGGCTAGAAACAGGAGAGAAGAAGAAAGGTGCCAGCTTGAGAGCTTTTCTTGGTACCTTGTGTTGATGTCAAGCCAATGTGATCTTCTCCTCCAAATAGGGGTAACCTGCAATAAATGGACCGAGTTTATGCATGCTTCAAGAACTTCATGCTAAGCCAATGGAAATACATCGCAACGACCAGCACAAGGAGGGTCAATGGAACCAACAAGCAGTAGTACCTAACAAATAGAATCAAGATCAATCAGAGAGACAATCATAGAATCACAAGTCAAGAAAAAAAAACCTAGATTGCACTGGGCCTTGAACAGACCCTAAACTCCAAGGCTAAGAGATTAAAACCCAAGTCATATGAAGACCCATCTTAATACAATTGACAAAAGCTTGAAAAAGAGTGTGAATCCTAAACCATAAAATTGTAAACTCTGAAGCATTAAGTAGAGATCTTGTGAAGATCCTGTGAAGATCAATCTGAACACATGATATGAGCTTTGAAAAGCACAAATACCATAACCTTAAAAACTAAGAAACAAGGAGGCTAAGGGGATGATCACAGGGCTCCACTTGTGAACTGTTGAAAGAAAGATGGATGCCAAACGAATCTAGATTCTGCTCCACAGAGACTGCTAAAAAACCTGTGGTCTAAAGCCCTGTCTTGTGGACATGGTGGGAATAAGGTATATTTGACTGAATTAACAACCTGTCTTTCTCATAGATATTCAAAAAAATGATTTAAATAATCTAAAGCCCAACTAGTTATCAAATCTGATCAGAGCTTCCTTTTTTTCTGTTTTTTCTTGTTCACATAAATGGGGATGCACCAGTCGGTAATTTTATCACCAAGACTAATTATCGGCCTTCTTAGCTACTAATTTTCTTTTAAAAAGATCCGGAGATACCCACCAGACGTCTGAACTTATTTTCTTAAAAGTCCTTGACATATCCTTCTGAGATTTCCTTTCTTGGAGTATGAGGATCTATAACCTATCCAAGTATTTCAACCAGACCTCTCAGGGAATCGACTACCAAAATTGGGGATTAGTCCAGTTGTTCTGGAGGTCAACCCCTCTATTATAAGAGGTTGTCCATGTTCTGTTCAGTAGATTACTTGATAAATTTAGGACATTGCATATCAGAGGGGACACATTTACAACGCATCCTCCGTGGTTGCCTTGGATTCTTCACAAGTTCACCCAGGAAAAAACATGGACGAGAACAAGGCAGGGGATTAAAGATAATCAACACAAGATTTGAAGGAGGAAGATGAGCATCAGATGAATCAAAATCACTTGTTCTCGCTGGGCTGCTGGGGGCCAAGGTACAACTGCCCATCATACATATTCTGGGCGAAGGCAGCTACCTCCTTCATCAGATGAGATATGGCTGCACTGCCGCCATCGCCATCGCAGTCACCGTCGCCGGCGGGGAAGGATACGTTCTCAACCTGGCGGATCTGTTCATTGAGGGAAGCGAGCTCCTCTAGCGCGGAGTAGACTTGGTTCGCGACCTGGCGGATGGCTCCCGCGCAGCCTTCGACGGGGAAGCGGGCGCGAAGGTCGGACTCGTAGAGGATGGAGCGCATGGCGTCTGATCGCAGAGAAGGATCGATGCTGGAGAGGATCTTGAGAATGTTGCTGACGCCGAAGAGGTGGTGGGCGTTCTCGAAAATCTTGGGCTGGTCTGGGGGAAAGTACGGGGCTAACAGGCAATTGGCACCGCACTTGCGGCGCTGGAACTTGCAGGCGGCGCAAGCCTGGTACGGTCCCTCCTTAGCCATCAGCTACTCTCTCTCTCTCTCTCTCTCTGTGGTTCGGCCCGTTGACTTGGACGACGGAGGTAGATCGCGTGGGCTGGAAGGTGGGTCGGCAACGGGAAGGCGAGATGGCGGCACCGAGAGGGGATGGTGAGGCCGGAGGTGGCTGGGAGGCGGAACAGCAGCGGGAAGACGGGATGAGGCTGGAGGGGAGGCGGCAGCGATGGCGACGGACGGCGGCAACGGCGGATGAGGCTGGTAGGGGAATACGTAAATGATACCAGAACGAAGTATAAATAGGGAGCCTGCGCTCGCGCGCGAGAGAGGGAGAGAGAGAGAGAGCGGGACGGACGGAGGGAGGGAAAATTTTGAATTTGAGTGCTGAGAGTACATCTCTCTCTCTCTCTCTCTTTCGCTCAGATTTAAATTTTTCCTCCCTCCGTCCTTCCCGCTCTCTCTATCTCCCTCTCTCTCTCTCTCACTCCTTATTTATCCTTCGTCCTGGTTTTCTCTGTCCCCCCCCCCCCCCTCCCAGCCTCATCCGCCGTCGCCGCCGTCCGTCGCCATTGCTGCCGCCTCCCCTCCAGCCTCATCCGTCGTCGCCGCCGTCCGTCGCCACTGCTGCCGCCTCTCCTTCAGCATCAACCGCCGTCACCGTTTCCCTCCAAACGACGCCGTCTCGTCTTCCCGCTGTTCCGTCTCCCAGCCACCTCCGACTTCATCATCTCCTCCCGTCGCCGCCGTCTCGCCTGCCCCCTGCTGACCCACCTTCCAGACACCTCCGCCCACGTGATCTCCCTCCGTCGCCCAAGTCAACGGGCCAAACCACAGCGAGAGAGAGAGAGAGAGAGTAGATGACGGCGAAGGAGGGGCCGAACCACATCGAATTATTAATGTTATATAAATACTATAACTTCCGAACTTTCTCAAATTGTTCTTACATCCCTGACTGAGATCGACCTCAAAAATCCGCTATAAATTCTGAAGTTATTTTAGGTTAAAACTGATATATGTTCCTTTGAAAATAATTTCTAAAAATTAAAATACAAAACTTCTTGTTTTTTAAAAATTAAATTTGGGTGATTTAAAATAACACAATTGAATCACATCACTTACGCTTAAGTTTACCAACAAGTTGATCTTTTTTTGTACATTAAAATCATCAACCCAGTGAGGGAGTGAGTGTTTTAAGTAAACTAATTAGTGAGCTAAAGCCATGAAAGTAGATATAAGCATGATTACCCAAAAGCAACTCAGAAGTTAATTTCATGAGCACCAAATGATTATATTGTCATTAATATTTCTCCAATTATAAGTTTAACAATATCTACTATGTAATCCTATCAAGAAATTAATAGAAAGTTGAACAAGAAGACACTTAGGAAAGGAGAAATGATTTGTGACTCAAATCACTCTAAAATTATGTGTGATGTGTTTTATCAAAGTTATATTTTCTATTTATGTGAGTATGATATATGTTCTACACTATAGTCATTTAGAAAAGAAATCAAATCTCATTTGAGTATTCTAGTCATATATATATAATGTCATGTAAATTAACCATGTTCATTTTCTATTCTTTTTTTTGCAACATTGAATAATTTAGGAAAACCAACAATAATTTATAGTATACTAGACTAGAAATCTTTGAGTAGTCATTTATATATAATGACATGTCAATTAACTATGTTATTTATTCTTGCAACATTAAACATAATTTAAGAAAACCAGCCATAACTTTTAGCACACTAAAATATAAATCTTTGAAACATCCTAAGGTTGACTAGGGATAACAATCTTCATCAAAATCTCTATCAAAATTTTAGCAAGAGAAAATCTCTTTATAAATATTCATGCCTCACACATGCAATTATTAATGCTTAATGTGTAAAAACTTTATTCTACAAAAAGTTAGCTCATCATCTTTAAATCAACATTTTATGTTTGCATTAATATTTGGTTTTACTTAAATTAATTAAATAATATTGACAAGAAGAAAAGAAAACCCTAAAAAATAAATTATTAAAGAAGAAGAATATATGAGATTATATAGAAGAAGGAAAGAAAGAGAGAGAGAAGGAAAACTGAAGATCATTGAGGAAGAATAAAGATGTGGAGAAAATAAGTCTAAATTAGGCTTGATGGGCCTAGTGGACTTATTTTAATAAATAAATAAATAGTATATAATTTACATTTATTTTATTTTGAAAGGAAAGATAATATGGACTCTTTCATCTACTGATTATAATTTCTTGTAAATATAAATACTTTTTTTCCTCATTTTTCTTCAATTTCTATAAACCCAACCAAAATAACTTTCAAGTCATATACAAATGGTCACTGCCCTTAAGCCATAGCTTGAATATTCAAAACAATGGGTTAACAACAATATAGTTCATTCATAATATCAAACATAGCTGCCATGATTTGAAGACTAGTGTCATCCATGTATAGTGTAGTGTCCACAACAAATGCATACACATGCACATACACATATATACATACATGTGCCAGGTTTCCCAATTATTATGCACTATCTGATTTTATGGTACATAATGGATCCTAAAGCAAGAACATTGACTGGAAGGATGAAAACTTAACTCATCATGAAAGAGTCAAAATTTATGAGAAAATGGCAATAGTCCATAGACCTGATCACATCCTTCTTCTAGATCTTTTTATGTGAAATAAGCAATCTCGAGAGCCTTTGCTCGGCTAGAAGCAAAATAAGCATCCGATCTTCCTGCCATGGAGTAGGCCCTTTCCTACACAATCATGAAATGTAATCAGTTCTCAAATGTAATGTTACAAAGCTGCATCAACTCATTTCTAGAAATCATTTAGTCATCCTTTCCTACTTAGCCGCTAAGATCATATGCCATTTAAAATACTGATATTCAGGAGTTTGAACAAGCAAATACAATAATTTATGAAATATTGAATACATTTTATTGATAGAATGATTATTTCCTGCATTTTATGGATTTGATAGCCCTTTGTAGATGTTGTTCCTTCTATGTGGCCTTTTTTTTTCCAGTTTGTTATTAAAGTCCCTTAATTAGTTGATCTAAGAGGACATATCATCATTATATAGACAATTGGAGAGAGAGAGAGAGAGAGAGAGAGAGAGAGAGAGAGAGGGTTTAGATCAAGTGGTCTCCTTAATCCTTGTACCATAAAAAGGAACATAAACATGACCAAATTGACAAGTAGATGCACCATATAAAAATATTAAAAATAAAATAGAAAATAAGAAAATAGAAACTACCAACAACTGCCACAAGAATGGAGCTCCTTCCCTTTGCCTAACTTTTTTCTCAATTGCTTCAATCGCTATGGCCACAAATAAGAAAATAAACTTATATGTCTCAAAGTATGGTTAAGAATAAATAAATATTTGATGTAATTGAATGCAAAGCAAAAATAAGACATTATTACAATAATGTCGAGGCTACTTTACAGTAATATGGAGGGAAATTTCAAAGGAATTAAAACTAAATTTCATGAAAAACATTTAAATCAAATCCACGTACCTTTGTTGGCATGTCCAGCATTTAATAAAATAGTATACCAAACTTCATTAAACACATCAAGCTGTTCATCAGAGGCACCAATCATCTGGTGGAGACACATTTTGTTATTAGAAAAAATTAATTGATAGTTATTCAAATGGAATCTAAACAAAGGTACCTTATAGTCAATGGCATCAAAGTTTGGTCCAAGCATGTCAAAGGCATTCTGGTAATTGGCTATCCCATATTCAAACAAGGCTTCTGCAAGCTGACGATCAAAGAAGTATGTTCATTGAATCCATTGTTCACTCCATAAAAACTTATGTACATAAATAATAAACATGGTAAAGTAAGTACAATAATTTTATATTTCTCTTCTACATAAAGTAATGAACTTCAAGCAAACAAAGCAACACTTTATTTTGTTTGAACTAACTATATGCCATAGAATTTTGATGAAACAATACTTAATTTTATTAAATGATCATTGACCCTCTACATCCCATTGTCTTTCATAAAAACATTACAAATAGGATTGATTTGTGCAAGAGTGAAAGAAGAACTTTTCTATCTTGTGGGACTAAGGAGGGGGTAGAAGTGGCAGAAAATTGGCCTACTTACCCTTTGTTGACCTTTATCTTAAATAGGGGATGGAACCTTACATGATCATTCCCAAAAATACCCCCATACTATTACAATATCCCTACCCCCTCACACACACTTATAAAAACTATGATCATAATTTAGAAATCAAAAAATTATCACATGAATGATGTTTAGATGATCTTCGTGATGAGAAAACCCTCTAACAAAAACTAGAAGCACAAACAGCGATTGAATGAAAACATCAAACATGATACATTTGAGATTGCACAGAGTAAAGGTTCTTGCAATGGGGGGAGCAACATGGCAATTATCTACAAAAATGATACATTGTTAGAGGGAAATGATACATTTGGACAGATACGTGGGCAAAAAAATCTACCTTTAAGGAATTTAAATACCTGAAAATTACTAATCTGAGTTGAGGATGGTGGGCACAAAATTTCACACAATTTATTTCACAAAAAGTTAAGATTACTACCAAATTTAGAGTGATCTCATTAGACATCTTAGATTCAACTGAACGATGATATACGAAGTTCATTGGGTCAGAATAAGAGTAACTAAATTGATTTTATGTCTACTAGACTATTGTTCAATGACAAAAATATTACATCTCTCTCCCTCTCTTCCTATATATATATAGAAGTATGAAATCTATAGATGATATAATCTTATCAGAAGAAAGTCAAACAATACACAAGGAAGAAAGCAAGTGCTCACAGACAATAAACACTAGAAGACAACAAAAACCACAGGAAATTATGCATATTAATGTCAAAATCAAATGCATTATGTGTTTCTTAAGAGATCATGGATCATCTCTTTGTGAGATTGGGGATTCGTAAGGTGTTGTTGAAGATTACAAGGTTATCTATATGACAGTCTTACATGAAGCCACACACACCAACTAACCATTGATTTAACCTCATTTCTCTCACTGATTTTCTATCTTAAAACCATATCTACATATTGAGTTTTATTCTTCATCGTCATGCTTTTTCAATCATACTCTACTTTCTTGTTACTGTTAGCATAACAACGACAAAAAATTACTATAATAACTTCCATGAAGCACAAAAATAGACAAATAACTTGGGAATGCAAGGTAGAACAATAGACAAAAAAAAACACAATCAAAAATTGAAAAGTCAAAATAATTCTATACTACACGTTGTTGACTAATTAATCCAAAAAACTGAAATTATCTTTACATAAAAATATCTAATGAATGATGAATCAAAATAAACTATAAAAGGCAACAAGTCAATAGAAAGAGTGAAGACTTGCAAACCAATATTCCTTTTTGGAGTGGATGTTGTTTCTTCTTATTCAAATAAGAAACCCTAAAAAATAAGGACATCTTAAAGTCTCATAGAAGAAAAATTTATTGTATGAAATCCAATACACATGCCCATCTTACTTGAATTTCATAGAGTCGAGTAAATCTTTTGCTTTCTTTATTTCCTTTGTACAAGCCAAGGCCCAGATTGCTAAGATATCAAGCAACCACTCCACATGCCAATGAGACTGCAAACACCATGTAAAGCAACATTTCTCAATTGATTATAGATATCATTAGAAATGTTGAATGTACTTGATCCATGATAATTAGGTAACCAATCAAAACTTATACATTTAAAGAAAAATGTTCCCCTCGCAAGGCTTGTCTGATGTGAGATGTGAATCATTATCTTAGAAAAGTTTTGTATCCTATGGAGAGTCATTGATTTAAACTCACTTTACCATCATAGACTTAGAATATGATTCAATGAATCCATAACCCAACATTTCATATGAACTTGATTAATGTGAGGGATATGTTTATATGGATATATATTATCCCATTTAGTAAAGTAACAAAAATTTAACAATGACTATAACGTAAACATATTTCGATTCAACACAACCCATTTATTCCATCAGCATCATGTTAAGTCGATTCACATACAATTAAAGAGAGGGCAGAGAAATTGCCATAATTAATGTCAACATTTCAAGTGATAGTCTTTAACAAGTAAACTCATTCATATTGGAAAAAGGGTTCGACCTAATAAAAGGTCTAGAAACACAAAGTATTTTTTCATGAGAAACATACATACAACAACAAATATATTCATCAAGAACTTATGAGGAACATTTGGTAAAATTCAATGTTAATAAAAGTAATCATATAGGTTTTCCCAAGAATGAGAAAAAATTATCCCATGTACCAAAAGTTAAGAATCGTAACTCCTTGCAACAATAGAGCTTAATAGATTCTCCAAAAATTTCACACTAAACTAAAAAATATTATATGCAGAGAAAGGTATGTCGTCAAAGGTAGAACAATAGAAAAACTGAAGAGAGATTAAGACAATTAAGTTATATACCATGCATAAAAAATTTCATCTTTTCAAGTATCAACCATGAATAGATTGAGAAATACAAATAAATCAAGTGAAAGAAGTGTAATGAGATAAAGCTAATAAGAATTCTATAGAGAATGTAAACAATGGAGTAATTTGTCCCTCCTGACCAGAATTTATTGAGATTTGATGGATGATGATGACAACTTGGATGATATCAGAGCGAGTATGAAAGTGCTTTATATTTTCCAAAAAAGAGCTTTTCTAAGAAAATATTATGTAATAAGCATATACCTTTGTCATAAATTTACTTGCCACTATTTTTACCCGATCTCTTATACACTTCATTTGACCACGTATGGCGACCCGCAATAACAAACCTAGAGCATTCACATACACCTAAAAACTTGAGAGAAGTATAAATGTTCTAATTTAAGGTTACTACATTGAATAATTTAAAAAATACCTCTTCACAATCAGCATCATTCCTCTCTAACTCTTTCCAGATATAATGATCATAAATCTCAATGACCTTTTCTAATGGAGAATGGCCTTCCAAATAACATACAGCAACATGCCACCAATTATGGGTGTACCTAGAAAAATGATCCACTTTTTCTCATACCAAGGTCGCATAGAAACAAGCCATTAAGTAATGTAGAAAAAACATACATAAATGAGCAACAATCCACCCAAGAAGGAGAACATGCTTCCATGAAATCTACAGCCTCCTTGAAACGGCAATCATTTTGTAAGACATGGCATAACTGCAAAGAAATTCAAAAAGTACATACGCAGGTCAATAAAAGAGACATTATGACATAAAAAGACATAACTACAGAGCATGCAGAGATCAATAGTAAAAATGTAAGAAAATTCAATGAATGCCCAATTGGTTGTGCAACTGCATCTATTTCTCACAAATCAAATAAGTCATTGTGTTGAACCAAATTACAACCTACATCTATGTTTACCCTCTCTCTAACAATGCCTTTTGTTGTTTCTTCACTTTAGGTAACTAAGCTTTTATGATGCAACTTATCATGATTCATCTCACTTTTTAGATTCAACTTCTCTTGACACGATGCCCTTGGGCAATTAGCTGCTACAAATATGCATATGTCATGTGGACCTTTGTAAAGTTACCAAAAATATATACTATGGAAATTGCCTTGGAACTAAGCTAAGAATGAAGACAACCACATATGGAGTAGCCTCAACATTAGCCTGATATTTTAAGAGATAATAAATTAGTTGTAGGACTAAGTTGATACTTACGTATTTCTAAAACATGATAGTAAGGAACATAAAAAGTTGGACAAATGAACTAGAGAAAAGGTTTGTCTTCCTATTTCTTGCTACCTTTCAGGGATACTAGGGATTTATAAGCTTACAAGAACTTGTAAAATGAAGATAGTATAGATAGCTCCATATTTCTAATTGTAGGGAGGTGTATTGCTAGTTGGTTTTCAATTTTATGACCCAATGATTCTAATAGGAAAAATTTGAGGCAATAATCAAATTTAGAACCATTTGTTGATAAATATATGATTGTTTCAGCTCTTTTGAAGCATTTTGGACTTTGAATAAAAACCACATTTATAAATGTTAGAACAAACGAATTATAATCAGCAAGCACAATAGCTTATGTTATTAGTTAAACACAAGTCATTGAGAAATTTGAATATTTCACCAAATCACAACTTTAAACATAACTACTGCATATGAAACTGATTACTTCTCTAACTCAAATGGTAAGAAAACACATTAAAAACCACTATCAGGTGTATTCTACTACATTCCGCAAAGATCCATGTGCTCAGCATACAAACAAATAGGATATACTTATTAGGTGTGCTATTGCACAGTTGAAAGTTGACTTACATTATGTTGTGCCCAAAAGTCATCCTTATTAAGTGCATATCCTCTCCATGCAGACTTCTCAGCATCAGACATTCTCCCAAGCTCTAGTAATGCAAAAGCGCGCATTCCATGGATATATCCCACTTGCTCATTTTGAGTTAATGCCTATTTAATAACATGTGAACGACAACATGAGAACATATAGTTTGCATGACAATAAAAGCATAGGAGCAAATATTTTCAATGATATAGTAAAAATATGATTTAACAAATAACATGAACAAAAAAATCTTGAAAATTGAAGCTAGAAATCAGAGGATAAAATAATCAAGTTCAAATAGTAATCACTAGCCTTACATTGTCATGTTAACTACAAACCATTGTGAATGCCCTCTTTCTTAATGCGTCAAACAATTTAAGAAATGACCATGATCTATGAAATTATGAAACAAAATGCATTATCCCTTCGTAGAAAGCTCAGGCCCTAAATACATGGCATGGATATCAGAGGCATGTAAAACCCAAATCAAAAGTTAAACTAAGAGGTGCTCTAACCCAAATAACAAAACCATAAAATAAGTTTATAACCTATTGGTTTACCCAAATTTAAATAGTTGTATTAGGTAGCCTTTCAAGCTCATCCAACCTGTTCAACAAGCTTAAATGATAAATCAGGCCGACCAATGTAAAAGCATAGTATTTGAGCTCTCTTCAATGAGACAAGGTCCCTCGGAAACTCTTTTAAAACCTGCGAAAATAGTCATAGAATAGAAACATGGTCAAATTAGTGTGACAGAACACAGACCTACAAAATACAATGAAAAAGGAACTCAAAAGTTTACTTTTATAAGTAGTTGATGTCTCGTGTGTTCAACATAATTATTTACTAGATAGAAATTACAACAAAAGATAAAATAAAGATGAGAAAATCACAAAGAATTGACATATTATATTCACTTTAACATTGCCTCTATCATGATGCCTTCATTTCAACACTAGACAATAACATAACATACCACATTTAATTTCGACAACAAGTCTTGTGAAAATCTTAGAGAACAAAATTTTGAGTAGAAGCGAAATTGTCTTGTAGATTCTTTGAAAAGATCATTTGATTGCATCAACATCTAAACTAAGGTTTGAAAAATTAGGCAGCACAGTTGAAAATCATCTAATCTCCTTGTATTTGGTTGGATTCTCTCACCCAATATAACTTTTACAGCTCCACAAAAATGGCAGTCTAAATTTGGCAAAATACTGTTCTAACTACTTGTTGATGCAGCTCATCTGAACATGAACATAGAACACACAATGTTGACGTATAATGAAACAAAAAAGTAAGAGTAATTCTAACCTAACCTAGTTCAAAGGCTGTATCCGAATCCCAAAAGATCATTTTAAAAAAAGAGCTAATTTCTTTTCTCTAATGATGTACTGCATTCTAACCTTTGGGATGTAAAATTCATAGAGTAATAAATGTCAAACTTGATGCTATAAGGATTTTATGGCACCCTTCATTGTGATATAATTCCCTTTTAGCTTGATAGTTGACTTGCCACCCTTTATTGTCAAAAATTAAAACATATGCAGCACCATCCTATTTTAGAAAAGAAAAGGTCCATGACAATAGGCATTATCCCAGACAAAAACCCACCAATTCATAAACAATGGAAGATCTAACATTGATCATTACAACTTTGAGACATCATCTCTACACACTAATGGGAAAGATATGCTAGCCATCCAAGCATGAACATAATCAATCAAGACTAGCTTTAACCAGCCACTAATGGGAAAGATAAACATGGATATGGGGTACAAATTAAATGAAAATTGGCTGACATCAGAAAATCTATGTTCTTTCATAAAAAAACCAACTTCCGAAACTCATACTATGTTTTTTCCACGTGATTCGATCTTGGATTGTTTTTTTCTCCACAATGAAAAAAATGAGTTGCCCAAGATAAGAATCACCTAATCTTGGGCTGCACAAAACCCTACACTACAACACTATTGAGACAATTACATAAATTCGAACATCTAATCCAACAACTCATGAAATAATAGCAAGATCTAGCCAATCAAATTACATTTGACTCATCCAATGCCAGTCCATGCTTTTAAGTCTTAGTGATAGGTTGAGAGTTTTGCTACGGAATCAATCACTTATGAACAATGAAAATGATAGAGGAGTGAAAGGATTGAGCTTCATTTCTTATTGCCAGATTATGAATGAGTACCAACTGGCTTATCATGAGGAATATCATGTCATGCACAAGATCAGAACTATATCTCCTCCAATGCAGAAGGGATCCATCAACTTGATGGCTATGGCTCCAAGTCATATTGAAGAAAATTTTAGAAAACTCAGTGAAAGAAAAGCTACTAGGGTGGGAAAAAGAGGCTATCCCTTCGCAAACATGACATTTAGTTTAGGAAATAGCATGAAATGGTGATGTCTCCTAACCTAAGAAGTGAGAATATATCAATCGTCCGTTTTCCGGTAAATGTTTCTTCAGGCTGCAAAGAATCTGATCCGTATGAGAACCTTTTTCAAAAACGGTGACCATTGGGATCGTTTACATACGAATAGGAATGGAAAATTTTGGATTGGAACCTCCTTGCCTACGTAAAACGTTGAAATGAACACCACAAAACTAGATCCGCGATAATGACTGCGAGAATGAGAGATGGGTTTTTGCCGACTGGAGCAGCCTGATTCTACCGGACGACGAAGATACAGAACCATAATAGAAAGGAGAGCACGGAAAAACTATCATTGGCGATTACCTCGCTGTGGATTTTGACGGCAGCCTCGTCGTCCCTGTCCTCTGACAGCAAGCAGGAGACTGCTCTGAAAACCGCTTTCTCATACGAAGTGGCGCTCTCCTTCAACCAAACAGGGGAAAGAAAAAGGCTCCATACATGTGAAACAACAAGAGACAGACGGTGGCCGCAAGGATTAATCGAGAGGTAACAGTTCCAGGAAGGAGGACGTCGCTCACCAGGCGAGAAGCGGCAGAATTGAGATACGACGACGTGGCGGAAGGCATTTTTGAGGAGGCGAAGTGCGCCGCCAGGACGTTGGCCAGAACGCACTCCGGATCCCCCCGCGCCGCCTCGAGGATCACCTTCCGATTCCTCCCATAAGAGAGAACCTTCATTCAATGTCATCCGTAGATCCATCAGCATCAACACCAGCAGAGGCAGAATGTACCAGCAAAAGAGGCGGAATCGGCGGTCATCGCCGGGGGCGAAGGTGAAGGCGAGGGCGAGGGCGAGGGCGAGGGGAGGCGCTGACCTGGTTGTAGTAGGCGTTGATGGCGGAGATGCAGGCCTCCGACGACGTCCTTACCGGATATCCCCATCGATCCACCATCACAGTCACCGTCTCTTCCCCCATCTTCCTCCTCCTTCCTCCCTCCCTGCTCCTCGACTGTGTGACCTTCGATAAGACTCTGCGGCATATGACGGCGGCGGCGGATTCCAGTTTTGGAAGACGTCGCCATCTGTACACGCGGCTCTGCGTCCTCTTCCTCGGAGCTCCACGTGGGCGCCGACGCTGGCACGGCCCATCATGGTGGATGTGGGGCCTCCGGTTGCGATGGGGTGCCACGTCAATAGAAAATCTTATCCTAGTTGCGTCGCTACCATGTCCTGCCACGTCAGAGAACGCGGGAACCGAGACGACATGCAATAAATCGCACATTCTTTAAACAATAATGAGAAATTGTCTAAATGGGCTGATAAGCCTGAGCTCAGAGTGGCGAACTCGTCAACCCCTCTCTCTCTCTCTCTCTCTCTCTCTCAAACTCTGCCAAAAGGGTCTTTCTGGTGGTCATTCACTGTTCTACAAGTAGTAAATAAACATCAGAAAAGGGAATGTCAACCCCCCACCCACCGCCCTCTCTCTCTATTTCTCAAACACTTCCAAAAGGGACTTCTGGCGGTCATTCACTGATCTCTCTCTCTCTCTCTCTCTCTCTCTGTCAAACTCTTCCAAAAGGGTCTTCTGGCGGTCACTCACTGATCTACAGGTAGTAAATAAATATCAGCAAAGGGAATGTCACCGTAGATGGAGAAGGACGCCAGCAGCAGGCCAGCAACAAAGGGTAGAGGAAGAGGCCAGAATTGGAGGACAAAGATCATAGAAAAGGAAGAAGTAACCTGGGCAAGCAACAAAAGCATCGACTTTGCCCCATTCACTTAGATAAATCAACCAAGCTTCAACCTCCCTCCAATGGATCCAAAAATTACTCCTTAATGCCTACCCACTCTTCCACAATGCAAGGAATCAATTAGAAGAACTACTGTCGTCAACAATGAGGGTATATGATTCGCAAACAAATCAGAAACACAGAAAAAAATCTGGCCGTCATGATTGGAGAAATTCAAAGCTTACAGACTGTTATACCAGGGAAGTAGCATCTTACAGAGGAAATTGTACACAGAAACGCACGTACTAATCACCATGGTCCACAAAGCCAAGACGCTTTGGCAAACCTGGTACGATCTCATCATTACACGGATGTAATATGGAAAAAAAAATGATAATAATCTGTCGTATTTCGCTTTCGCATATCTCTGAATGTAAATTCTTCAGCAGATATACCTCTCCCTGTAAGGACCAACAGCTAGCTGCCTTGGATGGACTCCTTTCGGTATCTGAGTAGAAAATAAGATAATAGAAGCAGCCATCTTATTTGAACATTTTCATCTGAACTTAGATTGAAAACAAAAATCCAAGTACATGAAAGAAGAAATAAAAAATTCGAAATCTGAAGTACACTGTATTCTTTGACAACTAGTGAACGCAAAAACTGACTGTTGAACTGTTTTGTTTCTCCAGAGATCTGATCCAGCAGCAGAAACTCTCCAGAGAATGAGACCGTTATTTCCCTTCTATTCTCTATTATCCAGCATGGAGGATTATCCAAATCATTGTTTCATAGGCTACCCATGGAGCAAACTTCTCCTCTCCACTACCAATCACACGAAGAAACCTCAATCACCCTCGGATTAAATAGAGAAAACCGAGCAAAGACACCACCTTAAGATTTAATGTCCAGTTAATAAGCTCAAAAAACTAGTCGAGAGTCCGAGCAAAGAAACTACCCAACTGGGTTGGATACAATCCCATTTCTATCACAAATGGAAATAAAAAACTTACATGATAATGAAGCACTTTAAGTCATTTTTTCAAAAACATATAAGAGATTATAGTCAAACATGAAGAAAATGAATATTATCTCAACATTTTACATGCAGTAAGAATGAGAGGAATGGCAATGGCTTAACTGTTCATGCAATAACTTAAAAGTTATAATCGAAGGCATAGTCTTACTTCTAAGAACCCCTGTTCAATTTCCTTTCCAGTTGGTGCCACTACAACAGATGCTCGCAAACCCTTGCTGTTTATGTGTCTTTGAGATACGAAATAAGTCAACATATTTTCTACCATGCTTAAATGGAAGCGAAAACAATATAAGTCAGCCAAAGTCAACGAAAACAATATAAGTCAGCCAAAGTCAGCGAAAACAATATAAGTCAGCCAAAGTCAGCGAAAACAATATAAGTCAGCCAAAGTCAGCGAAAACAATATAAGTCAGCCAAACAATATAACTCAAAACTCCTGTAGATCAATTCAAAATCTCTTTATTCTCAAATATTTCTCAAGGTAAAGGTGATTGTTTTATCTAGAACTTGATGTTTTATACAAGTCTTGTCTTCCGTTTCATAATGCACTGCACAATGCCATAGACTCAAAAAGGTCCAAATATGTTTCATAGTTGAAATTCCTCAGTGTTTTAGCATCTCCATGGAGTTATAAACGAACCAGCAAAGAATGCGACTAAGAAAAGAAACTGAAGTTGGTAATGCAAGAAATCGTACCTTCACATCTATCTTCCCCAAAAAAGTTGGTACTTGGACCTTTCCACCAAGGCTAGCATGAATAATTTGTTGTACACTAGAAAAAAATCAGAATTTTTATATACGCATGATTTCATGACAGAAATCAGTTGTCCTCAATCCTAACAGGACAAGATGAGACACAGCCAATTTCAAATCAAATTCAACCCAACTTCAAATATCTCTAAAAATAATTTCATGTATCCGAATCCTCATGCCTGCCAACTCTCCATTGAATTTTCTTCAAAAGATTGTCCATTCTTTTTGAAGGCATCCGCTAGTTTTCTACACCTAATAGGAAATATTTCTTCTTTATAAATGGAAGACTCAATTTCTATTTCCTTTTCTATTTTTATTTCTCCAAGTTCGAATGTGGGCCATAATAGAGCTTATCCAGCTCAGTCAATAATTATCCATAGTAATAAAAAATAAGTAGATTCTTTTTGTTAACTGTATATTATTTTGTTTTGTTGGACTGAGCTGTTCTTAAATTTAAATAAAAAAGTATTGACAGCTCCCTACATGGTTGCCATCTTGTAACCACGTAGAATAATGATTCGCAAGAATCATTTTGCTTAGTTTCAGTCCCTCCAACTTTCCTATGTGCAAGAGATGGGAAGTAAATACCTATTTACTTGAGAAGGTGGCCCCCGAAAGAACAGAAGATTGCAGATATTTTATTCCATAGCTCTTATTTTCCACACTTAATTATGCCAAGGTTTTTCTTTTTCAGAGGAAATAATCTTTTTCACTGAAGAATATCGAATCATGCTCTCTATTCCCTATAAATCATTTTCTATCAATGGAGCTCCAACATGATATGTGGTTTGGAGCAGACTGATTTTTCCTACCAATATAGGCATACCAGCTCCTATTCCTCTCACCTACCAAATTTTATTGTTCTTTCCAAATCAGAAGAACGAAATTCTAAGTAAGATCACGGTTCCTTGTCTGGGATTCTGTAAGGGGAGGATGTGGTTCAGCCTTCGTTCTGAAGGAGCTTTTCTTCATCTATTTCAAATGCTTTCATCGCCTGTTTAGGCTCTTCATTCATGGACAGCAGTTCAGTGCATCAATGGAGCTTCCGCAAAATCCTGTGCAAAGAAGAGATCGACAATCAATGGACACGTTCTGGGTCCATTTCCAAAATGTGGATCCCTCCCAGGATGGAATTCTGGTAAAGTCTCCTGCCAGAAAATAAGAAGGCAGAATCTTCTTGGGCACAATTCACAGGGATCATTAAAATTAGCAATGTAAAATTTTCAAGTACCTTACGAATCAAAAATAGGAAATCCTCTGTCAAAAGCTTTCCTCGTTTTAATGCAATATCCTGAGCTTTATGTGTCTATAGAAGGTTTGCAATGACCCAAACTGTGAGAAGAATAAAAGCAAGAGTAAAGCTTGAACTCGGAAAATAACTGTAAATAACAGGCACGATGAATTACTTCTTAGAATTCATGTTCGATTCCCTTTAAGACTAATGGAAACAGAGCCAATCGAGGAAAGTGGACATGATGTTCAGAAGTAAGATACGAAAGATTGTAGAAAGAGATCCATTATAAAAGACACGCAGCTTAGTTGACTACATAAATAAATTTCTCAATTTCAACATGAAATATATATCACTCATCAGAATATTTTCATCCCAGTCCAGTGGGAAACACATTAAATTAACAAAAACTATATTTGTGACCACGATTTCAAGGAAAATTGTGTTTACAGAAGGGGGTGGGGAGGGGAGGGGCAATTGGGAATACCCATAACAAGATAAAGCATTATAAATATACCACAGGAAATGAGAGTTTTTGTCAGTTGCTCATTTTTTTCGTTCAGAGAAATTTTGAAAAAGCTCTCTGGGAGTTCTAAAACCTCAAAATTAACTAGTCCATTTGACAAAAGATGAGAAAAACAAGCAAGCAGTTGGAGGAAATAAGATCTTTTTTCAAACCTCAGTTTGAAAGCAATTGGGATACTTTTTTCTTCTTCTTATTCCTCTGTGGCCAAGTGTTGGTATAGAGGAACGCACCAATTTCAGTGAGCTTTTATGCATCAAGGTTGTAGAAATATAGCCATTATTTATTTTAAGAGGGACTGACAGCCACTTACCAAGTCAGTCACGTATTCAACAACAATGTCTTCCACCAGGACAACAGTCTCTGGAAGTGGCTGCAGAACGGAATCCGTCATTTTAAAAGAACGGAAGATGGACATCAATGTACAGATAATAATAGCGCATACTAAGAGGGGCGTCAGAACCAGAGTGTTACCTTGAAAGCGCCTGTAGGTAAAAAATTGCTTCTAGAATTAATGTTATTAAGGAATTCGAAAGAAATTGTCTGTAAAAAGGTTTGTTGGTTTTAGATCCCTGCATAAAACTTCATTTATGAATTTTTTTTTCTTTTTTTTTTACTATCCTGCCAACTCCTTCACATTCATTACTGGCCAGTGTTCCAGTCAACAGATGAATGAAAAATATTTGTACCATATATTTCA